CACTACCAACAACAGCAGCAGCAGCAGCACCAACAACAACAATATTACCTGGGAATTACAATACAACTCAATCTTGGAATGAGCTATCTGCGAAATATCTTCACTTTCCACTGTACTCGGCTCACGTTCGTTACCAGGAGTTGAGGAGCTTGATCCAGAAGTCTCGTTGCCAAAGAATTTTTCATAAACATGTTCAATGACCTTCTTTATCTGGATCATGTCACTTGCGCACAGACGATCCCTAAAAGATGGATTTAAAGATCGGATCTTTCCGCGCTAAAAAAACGCCTGAAAACTTCAAGGGATAATAGCCATTAATTACCTTTTTTGAGACTTAAGACTAGAAGAATGTGGAAGTAGAAAGAACGCCAATTTATTTGACTTTGGTGCCAATTTCTACAAAAATGAGAATGTACATAATGACTTGCAAATAAATTCCAACTTTACTCATCTTTCCAGTTTAGTTTAATTAAGGGGCTGTTTACATGAGCCCGGTTACTCGAGATTCAACGAAGCGTGAGAGGACTTTGAGGTATTGAAATAAGTGTTTATGACACCAAACAAGCACATGCTATTGTTGTGGTGATTATACGACTGCCAGGATCATGTTACCTGCTCATTTCAATACCTCAAAATCATCTCACGCTTCGTTGAATCTCGGGTAATCGGGCTCATGTAAACAGCCCCTAAGTTGTGTTCAACAATATGGTTCAACTCAGGTTATTCAATTCAGTTCAGACTGACTTGATTTATTCTAATCCAGTAATGCTCAGTTTAATTCATTTGAAATAACCCCAATCAACTTCAGTTCAGTTCAGCTCAGTTCAGTTCAGTTCAGTTCAGTTCAGTTCAGCTCAGCTCAGCTCAGCTCAGCTCAGCTCAGCTCAGCTCAGCTCAGCTCAGCTCAGCTCAGCTCAGTTCAGTTCAGTTCAGTTCAGTTCAGTTCAGTTCAGTTCAGTTCAGTTCAGTTCAGTTCAGTTCAGTTCAGTTCAGTTCAGTTCAGTTCAGTTCAGTTCAGTTCAGTTTAGACTGAGTTTATTTACTCTAATCCAGTTATGCTAAGTCTAATTTATTTGAAATAATCAAGTTCAATTCAATTCAGTTCAGTTCAGCTCAGGTAAGTTCACATCCTACCTTTACAACAACATCATATATCCAAGGAGGAATTATTTCCGCTAAAAGACATCGTTCAGTCTCCCCGGAGGCGTCGACGGCAAGAAAACGAAGTAATGTTCGCCCAGTCCCAGAACTTTCGCTTACAACAACTGGAGTATGAAGTGGAATACTAAAACAACCATTGCCTGGTACGATACGCTGAAGAAATGAAATTTCGTACTGTTTTATAAAACAACGAGATTCTATTATATCTACAGACTCAATGTTGAAAGTCCGCGCACAAGCCTCTTGCGATAAATAAATTGAAAATATGCTGCACATCTTCGATTTTTGTAGCATTATCAGAAGCTGTTCACATGAGCCTGGTTACCGAGATTTAACGAAGCATAAAATGGTCTTTGAGGTATTGAAATAAGTCTTTTTGAAACAAAACAATCACATGCTATTGTTAGGATGATTACACGACAACCAAAATCATGTTATTACTCATTTCAATACCTCAAAAATCATTGAACGCTTCGTAAACCTCGGTAACTGCGCTCATGTGAACAGCCCTAGTACACGCGTCTCTGCTTTAAAATGCGATACATTTTCAAGGCTAGTTTCCACTCAGGAAAATTCTCCTTTGGATCGGACAGGACAGGAAAGTTTCCTTTGTGTCAACGCCGCCTGAGAACTCACCGACAAAGGAAATTTTCCTGTCCGTTCCGATCCAAAGGAGATTTTTCTGAGTGGAAACTAGCCTTCAGGAGGAAACTATTTGATGATAGGTTTGAATGGTTCAAAGACACAATGATACGGCACAACTTACAGCAGGCGCTTCGACGTTGATGTCCACGTCACTTGCACTGGCGTCGGCTTCCTTGACTACAGAAAAACGGAAGACGTCTTTTGTGAAATAAATCATCAACAATCCCCTCGTGACTTCCCAAAAAAAAAAGCTCAAAATGTGGCGAATGGAAAAAGCGATTCATGAAGCAATATTAGGAAATGAATTTTCCCTAAACCGTGAGATTTACCATATCATTTGTTGCCATGAATTATGTTAGTTTATTCACCTCATTCAATCTCGAATTCTTTGTAGATTTATTTAGAAACATCTACGAAGACGGAATATTAAACAACATATTTCATCTTTGGACGTCACTAACTTAACGATTTGCCGATTTTTCCCGTTGTAAAGAAACCACGGCTGGTTAATCCGACTTGTCATATTGAGGATATAAGCATGCAGGTTGTGTATTCAAATTACTGATAATTTGATCGAGAAAAGACTAGACTTTGGAATAAATCGTGGACAAATGATCATAACATTTGTAAAACTTGGCAATTTATCGTCTCACAACACCATCCCATTTCCGGATGTCGGACAAAGGGCAACTAAAATTAATCCCAAGGGATTTAACAGACGGGCCATGACGAGACAGGACGACGGAATTGAACGAACAAAATTTGTTAATTTGTTAATTTCATAATTTGTTGACAAAAGCGAAACCTTGATAGTCCTAACAGTGCCCACGCCTGCATGGCCGACGTAAATATGCTAATCAAATGCTTTTAAAAAAGTAAACACTATCCGAAAGTGTTGCGTTCCAGACACTTGAAGACGGTTCTAGCAATGCATTCTCCACCTACGCACCTATTTCCTGTAAAAATCATTATGGTAGTCTCAATGTAACAATTGAAAAATTCTTAACTGAAAAGTATCTATTAATTAAATGTTCATTTCTTAACTTGGGAGTCTTGGTTATTGATAAAAGCGATCTATGGCAAAACCCTCCATAATTTCCAGTTTATATCTATGCTTTTAACTCGATAAACAGAATATATATGGAATTTATGAAAAACCAATCATTCTTCTTAAGAAGAGAAAGTATTTTACATTATAAGGCTTGAGTCTTTAAGCCCGCACGTACACAAAATATTATCAAATATATCATCATATAAATATATATTTGTACGAAAATTGAAGATTGGGCAAACCGAAGATTGCATGTGGGCAAATTATGATTTGGAATAACCCGACAGAAAAGCATGTCAGAGTTAAAAATTACTTGATTCTATGCAGGCTTGATTAACTGTATTTATTTTGTCATGTATGTAGAAGACCGTGAGCCGATGCTTGAAAGAATTCGAAAAAAATATATAAAAAAAAATAAATAAGATTCAGGTCTTATTGTGGTTTCGTTCAACAAGGCTTGAACTCCCTGACATCTTTAAACGGGCCAAGTTTCAGGTCTTTATACCCAATTTTCATACCATTAAACCACCCCATACAATTTCGTCTGCTCCGGAAAGTCATACGACAGAGGATTTCCGAAACATGCAGAAAAGCCACTGTGAAGGTCACTGCATTGCCCAAAAACGTGGGCACAGAGCCTAATAGTTGATACAGTTAATTTGTTGATACAAGATAATAGCTAATTAATTAGCGCGTGTCCCTTTATACCACCCATGCAAGCATGCAAAATATACTGTGTTGGGATTGTAATCATGCCAATATATACAGAGACATGAATGCATGAATTAATTCTTTAAAATCTACAACTAGATCACTTGATTTTGAAGTTAATTCAGTTCAACTCATTTCATTCAATTTAGTCAGACTTAGTTTCATTTTAGTTCAGATTATACCTGCTCATGCAGTTCAAAAATTTCACAACTTCAAAGAACTTACTTCCAACGCCCACACCATGATATAGCGATGTGAGATATAATTCTTATCACGTCCATGCAGCTATATTAAATAACTCAGTATTAAAGTCTAAACTCTCACGTATTATATAAGTACGTTATATAACCCTCAGTCAAACGCCTTAAATTTCAGCTACAATATATATACCTTATCTTTCATGCAGTTATATTAAAACCCTAAACTCGCAGTATATAACTTTCAGATATTTCATGTTTACATAAGTTTTGATATAACCTCTCAAATCTCTGAAAGTGCATACTCTTAGCCAAGTTAGAAGTTACATAACAAACTACGATAGAGCTTTTATAGTTCTAAGCTATAACCCCTTTCTCAAGTATGATATAAACTAATTTACATAACTCTTGATATAAATTTAAGTTTTCATAACCCCTAAAAGTCCCAGTATATATAAAATAGCTGGGCATCCCGTTTATATAACCCCCATGCATGAAAATGCTAATAAATCTAAGCTATCATAATCTAGCTGCGTAAAAAATCTATAAATTCCAGCAAGTATATCACTAAAAGGTCTATAACCTTTAGTTAATAGATAGGTGATTGCCAATTAAGGTTGGTGAAAAAAAGTCATCTTAAGTCAACTTCAAAAAAATTTTAATCGATACTTTTCAAAATTCAACCACAAATCTTCTTATTGTTATGCAGATGATTTCATCTACAGCTGTATGCAAATGCAAAATGCTTCCTGTACTTACAGCAAATTGTTTGATAAATGTCATTTCAAGTAGATGGTAGCCTTACTTAGCAGATGACGCAAAGTTTCAAACAGGACATTCAGGAAGGTCAAAAATGCTGAGTGGGCAGAATATTTGATCAATGCAAGAGATAGGCGCTTGTATGTTGACGTTAGCTTATTAATATATACATTTATCATTGCAGTTGAAAATTCCGAAAGGTCTAACGTGCACTTATCGATTTAAATGACCGTTAACCATCTCCAAAAATTCAGGCCTCGTGCGATGATACATGCAATGGTTTATTGCCAATTTTATTTCAACAGTTTATCGTTTAGTCTTGAACAACCACAGCTGATTATTCCGAATTTATTCCGAAGTCATTGTTTAATTCAAATTTGCTGTGCACACATAAAATTAAATGTAACGATAACATAGCATGCAGTGAGCGAAAATGGCACCAAAATTAATATTTTCGACAATTTCTGCTTTATATAATTCGCCTGAGGTATTTCAGCGAGCAATTTCATCGAGAACCAAGCCCGATTCACGCGCTTGTTTTATAGAAAGTACATTCATGCGACACATCAAGTTGACATGAAGTTTTTCTGCAGTGAAATCAAAGGCCTTCACTCGATCCAGACAGTTTTTAAAGCGCATGAGTTTTGTTCCATCCCCCAACAAGCACCGCGGTCATCTACACTAAAGTGAAACGGAACTTTTGTATCAAATACGTGGAGAAGCACAGATTGGAAGAAATACCACCTCATTTTTTATTGTTTTAGATGAAATTGAAGTTGGACGTTCGCCCTTGGACGACATTGTGAGGCGAGGAAAGAATAGTTCTTGCTTGTCATTGTCAAAACGAGTCATAAAGCCCTCGTCAAAAGCTAAAGTTAGCCTAAGTTGTTGTTGTAAGCAAAAGTAAAGAAATCCGAAAAATGTTTCGTCTTTCAACGTACGCCTTCGTGTTTATATTTGTTTTGCTTAGCGACAATCGCATGCAAGTCTATTTTCATTCAAACACGTACGTTCAAGTACTTCATTGCACGTTTACCTGTGCATGGTGCATGTGATGGATGGTCATTTTTGGTGCGAAACTCTCGGTGCTCTGTTGATCCTTGATAAGATAGTTCACGTCGTTTTGACTCGTTTACGAGCATGATTTGTTTAATTGCTAAGCACTTATATCTCAAGTTTCGATAGTGCGATATACCGGGTGTCCCAAAAAAAACTTTACCTCTTTGTCTTAATATAACTCAAAAACGAATAAAAGTCATTAAATTGAAATAAACTCCACTGCATGCAAGCAGGGCTAACTTAGATTTTGATATATAACACTAAATTATTGATGCGATATTTACGGAGATACAAGCATTTGATGTCGCAAGGTACTTTCAAAATCTGTGCAAAATTGACAAAAATCGGCTATTAAATTAATTCGAAACTAATATTTTAACTTTTACGTTTTTAACTTTAGTGATTTTAATTTTAAATGTACGCTTTTCCATTGCAAACTTACTCTTATATAAGAGCGAACAATTAAAGTTAAAATCGCTGAAGTTAAAAACTTACCACGGGAAGTGGCATGCAAGTATTTTCGAATTAATTTAATAGCCGATTTTTGTCAATTTTTCACGGATTTTGAAAGTACCTTGCGACATCAAATGCTTGTATCTCCGTAAATATCACATCAATAATTTAATGTTATATATCAAAATCTAAGTTAGCCCTGCTTGTATACAGTGGAGTTTATTTCAACTCAATGGCTTTTATCGTTTTTGAGTTATATTAAGACAAACAGGTAAAGTTTTTTTTGGGACACCCGGTAGAAGTGGATTGAAATTGATCGTTGCATGTGTACATATAGAGATATTCTCTCAAATGAAGTTGTAGTTAGTTAGGAAAGTTAGTTAGTTAGGAAAGTTAGTTAGGTATAGTTAGTTATAGTTAGGAAAGTTATTGTTATAGTTATGGTTATAGGAAATATATGTGAAGGGAACGGCTTGTTATCAGTTCAATCTCCATTTCGTTGTATAGAAAACGAAGACTCATTAATAAATCATTGAACTTTTCATCCTTGCTACCTATAAATCCTGGGTTTTCACTTTACGAACAGCGCTAGAGAGCAAGAATTACAAGCCCATGCAGCGTTATTTTGTATACCGTTTCAGTAAATCATATTTTTTTAAATTCTACCATGCATATACATCAACAAACTTTTCTCGACTCAATGACCTCCAAATGAATCTCATGAAATAAATGAAATCTGAGACAAAAATTCACAGTCTCCGAATACAAAACCAACAATACACAGCCAGTTGGAGAATCATGCAGTGTTATTACGAAGAACTCCAGATGAAACTTTGACACGATACCCCGCCCACATATAGGAAGTTCACTGGTCTACGACTATGCATAACCTATAGCCATCAGCCATGCAAAACACAGCAAAAAGTCCGGTATATATATCATCACCCAGTGTTTCGACAAAGCTCTATAACTAGATACACCATATCCCAAGGAGCCAACTCATAAGCGAGTTTTCGTCCCGTCCTATACGATTACAAAGCCCACAACGGATTCGCTCTAATTTAATCAGTGTTTAAGTGTAAACGTACTATTTTTCAAGATTACACCGATGCATTCCGGCCGGAAATCATAGTTTAGTAGAAATAATAAAATCCTAGACAATATCTTTAAAAAAAAGCCATAAGCTTTACTGAAAATAATACTATGTAACGCAATTGATTGGCCTATTTATTAATACAGGCTGTTTGATAATTCTGTATCCTGTGTTATACTATTCGATGACTATAGTCTTTTTTCTTCAAGCACAGCTTAAAGTCGCCTTTTCAGGAAGGCTTTCGACACACAGGGTGATTATAAATCGTGCATTTGTCAAATTCGAAAAACGAGACGCCTGTATGTGTATAACTTCCGTATACACGCAAAGTATACACGATCATGATTTATAATGTAATGATGTGATATAGATTAGGCACATTGAGGAGGTAAATTCTTTAGCATGAGCTGTCTTGTTTGAGGCTAGTCCATCTGGTGACCCAATGACGCAAATGAATGATTCAAATTTCTGAAGGTTGACCAAAGGTCGAAGGATGTTTGATTTTGTCCAAATTTCGTGCAAAAACTCACGAACCACAGTTGGACATACATATTGTAATTCGTATATATATAAATCAATCGCTTTGTAATTTAAAATCCGGAAACACCGTGAAGTACAACTTAGATTCGAAATAAAGTTAACACGAATTGCATATCCCTGCTCGTTTTCAAGTCATCTAATGTTATTATTCAATTATTTGATATTTACAAGGTTGAAACAACCAGTTTGCTTGCGTGCATGACGTCAATACGCCATTCAAAACCACAAATTCACCCGTAGGCTAAATTAGGTCTATGCATGGGAAATTTTGTTGTCTTTTTATTAAGTCGAAGATATTGAAATTTAAAAAAAAATTGATTCAATGCCGAGATACCTTGCCGAATTAAGTTTTCCTGATAATCGCAGATTACGTTCTATTTTTGTTTCCTCTTTTGAGAGCGATTTTTGACAAAGATTTATCGTTTTTATATACGACTCAAAGATGTTAGGTGCATTTTTTTAACAGTTCGATTAGAAAGCAGTAGCTGTGTTACAAAAAAATCAGGCAGGGCAGGATGTCACTGCATTTGCTGATAAAATCACTTTCCCAAAAGGAGTAAATATGCAGCCACACTCGAAGTATTCAGTAAAATGGATTCTATAAACTGAAATGTTATTTATTGTACATTTTTGTCCCTAACGTGAGCAATTGACCTCAGTTCTCCATCGATGTCAAAGACAAAAGATAGAAATAAGCCTTGAATAAAGCTTAAAGGAAACGCAAATCCGAGTTTGACAAATTGACAGACCCAGAAAATGAAAGGAAACTGCAATTATACGGCTATATTTCGACCATATGTCTTCAATTTGTTCGATCAATGACCTCGAGTATCTGACGTGGTCAAAGTGAAATTCAGAAAGTATTTAATAAATGAATAAAATGATAATAGTAATGCAGTCTAAAGTTGACAAATTGACAGGTCGAACGGATAAAGCAGACTTTCAGATATGAAAAAACAGGCTTTAATCAGTAATTAATCATTCGGATTTGAAACAGAAAAATTGTAAGTATGTTTTTTTGCCTCTGCCGGGGAGAATTTCTCAACCGCATTCGGGCGGTTGAGCCCAAATCTTTCCCAAAATACGTCCAGGAAATAACTTTCGTTGAGCCTTGTGGAAGAACACTTTAGATAATAGAATTATAGAATAACCTAGTATAAAGAAAGTTGGTTTAGGTTTTGAGGTTTAGAACTGATGAAGAGAACGCAGAACGCCAATTTTACATGAAGTTTTCAATTCAATCAAGTCCCTTCGAAGCATACTGGGGTTGTTTAATTCGAAACCACTAGAAGATAGGTATCATTGCATTAAACAAACAACCAATAGTGTTGTTGACGAAATTACAACATACTTCATCCGGTAACAGACATGTAGCTACCATCACGTGGGTGGGAATGAAAACCCGAACTCACTGTCGAAAGAAGAAATGGACTCAAAGCCTGGAAGGATAAACTTGGAATGAAAAATTAAAGACATTTCTAACGTGAATTCACAATTAGCATTCCAAGAATATTATCATTTTGCATTTTCTTTACACGACCTACAAAAGCACTCAGAAACTACACTTGTAAACATTACTAATAAGTAAACCAAATAGCAAGACTGAAGACTCTATCTAATATTACAATGCATCGTGTCTAGACATGAGTTATAAGGCAATATAAGATTTCATAGGCGACAATGGCATTAACACGGTTAAGTTATTTGCCTTACTGGATCTTGCGGATGAACATTAGTCCTCTTTGTGATGTGAACAGTCGATTACTTCTCAAAGGTAGCCATGCATAAATGGATCACGTTTAAAATCATCGGTAATGTCATGTGGAATGCACACACCTAGGAATTTAAAATTTGACATAAAGTTCCCATGCGTGGATGTGTGTTCCAAGTTCAGGTCACAGTTCCTCAAACAAACTTCAGTCATCCAGTTTATCAACGGTCATGCCTTTTCGCCCACCGACACCCACATACTTCCTGTTCGCTGTGCATAAAACTCGGGTGTGTGAACAGCGAACCACTAGAGACTCGTGATACGGGAAGACTAACGGCAAACACAGCGAACTGTTGACGAAAGACTCCAAATTTTTACAAGACTAAGAGGCAAGAGAGACGACGACATGGCTCAGATCAGAATGAATGCACTATTGTTGTTCGCCGCAGTGGCTTTCGTAATGAAAACCAATGCTCTGGGTGGATTAAAGTTCAAGATGCAAAATTTAGAAGACAAAGAGCAGGTATGACTTTGAAATTCATAAGGACCAACAAAGTCCTACTCGATTTAACTCAAGGAAGTGTGGTGTAGGCAAATGAGACGTTGGAATAAGCTTACGCTTCAAAAGCAAGATTGATCTGTTCGGAGTTAGCTATTGACCTTGCAAAACTCAAAAGTTACCATCATAGGGATTTGGCAATAAAGAATAAAACCGCACACTTTTTGAACTTATAATTACGTGTTAATTGAGTCTTATCTGGACTCGTAAGCATCTGCAACCACTAAAAACAGGTATTTCCAAATCCCCGAGCATGCATGACGATAAAGACCCGGGTGATATCGGTCGAAAAAGACGCCAGAACTTCCTAAGAAGCTTAGCAACCATTGCCAAAAATTAAAGGCAAGATATAGTTGATGTATCCGATCAAAAAATGGCTTTAAGCCTTTAGCATAAAAATCCACTATTTGCCAACATCTTGATCGTAAGAGGAGCCATTTTGAAACGCTTTGGTGATCCATTATTTTACCCAGGCCTCGATCCTGGCCACTTCCACAACCCACAACTGCATGGTTGTTGTGTTCAAATATCTAGTGTTTGTACAGCCTATATTGCCTGGTGTGGTGAAATTTCCGTCATTATTAGAAACGTCCACGTAATTTCACTTGAGCTCCTGTATTCATATCGCAAATGAAAACTTTGTTAAAAAAATTGTCTCGTTTTCTGATGCGGGAGAAAATTAACCTCAGCCACAATTAAGTTATGACCTTCGCTGGTCTCTATGGAGAACAATAAACAAAACTATACGTGCTCTAATTAGATCAGTTCAATTTTTCCACTTTGCATGTGGTAAACACTCGTGACTATTGTTATTCACGCACAACCCCAGATATACTTTTTTTGGATGTTAAAAGCTATTTCGACTTTGCGGTTGCGCTAACGTCAGAGTAGGTATTTTGTTGCATGGAAGAGTGTAAGCTTTTGATGAAAATCGTACCACCTACACAATTTGACAATCGCAATGAATGCGTTGAAGCGCCCTTGACAGAAATCAAATCTGGTGAAATACGACAGACATCGCGTGAAACACGCGGTTAATCCGATGGCCTAACCATTGGCTAATGTGGCCAGTTTTTCTTGCTAAATCTACACAATTAGCCAAACATGTGAAACTAATTTGAAAATATAACTGCCCACATGATAGATATGTTGAAATTCAACATGTTTCAATTTCGCATATTAAGTAACACAGATTCTAAGCGATGGATCTATATATTCCGATGCATTTAAAAACTGATTTTCTTGCTCGAAATTTCCTTTAAATCGGTTCAAACAAAGGCGTTTCTAAACCTATTTTTTTGCCAAATTTCGCAACATAGTGATTTAGATAAAAGGATGCGTGTCTGCCGTTCTAGACATGCACTTCCACACCTGTACGACAGATTGCCATCATATTTTGCAAGCGTTGACAGAAAGTGCTTGAAACATGCATACGGTTTGTCAACAATTTCGTGAAACAATTTGTTTTAATTTGTCGTATGTTCGATAATGTTACTATTTTGTCTCGACGTATGACGTCATTAGTTAAATGCGAATACGGTCAGCGAAACTAGTTTGGAATCTTGGCACCGTTACCATGGTTCCGCAACCGAAATCCTTACTTGGTCCTCGATTACGCAATCTAGCTTCGCCTCGTTCGCCATTTCGGATGGCTTCGCCCACTGATCTACAAACAAGCGCCGGATAGCTGACTGAACAAAATCGTCATGAAAATCCCTCATTCAACCAAAATAGGTTAATCTAAGTCACTCAACAGCGAGTTTTCCATCACCCAATTCGAAGCAGAAACATTCAGTCTATTCGCCAGTGTTTATTCACAGCGAGACGCTTTGCAATCTACAATAAATCTAATTAATCTAGTTTCTTTCGATAGGTATCTCCAAGTTACAACGAGGAGTTAGACCAGCTCGCTTCCCTCTTGAGAAAAGAGACCTTGAAAGCCTATTGTGAATCCGAAAAAGCTAACACAGTTTGGTGTCAATATAAACAACTGCTTGAGCTGAACTCGGTCTACGAACAACAGCGACAGAAATCGGTGAAAAAGAAAAGTGCCGGGAGCATGTGCTGGCCCGGTCTTCCGTGGCCTTGCGACAAGAAACGGCTCGTTCCAGCTGCGAGATCGGTACGGGCCGCCGAAAACGACGTCAACGACGACAACGAAGTCGTGACGGCCAATCCCGATGATCCTACCGGAAACGATGACGATGAGGAAAAACGTGCGATGAAATGCCGCCCAGGTATGGTGAATTGCCGCGGGAAAAAGAAAGGGAAACGTACATTATCACCACCTGCAGTTATGAACACACAAGTTAAAGGTGACTGCCCACAAGGATGGCTCTTTTGTTTGTAAAAAAACGTTGTTTTGAACGGTATTTGGATGGAACTGTCGGTTTGGAAAACGTTTAAGTTATAAACTAATTACACATAGATATTTATGAGTTACATTTTAGATGATTTCACTACAGTAGTTTACTTATTTAATTCTAGTCGTATGCTTAATCATGCTAATGTATTATTTATAACTGTTTATACATAATTAATATTTTGTATTATCTTTAAGATAAGTTATACAGTAGTTTTGTTTGTAAAACGAGTTCGTTTTGAATAAAAGTATCATTGACATTTTTAGCTTAAACCCACGAGTATGCTTTTACGTATCGTGCATTCTCATTGGCTAGTGATAACGCGAGTTGACTAAAAGTCATCCTCCAAACGAAGGATTTTGCGATCAAAATTTAATTATCTTCCCAGTCCTCCCTCCGAATTCGACTTTTGATGTATGTTTTTTAAAATAAAAAAAATGGCGCGAAATTTTTCTATAACTGATAAGAACTATGCACCGCGTCGGACAACACAAACCTGCCGCCGCCACAGATCTATATAGACTTACCTGGAGAGTTCACGGCCTCCTTGTCCGTCTCTGGAAGACAGTGTGTGTCAGGCCAATGTTCAAACACTGCTTGAAGTAGTAACATCCCATAGTTCACTGTTTAAATGAAATTTACCATCAAGAACAAGCACCAAAGCAAGGAACAAACGGGCCAAACTGATTATGAATAAGTGAAAAACTCTTACCATAATTCGTGATAGTAATGGCGGCTGTAAAAAGAGAAAAAAAAACCGTGTCACATTCACCTTCAAAATTTTTCAGACTTGCATAGAAAATTTACTGGCCCTAAGCCGGGAAAATGTTTCGATGCATATAGCGTTGATTGCTTGTGATTCAAGCACTTTATATCTCCAAATACAAAGGTGGAAATTTATTCGAGAAATTGATATGAATTGTCTTACGTTTTCCATCCAGTATTTTGGGGGTAATGTCGGGGGCATCGCTGTAGGATAACCAAGCATTAAAACAATCACTTTCTTCCAGATGGATCATCAGGAGCTAAGAAAGAGATAGAAAAACAATTCATTACAACTGAAGCTTCTAGCAAACTTCTGTAATCAAACTCAGTTTTCATAGACTCACTCCTATTTTGATATCAACTGTGAACCATTGCGGAACGTAGATTTTCTGATATCTCTTTTGAATCTCCATATCAAAATCAACATTTCCCAGGTCTTCTTTTAAACTGATCTGCAAGAATCGACGTTTAAATTCTCGGTAGCTCAAAAGTATGTGTGTCCAGTTTAACATATTGCGGTCAGTGACACAGGATCGCATCCAGTCAGCGACTGCAGTCCAGCCACTGAGCTATATAATAATTCCTGGAGGACCGGCTCGCCACCAAAAAGTGTAACGAAAAAGATGGCGGATTTTCAGCTTTGCTGACGCCACATGGTCCCCTTTGCCCATGGTAATTACCACTGACATACCGCGATACAAAGTCAAAAACGTGTCCATCACCCTCCCGATTTTTATGAAAATATTTTTGGTTTTCGGTATTGTTTTCGGCATATATTTTCTCCGCGTTTCATCTAAAAAGACTCTTTTTCCCTGTTCAACAAGTTAAATGGAGAAGTGATTTTTCGCTCTACATATGATGCTGTGAATGGCCTAATTCACCTATCGGGATATCAATTTTTACCTCAGGTAAGCCGGTTTTCACAACATTTTCGTTTTTCGCCTTTGGTATAGACAACTACCAAAGCGTCTGTTGCAGTTTATTTCTTTTGAAATTAATGTTAAAAACGGCAAATATGCTGCAGAGTGCAGCCTTTTTGATCAATGGTACATGACTTAGTTACGCTATGAAAAACTATACTTTATGAAAAAGGATCAATAACTGATCTTTTGAGTTTTGGCTATGTCTTGCCAGTTTTGACTTTTGAATAGAACTCTTATGGCATTTGCACTGGAGCTTTCACTCATATTTAATGCCAACTCATGAGTATTTTCAGCCAAACAATTAAGATGAATCAATATTCAATCCTCCCAGTGAATCTATTAGTCTCTCTATTGATCCTTTAGATGAATTTAAAACATTAAACATGATGACTGTGTGAGTGCTGATACAAAATATTTTACTGTCAGATTTCAACAGTGGTTGTTAAAAGTCTAGTATGTTATCTTGTTTGCCTTGTCAAATGCAAAGTCAATAATCATGGCTTAATAGACTTCTTGGCATCTTGCACCTTGTTGATCAAGCTACAAGCTTGATTGTTAATCAGTTTGCAATGGTTTTTATTCCCCTCTGGCTCTGTCCTCTGGGTGTACTTTATTGAGTACAGTTAAACTTGGTCTGATCTCTCTTTTTTAGGATGAAGATGCTATTGAATTTGGGGATGGCTTTTTTGCAAATTACTGGAACATTAAACTGTTAATTTTACCATGTTGACTTTGTTAGTCATAGTTAAGATAGTTATTTAAATGGAAAATAAATTTATACAGACATGCATTGACTGAGCAGTTTGTTTTCAATTTGCAGCAACTTCTGGACAGTTTTACCCTCCCCACCATTCAAAGGAATATTATCATGGGGCTAATCAGGAATTGAAGGTTAATAGATTATAGACTAATGGAGGAATGAATAGGCTCAGTTGCATTTTCATGAATTCATGAGACATTTGTTTAATAGCACAACTAGTACCAATTCTTCTTGGTAGTTGGTACTATAATAAAATTTTTGTTATTTACCATAGCCTTTCCTTGCATTATCTGGAATATGATTATGATTGGAAAATGCATTACTTGGGATACAGTAAGATAGGGGTAACTTAGGCTAGCTATAATGACCTGAATGAAAATATCCTATGCAAATGACTTGAAGTACTATTACTATATAATCAGCTGCCCAGCATCTTGCATGAGGTTTGGCCTTTTTTTCCTTGAGTTATGGGCTGATATGCATAAGCATGATGTTCTAAGGAAAACATCACATAACAACATATTTTCTGCCGGTAACCTTTAGTCGGCGATTGATATCCGAAAGATAATCCAAATTTCTGACAAGACTCGAAAAATATTCAAGTATTTTCAAAAATTTTATACAGAAATGTATGAATAATGAAAATAAATAAATAAATAAAATAACCTGTCAGCTAATCGTATATAAAAATCCTTCGTCCACAATTTTTTTTTACGTTTTAATATTAATATTTTCTCTGGCATTCGCAAAACAGCGTCCACGATTGTATAGAACTGAAATAAACGCCTTATTGCAACGCTTTGTAGCACAAAAATAAATCGAAAAATACAAAACAGCAAGGTTTCCAATTCATGTTTCACGGCAAAAAAAATATTCATAAAAAACCAGGGGGGAAATACTGTTGTTTAGATAAACCAGGGGGGAGCATCTCTCGTAGCGGGCTCAGATTTGAGCCTGGTCAGTGGTAATTACCCTGGGCAAAGGGGACCATATGGCGTCAGCAAAACTTCTGCGCAGTGCGCAGAAGGCAAAATCCGCCATGTTTTTTTGTGCAAAAAGATGGCGGCGAAGTTACCGAAAAATGACGAACCGGTCCTCCAGGAATTATTATATAGCTCAGTGAGTCCAGCTTAATGATCTAGCCACTGACCTATACTAGATACAGATATATACTCTAATATAGGTCAGTGGATCCAACTCCCAAGTGCTTCACTGACCGCAATATAAACTGGAGAAAACATTACTCGCTTTACACAATCGGGTTTTTAAGGCCGGTTTACATTGGCAATTTTTACCGCAATTTTCGACCCGATTTTCTTCTTTTAATGCATGTGAACAAGTAATTAGTTACGAATGCTCTTATGTACAATAGTTCTTATTTGAACTTCCGTAACTAATTCACTCGTTCCCATCCATCAAAAGAAGAAACTCGCGCAAAATCCCAGCCAAACACGCACGTGTAAATGGGCCTTGGTTGAAAAAACTTTGAACAAAACTTCCTCGAACCTTTAAAACGTCCCAAAGTTTAACGATATCGTCAGAATCCCTGGTTAAAATGTGTCTTCGGTCATTCAGGACGTGATAATTGGTTATACTTGCTGCACCTGTTTACAAAAGTATGTAAAAATATTTGTTAGGCTAGAGTTTCCGTCTCTGGTTCTCGTGCATTTTACTAATGTTAGATGACTCTGCCAAACCTTTGATGGTGTCTGAGGGTTGTTGACACGCGGGGGTTGGCTCTGCTTGGTCATAACGTATCGGCTCATGGTTTTTCTTTAAGACAACAGGCCAGCGTTTTAGATCCGAGTCAGATGTCGCCACCCATAGTGATTTTGAGTCAGGACAAAGTTCCATCTAGAGAGATTTTGAAAATGCTCAACAGCTTTATCCGGTGTAAATAAATAAAGTTAAAGTTTTGTGGTCGACCCTCATGAGTCCACTGGGAAGAACATTCCATCATGTGGAAGCACCAACTAAAGACCTCCTTCCATTTTTCAAACTTACTGCTAAAACTGGTGATTTTTCAATAAATAATAACACAGAACAATCATCCTGTCTCAGGTCAGTCAAGATGACTCTCTGATCTCTGCCGCTGGAATAGAAGCTTGTAAACGACTCGTTAGGGCACAACGTCCAGACCCCTTGCCCGTGAACACGGAATGTGGCAATGCATCGCTGTTGACCGATAGACCACAAGCGAACCGTTCCATCAGAACTGCCTGAAAGACACTAGGAAGAGAAACATGTTGGACTAAGGATGGAGATATCTACCTTTTTATTGTTGCATTACACGGTACCTGAGTGCCTTCAGCATTTAAAACTACGGTTTTTACATTGTCCATATGACCACGTAATTTCATAACTTTTTCACACGTCCGTGGATCCCAAACTCGTAAGGCCTACGATCAAGAAAGAAAAATTAGATTGTGTTCATATTATTGGGGCCTATTGGCTCTTTTACGAATGATTAAAACAAAGTCAGTGACAGCAACGAATGAATCTGGAAGTGATAACTCTTTTTGAAAACCTTTTCTGTTGAGCCTGACACAAGAACAGTCCCAGCATTATTCATTGACAAACTGTAAATTGAATCTTTCTGACCACTAAGAGAAGAAGCTTTGAAAGAAAGAAATTGGCTGTTATTGAAGGCTATTATTATCACAACCAAAAAATGCTGAATGTTGTTGATATAACAACAAACTTAAAAAAACAAAAACATAATATTATTTTAATAAAACTCACTGGTGACTGTGTTGTTTGTTGCAGTTAAAGCTGTAAGAGTGTTGACATCCCATAGAAATATTTGTTTATCTAAAGCACCAGATGCAACAAGTTCTTTGTCTTTAGCATAAGCTAATGCTTTGACATAATCCTTATGGGTGCGTAGGGTTGACATACAATACCCTTTGACAGCATCCCAAACTTTCACTGTCGAATCCGACGATGCAGAAATTACTAGGGGAAAACAATGGTAGGTAACTATAAACATCCTGTATCTTGAAACGATCAGCTATTAAATACCAACTAGACTCACATGTTTTTCCGTTGCGGCACAAGACAATATCATTGACCCAGTCGTTGTGATGTTCAAGCGATGATAAATAACGAGCACTCTGACTCTGTGGAAAGCAACGTGATATTGGTTTATCGTGAAGGAAACCAGCTATCAAAGCACAGATTAAAGCAATAGACACTAAATACCGTTATTATCTATGAACATGATCAATATACAGCAATTAAGAACAGAATAAATGCACAAAAAATGCACAAACACAACGCACAAGGGTTTCGCCTTTTCCACGATTTATGGTGCTTACATCCCAACATCGTATGACAGAGTCTCTTCCTGCTGAAAAAAGACGTCCATTACTGGAATCTAGCTGTAAAGCATTCACTCCGGCGCGATGGTGGCGCTCCACTTCGTCTCTGATCACAAAAGAGATTGTTTTTTTTCGTTTCGATACATTTTGTGACAGCCTACTGGCCGCCATCTTGTTTTGTTTACAAGTGCTTGGTAACCGCGACTTCAAGGAACTTCTTGCCTGACGGCGTAATACAATCACCCCCATCTTCTACAAATGAACTCCCCCCCCCTCTCATATCTCGGTTATCACTCAATCACCGTGGTATAAACATCAAACATCTATGGTTGAAAACATGAACAGTGTCTTGCAGAAGGAATCTGACTGAGCCTCCACGAGCACTCAGTGTTATGTCTTTGTATTTGTGCCCCAATGTCATATAGCGATCGAAACCTGATTATTTATACTAGATAGCTCTTGATAGTTTTATCAGTTCTAAACTGTTCTTCCTAGAGGTCCAGTAAGGATCATCTCTTATTGATCCAGTGTTACTACAAAAAGAAACCTAAACTAAACGAACTTTGTTTATACTGGATAGCTCTATCAGTTCTAGACTGTTCTTCCTAGAGATCCAGTAACGATCATCTCCTATTGATCCAGTGTTACTACAGGAGGAAACCTAAACTAAACTAACTTTATTTACACTGGATAGCTCTATCAGTTCTAAACTGTTCTTCCTAGAGGTCCAGTAAGGATCATCTCTTGTTGATCCAATGTTACTACAGGAGGAAACCTAAACTAAACTAACTTTATTTACACTGGATAGCTCTATCAGTTCTAATCTGTTCTTCCTGGAGGTCCAGTAAGGATTGTTTGATCCAGACATCTAATATTACTACCTAAACTCTAACAGGAAAAGCAAAAAACTTCAAAACAAAACAAAATCCGAAAATAGAACACAATGTGTCGATATTTGGAAATTGTTTTATCTCGTAAGTAGCCTTAATGATTGTGAAAAAAACAACAACAAAAACTTCCCCTTTTTGTTTGTAATTTTTACAACTTTCATGACTATTGACATGATTTAATATTTTGTTTTATTGTTCCATTTTTGTGAAAATAATTTCTTATCGACATATTCACAACTTTGTACAACACTCCAGACTCTTGCACGGTCTCCGGCGACGCCATAACACAAACGAACTTAACATGTGACGTGTGACGTATCGAAACGAGTGAGCGTTAAAAATGCACGTACGTATGTTTGGCGACAGTATTTTACCCAAAGCAGTTTTTACGCAACCCATTCGCCCAGATGGTGAAGCTACGGTCAAGTGAATTTAACCACAACGAAGGAACTAAACTTGTTCTGGAACATTGCTACGCACTAGGATCTGACAAGACTGCAACCTTTCTGACAACAAATATAACTTGCTACAGATTGACGAGAATCAATATTTTGGTGCGAAGGGTAAAAAGGTCGCTCTTCCTTTTTGCAACAGAACTTGTTGATGCAATATGCTGATACAGCAAGTTAATTTGTCTCGCAATAAAGTTACTGAATGAATGCGTCAAAACCTATTCCTTTTTGCTCTATTAAACTTCATTTTGAAGTAGAAAAATCCATTGATACAGTCAAAAAGAGCATCTCAGGTTTGTAGATTATTTAACCTAGCACAACAGCAAACTTTTCAAATTCACAACTCAAGACGCTCTTTTCAACTGTACTGATGAAGTTTTCTAGTTCAAAATTAAGTTTTCCATCCTAAAGGATTGTTTCAATGAATTGAGTTCTTCATTAAGCTTTGAATTAGGCAGCGGGCATGTAAACAAGCCTAATTTAATTCATTTGTCATACTAGCCGATTGTCGATTGGTCCAATACGAAGTGCGCATATATGCATTCCACAGTTACGCGCTACGCACGTTCTGTCGTCACAGCTGCTGCCTTGAAAGTCTTGCTGGCTCACCACTTGTATTTTCGCCGAAAATCTCCGGCTGACATTCCCGACGCTGTTCGCTTTCAGTTAGTTGGTTCTGTTCACAGGAGAGTCAGGGTATTGGCTCACTTTTAACAAGTTCTATATTTGATTGTTGTCCCTGTAAGTCTATGTTTGTGCTCGTAAGCGTCTCGGGTCCGACCGCCGCCGAGCTCGCGCCATCTTCACCTTCCGAGACATCTTGAGGATTCGGGTTTCCCGCCACAAAACGGATACATTTCTTTTTTCTCCTGAAAAATTAATAGGAAGGGATGTTAGATATTTCCCAAAGTCCTGGGTCTGGTCGCGCCAGACCTCTCTCTCCAAGCACGCATTTTGATTTAAATATTGCATGATTCTTAATGAAACATTTTTTTGTAATGTATAAAAAGTTAATGTTGATGCTAGATTACTATAGTCGATACTTCAAACAATCCAAGAATGCAATATAATCTCTTAAAGGAAGAGACGGCTAGTTTAGTGGACTTGTTAACCATATCAACAAAACTTCTCGCCTAAAAAATACTATATTTTGAACATAAACAAACAAATACCTGCATGGTTTACACCATTCTTGTTGTCTGTCAAGACCATATCGAGCACGGCATTTCTTTGGGTTATTGGCTTCTGTAAAACAAGCATTTTTTCAACAAAATATAGCATGATTTCTGCGAGCAATTTTGGCAATTTATTCCGAACGATATTACTCCCCAGAGTGGAAAACTATTGTCGGCTAGTGGGTTAACAATATTTCCCGCCATATTATCCATGTCTCCGGCGACTATATTGCCCACACAGGGTTTCGCGACTGTAATACTTAACCGTCTAAAAAAGGAAGTGCAATACGTCCTCTTTGAAAAAACTTTATCTTCGCAGTCTTATCGTCTCTTAAATTTAATGGAAGGATGGAAGTGATGTGAAATAAGAGAATGGCATTACAAATCTATTTTCTTTCGATTCGTACAACAAAATAACTAGGCTACAAGTTCATTTCCAGTCGAAATTAAACAACAAAATCGAGGTTAGATGAAGCCGTCGTGAGATGTATCGTATTTTTACTTAAATCTTCTGCAAATAACCAATATAAGAAAAATCGCCAAACACTCCATGCCTTTTTACTAATTCAATCTGTCAAACATGTCAATGGCAGTCAATACTCGACCAAATGGAGACCTCTTTGTTGACATCTTTTCAGCAAAGATCTTTACTATTGTAATGGTCAAATATTTTGTTCAGGGCTGTGTGATTGAGCCATTCTTACCTGAGCTATCTCCTTGGGATTTGTCTCGTTTCCTTTTCTTCTTTTTCCCCTGTTGCGCGTAATTCTCTCGGGCGCTCCAACCTGGATACAACTGCATGTGCAACGCGCGTTCCCTTCGGGCTTGATCGTAATATTTGGCTTGTTCGGCGCGGTCAAGTTGGTGCCACTACAAAAACACGACGGAAAAAAACACATTGCAGTCCGATCAAAAGCTACTAAAGAAATCACGTCCTATACCTAACAGTACGATTCCATTATAGAAACCCAGGAAATGGGCCGTACAATTTGGACAAAATAATGAAAATTGACTGGTGGCAGTGCTAACTTAGTGAACTCTAACTTGGGTATATTGAGATGTAGTCAACGCATGCGCAAATCTTGTTATTTTCGTTCAAGACTTCAAGTGCATATAAAACAACAAAACCCTTGACAGTTGACACAGCCTGCTGTCAACTTGCAAATCCCCGTTTGCCAATTTTCCCCCCGTTTTGGCAAGAAATCTCCCATCATTATAATAAGGGGCTTAGCGAGTTCTGACAGATGGGATTATACATGCAAAACACAGGACAAAACTATACTACTTTTTATCAAAAGAGTTGCCGTAGTTTTATGATTAATTCAAAAGAATTGCATTTCCTTTCGTTCACCCAAAAATCATCTGTGTTCGTTTCGTTCGTTTTATTTTCTCAACAAAGTGTTATATGTTACGAAAACTACAAAGAAAGTTTCCCTTTCAGGTCTTTTTATTTCAAGAACTTTTGTTTCACAATAAAGGCTCAGAAGAAAGTGACTTACCCTTTTGCCAAGTATCTGGTTAATGGCTGCACTTTCTTTTAACGTACATTCAGAAATCACTTTACTACGCATCTCTTTCATGTACAACATAAATGCATTGAGAGGCTTCTTCACGTGTACCTTCTTCTGCATGTGTCCATTTTCGTGGGAGATATTGCCTTGGCTAAAACAGGGAGAATGTAAAATTTAAACACCAGAAACTTGCAAAATCGTGGAGATTTCATTAAGAGCTGACACCATCAAGTTCAGCGCTTTTGTTGTGCTGTAAATTTTGAAAAGTGTTGACCAAAACTTCATGCAAAATTACTTCAACCTTGATAAAACATCTAGCTTGTGAAATAGTCCCACAATCTGTCACCTATCATCTGAAAGTTTGTTGTAAAATTAGTTGGCCCATAACTGGCCATAGCAATACATAAAGATGGCTAGATTTTCTCTTAAGTACTAAAGTCTTTTCCTGCTGTTGATGGTTCCAAGTAGATGGACCACAAAGACAGACAACTTTGCTCTTTTAGGGTTCTTCAAGCAGTTTCAGAAGTATGGAGAAATATTGATTCCTGTTTGGCAGAGCTCACTTTTTGGCAGAAACATTTGTTTGGTAAAAATACCTGTTTGGCAGTCCGGGCATCGGCGTCTGACATATCACAGAGGTTTTCATTGGTGGAGCGACCATGTGACCATGTCGCTGCTCATCTGTGATGTTACCAGGAGGACGTCGCAATGAGGTTTCAACACTGCTGACCGGCATTGCGTTAGGGTAATGTGGTGGATACAGAGGGCCTTGGTATGCCACACGTGTGGGGTGCCTGAAAAAATTCATTCCATTACATCAATCACATTAGATTGTGCAATTGTCTTTTGTTTCAGAAATTGTGACTCAATTCTTTAACATTAAACAGGACTATATGTACAGATTTTAAGTTAAGCAAAGCCATTGTCCTCATGCTGTTAATCAGCTTACCATATTCGACCACTGTAGTATGGATTTTCATGTGTTGTGTATGGTGGATGGGGTCCTGTCATGAGGGGGCGATAGATTTCCGTTTGATGTGGGCTAGACAAATTCCCAGGAGCAAATGGTTGAAAAATAGGCTGACGACTGTCTCTTTTGGCCTGAAATAAAAATTTCATGGAAATTCTACATCAAGTTTCAACAAAAAGTGAACACTGGAAATGCCAAATTCTATTGCCTAAATACTGGGTATAACAACACATGTATTATTTTCTAAAATAAATACCATAGTGTTGTATCGTGTGATGAGTGAATTTGTCCTAACTAAGTAGCCACCTGTTGTAAAATTGTTCGCTAACAATGTTTTTTCACGAAAGAGTGCACTGCTAATAGGGACGTCTCACAAAGGCCAAAAAAATAGTTTAGAGCGTGTCTGCTTGGGAGAGATGACCTGTTATGTGAGTTGTGACACTTGACACCATATTGCACCTCTAATACCACTGTGAGAATCTGCTGCAAAAGCCTCTCTTACTTTTCATTTCATTGAAATTTGCCTCTTTTCATTGGAACTATCAATGGTACCTGCCACCACTAATGACTAAAATACACATTACTGGTACTTGTTATGCTATGCTACTTTCTACTACTTTGACAGTGCAATGACTCCGCAGAATAATATAGGAAGTGCTTTTCACTGTGTATAACTATTTACTTGTATTAAATGATATCAAAAGTTATCTGGTGTTGTGCAGTTGCATGATTATGTCAGTTGATGATACTAAATGATAAGCTGTCAGTCTTAGCACAGGAATCACCTGGTATTAAAGCCTTTGAAATTTTAAGTAAATGCCATTTACAAAAAAAGTTTGCTACTAAGAAGACCTCAACATGAGTTGAGATAGCTTAACTGACCAGGCTGATTTGGGTTAAAACGGATGTTTTAATGAAAACTACTGCAGGTTTCATCACGCCAAAGCAACAATACCCTCCATTTCAGTTAATTTGTACAAGTCTGGAAGCCACATGAGTAGGCCAGATTAAGCTAGACTTATTCAAACAACTCTAAATTCACGGATAATTACAGCATTCCAAGACACCCACATTTTCATTTGCAGATGCATTGCTATCATAGTACATCACAAAGTTCTTAACAATTTAATACAATTTCCTTATGTAAAAGGCTGGAAAAGCATCAGCAATATCCTTCCTCAAATCATTTTCAAACCAACAGAGCTAGGTTTTAATTTTGAATGGTTCAGGCAAGCCTGCTGTCTATCTATGCTGATAAACACAAAATTTAACAATTAACCCCCTAAGAAGAAAAGCAGAGAAATGCATGTATCAAATATAAAACAGTTTACTGTTTACAACTTCATTCATATAAACAATATCCCAAAATACATGCAACATTAGAAATTATTTGATGTTATTCAACATGCAGTTGTATCATATTTTTTGCTCAAAGCAATTCTTTGTAAAAGGACATATTCTCTGTGAAAACTTGAATGCCAATATAGGGTACCTATTTATAGCCATTGTATATTCAAGTTATCTGATAAACATACAGTCACTCGAAATTTTGTGGGGAAACCTCAAAAATATAAGACTGTATGTAATTAACTCTTAAAACTGACACGATGCACTTTACAACAGGGCGGAAACACGGAACAAAACAACATCTATACAGAAAAAAATACTTGGCGATATTCCACTTTAATGTGGCACGGGCAAAACAGGCATTTAATAATGACACGGGATAGCTTGTTGTTGGGAATTATAAATTTATGATACAGTATCTTAGTATCGAGTTTGCGTAGCAAATTTAAAACTATCCAACTTCCCCGTGTCATGGCTGAGATTGTTTTAGGAATAGTTAAAGGCATATGAATTAAAGAAAATGAAATTAATATAAATAATATCGTATCAAGGAAATAAAAAGGATCGCAGGCATGCTGTTAGATATTTGTACTTTCAAATGTTCTGGCTTCTCATCTTGCACACACGAAGTGTCGAAAGGTTGTCCAACGAATTGCTTATTAGTTATTATGTCCAATGTCTAAAATTCGTTTAAAATCTCTCCGCTCGCAAAACAAAAGTGTCTTACAAAACGAAATATGATAGTACGGGTTAAAACAAATACGGTTTGTTCACAGGTTAAGCTTGGAGCGAGGATTCCGAAACGAAATGGTAAATTTGGAAGTCGCTAGACACTCGCTTCGCACATGCAGACTAGACTTTGTAATGGACGTTTGCCGACAAGACTATAATGTGAATAAAGAAGAGCCGCGCAAGGGGTCCAACCTTCGACCTTTTGTTGCCTTTTAGTATACCGCCGCTTGAATTAAACAGAAAATCACAAACACAGCTTCTTTTAAAGCGTTCGGCGTTGCCGCTTCGTACGGCGAGCAAACGGCAATCGCGAGGCACGAAGCGACATGCGATATAAAGAAGCTATTTAGTTAGCACGCGATGAACGCTTTTGAATGCTTTTACCGCCGGTTTAATAGCACCCGAAATCATCTCAGCCACTCGCCAGGATCTGTGTTTCCCTTTGAAGTCGGGCTTTTGCCGAAACAATCGATAGAGGCATAGCATTCGAGCGAACATTTCATGCGAATACTTTGCCGACAGAATCAAAACACACGCACGCGTGCTTCCAATCGAACGCTCTTTCGAACGTTTGCCTACCTCGATGGATTCCACTCTCTCGGCATCTTTCTTAATAAGGTCGCCTTTAATGTCTTTTACTAAATCGACATTTGTTTCATTCGCCGCATTCTCGTCCTCGTATTCATACTTTTTGACTTCATCATCGGCGCCATATTCCTCTGTCGTATTCCTTATCTGAGGCATGATGCCCCGGTGAAAAACGCTCCCAAATCGCCCAAATATTGCTCGAAAAAAACCCTATACATCCACTAGCATCGGCGTTCTCTGTTCAATGCTCGTACTATAATATGTTATTGCGACTTGCCGACTTTCCTTTGAAGCGCCGCCGACGTAGTTCAAAGGGTGCCGACTCGCTTGATTGACATATTCTAATCACCTGATTAAGGCATACAAACCAATAGTAAACGAACACAGGTGGTAATTAATGACGAACGGGTAATTATACATTTTCGCCGCGAAATGCATATATATTTTCCCCCTTCAAGAGCCGAACTAGCCTTTAATAAACAGGTTAAAACACAATTTTAATATGAAGAATGTGCGTAGCACTTCTGTCCGATCTTGGTATGCAAATATTGTTTCAACTCGGCTCCAGTTCCAAAATATCTATCACCTTTGATACTCTCTTCCTCTGTTTGTAATTTGCAAATTTTTCAGACTGTTTTTGCGTGATTTACTGGTAAATCGGGAGTCAAATGTAAATAATTTCAAGCCATTTCATTGGTTCCCGGCAGAGCCAATCGCGATTTTCACTTATTTTCGAATAAAGCTAAGCCAAAGGATTGAAGATCTCGGTGGCAAGCTCTCGCAATTCTAGGCGAAAATTGAGGTGTTCGTCCTTTAACAGCTTTCAATGAGCGAATAAGTTTACAAATGTTCAAATAAGCGCACTTACGAGTTCTGAATCACAGGAAAGAATAGAATTGCACCGAAAATATCCGTAGGAAGCCTGTAAACTGGACTGGTCTGCTATATAGTCAATATCAATGAAGTTTACTCGCAAGGGCTGGGCTATCTATCCAACGTCTCGCACTTCACAGGGACGGAATAAGGTCATTAGGTGTGCCGGAAAAAAATCATTATAATCTTAGTAATGCGGTCTTATGACGACTGAATGTTTTACAGCGCAAGTCGGTCTGCGAGGGCCTGGATCATGTCAGTTGACTGGTCACTCACTAGTGCTGGGGCTGATCACAGCTCTATGATTATAATCAGTTTTGTGGTCCTCAGCCGAGTCAAATGGCTACATAAAGTGAATACACCTCATATGCGCGTATTGTTCTCAAACAGACATGAAAGAACGCTACCAATCAGATGATTTAGAATTTAATATTTCACATGTCTGAAGATGGCTTAAAAAAAACGCCAAAAATTTTAAGCGTATTCCAATTGAAAGATATTTTATTTCGCCCCAACGTCGTGAATCCGAAAATCTTAATAAATCGGCCGCTGGAAAACAATTGTGATAGCCCAAAGAAAGACACGCTTTCCTTGGCAACCACGAGTGTAAAAGAACTTCTTTCAAATTAATCATTTACCCAAAGTATTCCGGACGGAAGGGAAATAAAGACTTTTAAAAGCGCGCCAATATTGTTTGCTTCTTTGGCGCCAATTTGTTTGTACTGTGACGTAACTGGCCGTCTGAATGGGAAAAGGCCGCTGCGACAGTCAGAGTATATTGAAGGAAAATATTTGCTGCCGTCAAGTGCCGTGTTTAAGTTTGAATTCGTCAGTCAATACAGACAATACTAAGCAAGCCATGTCTATTTATAATAGATGATGGCTCATGGCTCTGGCACACTGACTCTTGTGTCAGTGTGTCAGTATATAGCTACCCTTTCACTCTGATCGCGAAAGAGGTCAAGCATACAACGGTGTTGCTCGCCAGAGCCAAAGAGCACAAAAGTAACCTTGAAAACACTCCGCGTATTTGCATGTATTTGACTGGCTCAGTGACGTTAACAAACAGTAAACTGCGCTCTCAAGAGGAACTCACACTATCTTTATAGATACTTCCTATAACTACCTCCATTTCCGCGTTTCCTACAGGGTCAGTCATTTGCAAGACCTCAACGTATAACTTTGAGAAAAACGAGAAGCAATTCAATTGATTCCTTCTCGAATTGTGGCCTGTGTCTAAAATATCTGGAGAGCATGCGCGAGTGGTTATATTTTATTTTAAGTCGGCTTACAAATCCATACAAGACGAGTTGTCTCGCTCCAGTCACATTTGTTATATGCCACAGCGACGAAGAACATGCTAGAACCGGCCTTAATTGTGATATGAGAGACAAGATAGAGTTTTTTTCCCGACCCCACCAGATGGTACTTGGGTCAAGTGGTTTGGCTGCCATTTCGTTCTCAACAAGAGCAATATGTGAAGAACGTGTTTGAGAGCTTGCCTAAGTGGCTTTTCGCCTAATTCTTCTTCATAAAGCCCGGATAATGAAAGATGACTAAATGACCAAAAGTACAACCGGATTTAATTAAGTCGAATGTCAGCTTCCCAATATTAGCGTACTGTAAAAAGAATTTGTATGAAAGTGAATTGAACAACCTCGTTGGTTTTTGGAACTATATTATTACATACATCAAAAGATCACTTAGATCAGTGTAACATGACCTAAATTGGTTTGGGAAACAGCGTTTAACTTATATTCCATTTGTAATCCCCGAGATATCAGAGTGTCTCTAAAGATAAATTTAAAAAAAAAATGGGAAAAAATGTGATTTAGCCCTCAAAATGATAACACGATAAAGTATTGGTAAGTATAACAGAGCATATATAGTCAGAGTTACTTATAGATTTAAATGAAACTACAAATATTGTCATTAAAATGTGCCCGTTGTCGGAAAAAAGACAGTTATACTGGACCTACGAGACAGGCAAGAGCTTTCACTATATTTTCAGTTAGATTTTGAAACCTGTATAGATAGAGACCTCCCACGCTTGAGACAAACATGCGAGTATTACTGATTGACACCTCAAACATGGTGGTCTAATACAAAATATATCCTATACAAAAACATGCCTAGCTATATAGTGTTGAGTCTGTGTCCAAAACAAACGAGGAAGAAACAAAACATGGGCTTCTAAGGTTCAGGGGAGATATTTGCCCCAAATCCTTGGAACTGATACTTATAATTGAACCCCCAAAAGTTCCCAGAATGAAACCTTTGACAGTTCTTTAAAAGGAAACTACTAATGGAAAATTCTTGAGATCGATGAGAATTAAAACAGACTTATCCACAAATCTCTAAAATTATTGAAAATATATTTCTAAAACAAAACTCTTGTTCGCCTCTGTTGTGGAACAACCTGTTTCAAACGTGGGATTAAACTGAAGCATGCATGACCGTTCGACTAAAAATTAAACTTTACAATGAAGATAATTTATTATGGGAGTTTAAAACCGGATTTCATATTCAATCGAACAACTTTGACCAGTCAACTTTTCTTCCTGGAGGTCCAGTAAGGATCATCTCGTATTGATCCAGTGTTACTGCAGGAGGAAACCTAAACTAAACTAACTTTATTTACACTGCCAGGATAGCTCTATCAGTTCTAAACTGTTCTTCCTGGAGGTCCAGTAAGGATCATCTCGTATTGATCCAGTGTTACTACAGGAGGAAACCTAAACTAAACTAACTTTATTTATACTGGATAGCTCTATCAGTTCTAAACTGTTCTTCCTAGAGTTCCAGTAAGGATCATCTCGTATTGATCCAGTGTTACTACAGGAGGAAACCTAAACTAAACTAACTTTATTTATACTGGATAGCTCTATACGTTCTAAACTGTTCTTCCTAGAGTTCCAGTAAGGATCATCTCGTATTGATCCGGTGTTACTACAGGAAATAACCTACTGAACAGAAATCGCCCAAAACAGTTTTTCCAAAAGGGCTGTGAGCCTGTTCCCTCTGGATTGGCTGGTATCAAATTATTCAGTGCCAGAGCAAAACATTGAAGAAGGAAGGTCACCTCAGTACGTAGGAAGTCGATATTGAAACGTGGAAGTTTGAAGTTGACAAAGTACTCACAAATGAACAAAAACTTTGTGTCATGTTTGCCATATCAGACAATTAAGGCAGCTCTTAGGTGAAGACATTGTCACTCGGCAAACAATGAAACCTTTCCTCAATTCACAATAACAATGTTTAATCAGTGCGGAAAAGATCTTTTGAAACCGCAGATAAACAACTATATACCAGTCATATGTATTAGCCATTTCTATAAGTGCATAGTCATAAGATTTGGGTAACTTCCTGTAAAAACATGACATGGGCCAATACATGACGGCAATCATGACATTACTTATGATCTCTATTGGAAAGATTAACTGAGATTTTAAGGAAAATTAGTTTCAGACTTGGTGTAAATAAAGTCAAGTTTCTTACTGCACAAACAGCTAGTGCTATGCCGCCTGGATAGAGTTACATAATAGTCCATAAATAATAAAGTTTACAGCTTACGGCTTCTTCCTGTGATTAGTAACAATATATAATGGTTAACTAAGAAATTATCCTCACTTCAGTCTTGTAATAGCATTTTTATATAGAATCAGCGATAAAGTCATTTCTAGGAAGAACAGGTTAGAACTGATATAGCTCTATCCAGCACTAAAGTAACGCTGGATCAATAAGAGATGACTGAATCTCTAGGAAGAACAATTTAGAACTGATAGAACTATCCAGTGTAAATAAAGTTAGCTTAGGTTTCCTCCTGTAGTAATACTGGATAGATAAGAGATGATCCTTACTGGACCTCTACGAAGAACAGTTTATAGAACGGATAAAGTTATCCAGTATAAATAAAGTTAGTTTAGTTTAGGTTTCCTCCTATAGTAACACTGGATCAATAAGAGATTATCCTTACTGGACCTCTAGGAAGAACATTTTAGAACTGATAGAGCTATCCATTATAAATAATCTGCACCTGCATTGTAACCAACTTGAATGACTGGGTCAGTATATATATATTATCGGTTTTTTCAACCGTTTCCGTATAGGTATTCAAAATATATTGATTACTGACCACAAAACCATCTATCTGCCTACATTAACTCTTCTACATTACTGATTTCAAATAAGTTCTTGACATATATACAGAGGGCTTATTTTATTTTTAAGTATACTCATAGCCGGTATGGCTACAGCCTACGACAACAATAAAGTGTTCAGCTGAGTGCATAGTTTAATTACATTTTCCATGATGAAAAACTTTATTCAAGAGAGGCTCACTTCAATCCCATCGACCAATCGTCTTCCAGCTATCAGCCTTTGTAAATGACCGCTACTAAATGCACTTGAATTGATCAACATTTACATTTTAATAAACCGTTCGTAACAACATCTAATGGATGTTATACAACTCTGCTTTGCTGTTTGTGTTGCAATTAAGGAATTTCAAACGAACTCTGTGGTTTCATCTCTTCCGCAATAAACGGAAATGCGGGCCAACCGACATCGTGGTCGGATCAAAAATGAAACAATTTTGAATTTCCGTTTTCTTTTTAGCTCTATCGACTTCATACGCAAATTCCACTAATATATACACGAGTTTTTAGCGGCGCGCTGTTCATTTTGCTTTCATAACTGGATGACAATATAACGTTCAAAGCGCCCGACTGTTCCACCCAAATTAGCCGGCATGGCTTGTCTTCCTCTCCTACAATACTTATTTTTGCATGTAATTAAGCAAATCTACTCAAAACGGACGGCTGAATTAAAAAGAACTGTGTCAGCTTGAGAGTGGCAAGCGAGTAAATTAGTAAAAGGCGCGTGGAATCTTTGATGAAGGGCTTAAAACTTATGCTAAACTTTTGCAACATTTCCTTGTTGAAAACGGTTTTACAAGTCTGTTGTATCTGCAGTGTGTATATACTGATACGATTTGGCGATTCGTATCTCTAGTCAAAAGCGAGAAGACTGAGAGATGATCCATTCTCGTCCCCAGGTTTTTCGCTTACTGCGTACTTACCCCCCCCCCCCCCGGAGCCGATAAGGGAAAGCCATTTTCGTACCCAGACCTAGCATGCTTGTCCGTGTACCTAGAGCCAACACTCAAGAGCGAGTCCTGATACTTTGCAAGGCTGTACGAGGATATACTAGTCACCACTGCTCTATTGCGCAACCAGGTCAAAACCTCTATAATCACCAAAAATTAAACTTCTCAAAAAGCGTGTTTAATATTTTCATTTTTATTTTAGATTTGTACATAAATTCAGCATTCAGACATTCTTTTCTAAATAATAGGATACGTATTACGCACTAAATATATATATATTTAATTAGTTACACGCAAATAGCAAAATTTGAGTAAAATTTAACCCGCAGTTGCAAGTCTCTCTTCTCACTTCTTGGAGCGTGCGCCTGCGCGCAAAATTCTCATTCAAGCTTGATTTGAATATTTCACGCAAAGCTTAAAAAGATTAAAACGTGAGATTTTCGCAAAACGACGTTATCCCTTCAGGAATGAGGCGTGGATTGCATTTAGCCCCTAAAAATAGCCTCGTTTTGAAGCAATGGCGCATTCCACTAAATAGTACTTTATAGCTTCGTTCAAACGTACATTGCTCCTAGATCAGTGTAACTGGATTGACTAATACCCATGCACAGAACAGCGGTATATAATGACGTCACACGCGAAAAGTCTGATGTTACACAAGTTTGATTGGCTCGTTAATACTCAGTGCGAAGCTAATCAAAGTTTGTGTAACATCAGGCAGTTTCCGAGTTTAATGTCATTATTAGAAAGATCTATGACAACGGTACTACTAAATCCTGGGCGGTTTGTTGTAAAAAACTAAATGGTTCATTCTTAGATATTACTTCAGATAAAAGATGGCGTCATTTCATTGTTCAATTCTTGCTGCCTGTAGCGTAATATCTATTTCACCGAGAAGTAAATAACGAAACCAATAGTTCCAAGAATGATCAGACATATGACTGCCATAATGATTTTGTTTTGAATAATTCTAGGAAAAATACCGAATACGGGTCAAGTGAGTACTTGATGTTTAAGTGCAAAATGCTGATAAGAGGAAATAAGGATTTACCTTCGCATCATTCCTGTCAGAATTCTCGAACTTTTGCCAAGATTTTGGTCCGTATTTCGTAACTAAATTGAGAGATAAAAAGTTGTATATCGGGGCTATAAAAACACTGAAAATTTGTGGCAAAATTCCTGTATGGGGCAAGCTTTGTACTGTTAAAAGCCGTTTCTATGACAAGAAAAATCACTCCGAATAATAACAACATCTTGTAAACTAAAGGCCAGGATTTTAGCTTTAAAATAAGACAACAAGTCTGGTGATCTCGCGCTTATACTTCAACCAATCAGCGAAATAGGAATGTATTCAGCAGTATTTAATCGATTATATCTTTTGTTATTCTTTATAAAACTTTTCGAAATTTTGAGACTATGTTTAGTTATGAAAACTATAGCTATGGCATAAATTTGAAACAAAAATATAGTATATTTCAAGAGATACTCAGTTATTTTTCAACTAAGAAATGGATTTTCATTTCACAAGTAGTACCAGTCCTTTCCCGCCATTTTGGATCACGCGGAGTTTACGCCTTACGGTGATATTTCATTGTCGAATCAAAATATGTCAAAATATTTCGGTAAACTTGTATAGATTAAAGCTAAAATTTTCGCTTTAAAAGATGTTGTTCATTGGAATATGCTTTTTCTTGTATTTTGTTAAATTATCTGATCGTTTTCTAAAGCAGTTTCAGCAAATTTACCCTTTCTCTCGTTCGTGTCATGACCTCTCGATCTCTCTGTAAATTATCCATAATGGCCGTCCCCATTTCCTCTTGATGAAGCACAAAAACAATGGATGTTACAAAAGGCAAAGTTTGCGTACAATTTGATGGACGGAACTTATTGGGCACCCTATGGTGGATGAGACGTATCTTTGTCCAGTTTTGTGATCACAATATGAAATTGGACGATAAAGAATGCCTGTTCTACCAGGATTTGGCAATTGGAAATTTGGTGGAATGTAATCCTAAGATCTATGAGGATGATCAAAATATGATTTTACAGGTACAACTACATATTCAGTGCATAATATTCAAGTGCATAGACTCATTCAAGAGGGATGTAAGAGTGTTTATTTAATTTTATTTAATCACTGTTTAAGCTAAATGCTTTCGATACAACCAGACCCAGATGACTTTGTTCTTAGTGAAAGTGAACATATCTGAAAACGTCTGCTAACCTGTCTCAATGCACATACGATAACCTTCGTCCAGTCTGTTTGAAGTTCGGTCTAATCTTTCAGTGTTATTTAGTAGCCTCGTTCTCTAAATGTTTTATAATAAATTTCATTTATTGGCTAGAAATAAATTTACCATTTAGACTAACTAGAGAATAAATGACATTGCAATTCATTTCCTAGAAATGTGAACTTCGTGAATCATGACAAACCTGATCTTCAGAGCTTGCTGTGAACTCAGAGTTGAGCAGTTCGTTGCGATCGGCTTCATAGTCCCCAAACTTAACTTGAGCTTTTTTCTGAATAAAACAAATTCCTCAATATTTCCTCACCTACCATATATACATACTTTCAAAACATACCAGTTCTTTTTCCAGATTTTGAACTTCTTTCTCATATGATTTTACTCTGTTGCAATACTTTATTTTATCTGGGCCAGGCTGCTCTCGAGCTTCCAAGTCCATTTGTTCAAGCTAAAAAAGAAAAAAAGGCAAAATTTTTTCTCGGTTTATGTAAAATTGGTTCGAAACGATACATTGATTCAATATACATGATAGGTTCATTCTAGCTGTCACATTCCTCAATTTACTATTCACTAATACAAATCCCCTTATTGCAAACAGAATCCATGCCACCATGATGATGGTAAACCTAAATCGTCTGTCTTACCAATTCTTTGACTTCTTCAAACAATTTTTCAACATTTTTAACCTCATTTTTCTTCAGACCTAAAAAGGGCCGACAGGTTTTGGTAAATTGCGTTCTTAAAACAGTTCATCTGAAAGTATTATCCATTTATAATTATCACATCAAAAAACAACACCAATCACATTATCTGTATAGCCTATTTCAATCCTTAAACACCTCTATAGTCTATACCCTAATACTCTATACTGTATTACATTCATATAAAATAACACAGGGGAAAGAATTGAGCTATCGTGTCAGAGATACGTTCGTTCCTTTACATTTTCAAGCACAATTCGGATATATCCCTCGCGATCAAACCCCTATTACCAAGGTAATGAAGTATAAATCTTGTCTTGACAATTCACACATAATTTTCATACAAGTGAACGAAAAAAATCTTAAAATTTACCTCCTTCTAGACTGGGAATCCGTCCGATTTTTGCTGTAATTTCAGCTGTTATCGTCCCAAATGTGCTTTCATAACTGCCAAAAAGTTCGCCCATTTTAAAACGTTTAAATACAAGGGAGAAAGGAGAGAAAACTACGCAGGTGATTAGGCAACCATCTTTAATTTGTTATGAAACTAAACCGGAAGTGATGTCATGCACTCTCGTACCCAGGCGCTTGAAAAACACAACGTTGCATTCAGGTTTTATACAGAAGTCAGCTGAGAAAAAGAGAGCGCGCGGGGGTGTTTGGGTTGGTGTTTGGGGTGGTTTCCAAGAGATATGGTTTGCATGGTGGTTTGCACCTGAGCACCCCCCGGTCTGGTTTGCAAACTCGACAAACACCAGAGGAAACCCTCTCAGTTTGTACTTTGCAATCTACAGAAGTAATGTGATGGCTCAATAGACCTTTCTTATAATGACGTCAAACGCGGAAAGTGTGATGTTACACGAAGTTTGATTGGCTCGATAGTTTTGTGGAGCCAATCAAATTTCATGTAACACCAGACTTTCCGCGTTTGACGTCATTATAAGAAAGGTTTATTCTTTCTTACTTTAAAAAAATAGATTTTATATAACTAACGATGTGATGCTTCGTCTATTTGTAGTCTGTGTTTTTTGTTTTTAGTGAATTAGTTCTTAATTTTTTATATCATTGAGTTGTACTGTAGCACGAAAATACAACCCCCCTTTGCATGACTGAAAGCAGAATGTACAAGAATATCTGAACTATACCACACCAGTTAATACAAAGGATACGATTGATCGAAGCAGTTGTCCAATCAAAACACAGCTTCTATGGCATACCTGCGAATATTGATTGACACCTCATCCGATGACGTCACGGTCGTGCCGGAACGCTCGCACGCAATCTCAAAGAGAAACACACATGGAAGTCGGGCGGCGATAGAATTGATTCATTTGTTTTATTTTTCGTTCAAAAAACCTCCTTAGAAACCCCTAGCGTTTGTCGTGTTTAGAACAAAACAAAGCTGAAGTATTCATCTAAGGTTTAAAGCTATCTGGATGCCTGTAATGTCGACTCACGTTGATCAGGTAACGACGAAATAAACTAAATTTTTTTCGCTTGGTAAAGACCGGCTACAAAATGCCATACGAAATGAAACGTTAAGGCTTATTTTACGGCTTTCTAACATCATTTTCTTGCTTTTTTTCCGGTATAGCGTCTTAAGGACAGCCCTGCAAAAGGTAGGAGGAAGATTTTGTACATTTCATGTATTTTAAGCGAAGGGAAGTGTGATATTTCGTAGCGATTTTGTTCGCTCGAACGCTGACGCTTCTTTGGGGAAACCAACTTACTATCGCTATTAAATATAAACTACGTATTTTTTCGGTGCGAAATTTGCTTTAGAATCTCGTTTTACTTTCACAGGGCAAGAATCCGAGTCGAGAATTGTAACTGATGAAGATTTTGAGCAATATCTAAGAACGAACAACGAGCAGGTTAGAGAAATCTACTTGAAATCGATGTATCGCTTTCATTCAAAGCCAAAGGGGTATTTCACAAACCCCCCAGGATTAGGTGCTCACGGGCGATAAATTGCATCCGTTGCATGATATTTTCCGTTTCTCTTTTCAATTCTAATCATTTTATGCTATAATTCTTTTTCCATATCACCCTGGCAACTTACCTTGGTCTATTGTGTTGTGATCTTCATCAAAATCCTCCTTGGAATCTGTTATTTCACATTCTGACTTAAAATCACAGACTAACATTGGGAACCATGTTGGACAACCAACAAATGCCTCGGAAGCATACTTACCAGCATTTTACGCAGCAACCACTGTGAACTCTGGCCTACCACCGATGCCGTTTCCGTACATGAGTACTGGAATGGCAGACACTTGGTCGACTAATAGCGCTTCCCTTTTTCCTAACACAAACGGTGCTTTCCCCTCAATGCCTGACCAGATGCTACAGCAAAACCCAGCAGTTGCAAATGCTGGTTATTTGAACGGTCTGGATGGTCATGTGCCGAACACAGGCCTGCCAAATAACATTGCCTACCTAAATCAACAGGCTTTGTTCTTCCCTGGGAACACCACTGATTTATCATGGGGTGGACAACAGCAAACGTCGTCCGGATCAATCTTGGGGGACTTTTACCAACAACCTGCTAACATTGCCGTGCATGAAAATAATGGGCAAGAAACCGTTGAGAATAAGGGAGTTGAACATTCTCTTGCTGGATTAAGTTTGCAACAAGATGAAGCAAAGGTGAACGGCGAGGCAAAGCAAAATGGAGATATGAACACTCCTGCGCCAAGCAATAGCGGTCCACCCAAGCCCAAATCATGGGCTGCAATTGCAAGCCAGCCTGCAAAACCAAAGCCACCTGCACCGAAGGTAAAACCAGCTGCTCCCCCAATGAACTCTGGGAATCGGGATACCAATTCTTGGAATGGTACAAATTCATCTGTAAAGTCTGGGGCAAAAGCTGGTGGAACTAGGGGCTCTGGTCAGCAAAGGAATCGTTCTGGCGGGAATGCTGGTTTGTCGAACATTTCTGCACCATCCCAGCCTGTGGTCCCAGTTTTGGCGAGACTGAGATCAATTAACGATTACAACCCGAAGGATTTCAATTTACGGTTAAAGGATGTTCGATTTTTCATCATTAAAAGTTACAGTGAGGATGACATCCATAGATCGATCAAATACAGCGTTTGGACAAGCACGGAACATGGAAACAGGAGATTGAACGATGCTTTTAAGGAACAACAAAAGAAAGGGCCGATGTACATGTTGTTTAGTGTAAATGGGAGCGGGCACTTTTGTGGAATTGCAGAAATGAAGTCGGAAGTCGAGTACGACATTGAGACAGGCATTTGGTCTCAGGAGAAATGGAAAGGAAAATTTGCTGTCAAGTGGCATTACGTCAAGGACGTTCCCAACAATGCTTTGCGGCATATTCGTTTGGAAAATAACGATAACAAGCCGGTCACCAACTCTCGGGACACTCAGGAAGTTCCACCGGAGAAGGGGGTCCAGGTTGTTAAAATTATTCATTCCTACAAGAATCAAACATCCATTTTTGATGATTTTGGCCATTATGAAAAGCGTCAAGAGGAGGAGATTAAGTCTAAGGTAAGACAGATTTCTATCAAATACAAGAGTTTCATCATAAAAGCACAGAATACCTACCAGAAGTGGAACTCTATACTATTTTTTCGTAAGTGTGATTCGTCATGATTCGTCACTTAGCAAGTGCATTTTTTTGAGGTAGTCACCCCCCTGCCAATGTCTAAAATCAAGGCATATTTAGTATTGGCAGGGGGGTGACAGCCTCAAAAAAATGCACTTGCTAAGTGACGAATCATGACGAATCACACTTACGAAAAAAGTACAGGAGTTCCACTTCTGTAAGGTATTCTGTGATAAAAGTGTCCAAAACTCATTTCTAAAGGAAATTAGAAAATTGACCTACCCCTCCCAACTTAACCCCCTCATATATGCCAAAATCTGTTTAAAAAAAAAGGTATGTATGAAAGCATGCATGTCTAAAACAATGTGTTAAAAATTTGATCAAGTAGATAACCTGAAATATGTGAGAACTTTGACATTTCAAGCTAATATAAGCCTCTTGAAATATTGAATTTCTCATATATATTTCATGTAGTCCATCTCTTTTAGTCTATTATGTTACTCTTTTCTTAAAGATTATTTCTGCTTAACACTGGGAAGATATGATTTTTACTCAACCTCTTTAAAGACAAGTTCAGAACTGATAAAGTTAACAAGTATAAATAAAGTTAGTTTAGTTTGGGTTTCCTCCAGTAGTAACACTGGATCAATAAGAGATGATCTTTACTGGACCTCTAAGAAGCAAGTTCAGAAGTGGTAGAGCTATCTAATATAAATAAAGTTAGTTTAGTCTAGGTTTCCTCCTGTTGCTACACTTGATCAATACATGACTTAAATACACCCCAATGTGTTGCAGAACTAGCTTTGAACAATGGCAATTGATGTTGCAATTTGCCAATTTCCTTCCATTTTTTTCTGGTCATAATTTGATATTTTTTCTTTCTCTAGGGCAAAAAGCTTGTTGGAGTTGAAGCCCCATGAGTTGTTGTTGTTTTTCTATCTTGGACTTAAAATACGTTTTGCAATTTCAGTTAACCATACAAATACATTTAGCCATTGGGTTGTGCAAAACATGCATGATTTTTGTATAGTTGAACTTTTAGGATGCGTAAAGACTTGAATTGGGTTGTGTGGGACTCATAGAATATTTGATTATATTGAATATAAAAATTGCCTTGATGTCGAATGTGCTATTCCTAGTCTTGGCAAAAACACAAAACGAAGAGCTGAAATATAAAAATGAAAATGGACATATCTTTTGTTGTGTGATTAATTCTGTAGAGTCCTTCGTAATCTTCCAGTTTTCTTCATGGGGAATATCGTTTGATATTTTTTTCGCAATGTGTTCTCCATTTACGTGAGCAAAACTGCCCAATAAAATTTGCCCCATTTAAATGTAGCTCAGCCTGAAAATATCAGTCCATGTTCCAAGACTTTTTGAACAAATGCAACAGAAACCTCACTACTTTAAAACATATGCACCAAACATTGGAAACCTTTATAATTGGTGTTTGGAACAACAGGAGCCCACCCCTCTGCCCCCACCTTACCAAAGTGCAAGTGTTGATACCATAGACAAAAGACATGTCTTTTGGATTATCTATGTTGATACATGCACAATTTGTACATTGCTCAAGTTAGTCCTGGGAAGACGTTTCAATACTTCATGATTAAGGTGTGTGTCAGGGGATTCCCCCTTGAGATTTCGGATTTTGACCAATCACGGAGCAACTTTCACTTTTGCAAATCTGGACAGCTGGTACAGCTCAGTGTCCCTACAGCCCAACTGGACTATTATCGCATGTGACCGAGACCGAGCTTACATTATAGGAGACTAGTGACCACAACAAGAATATGGCGCTGCTTCAGGTAAAATTGAAAATAAAATGCTTGTTTATTTTTGTTGGTTTCGGTGATCGTGTGCGGGAAGAAAGTGTAAACAACTGTGGATGCTGCAGTTAACGCATTAAGTTGTTGTTTTCTCGTTTCGTGTAGTGGCGTCGCTTTAATTTCTTTGAGAAAGAGCTCACAAAAAATGCCGGAACGAAACAGCCTTGGAATTTGCTACAGGTTCGGTTTCAACTTTATATCATTTGTAGGTCTTATGGAGATCGTTGAAAGGACTTTTTATGCATTCGCATCATCATAAGTACAGAAACTTCGTCATAACATTCCAGATTGCCAAGCAGTTGTAGCGATCAGAGGGGTGAAGGGTGAAAACATGACCTGGCTTTACTAGGCCCATTCTAGTATAGCTCAGTGCAGTAGTGAAATAGTGTTTTGGGGTCAGTCTAAAATTCAACGTTTCCTGCCCACGAAACAGCAGAACGGATGAATTTCAGACCCTTCTTTCTTGTTAATGTGTCATGCATTTATATAATAAATTAATTAACTCTGCACGAAAGCTTCTACATTTTTCTCTGCCCTTCTTACCTTTGCACCCAACCTTAGGCGATGCAGCCGGCCACCACTGGCCTCCCGTACAAGCCCCATTTCTGAGAGATATTAGAATGTATATTTCTTCAAACAATCATACATTTCCAACAAGTTTTACCAATACCAGAATTTACACTCGAAAGTAATCGTTTTTATAGGATGTGGACATTGTTGCTTCAACAAGTGGAAGAGGACAGTTAATATTTGGAGATTCGCAAGGAAACATATTTTTTCTTGACCGAAGTTTAGAATTGTCAAGTTTCAAAGCTTTTGAGCTCTGTGTTTCGTTTCTGTGCCAACTACGGCAGCACAACATTCTTGTCTCGATTGGAGTACGTATTTCCTTGCCATGTTTTAGTGTATCTGTATATGAGTTCAATCCACTACTTTACCTGTCTTAAGTGATAGTAATCAAAGGTGACTTTGGTAGATAGCTGGGTTAAGTAGGGTTATTGCTGGACTGTTGGGGCTAGGTGTAAATTTTAAGAAGCTTTTTTATATATTATATTTATCGTCTATATTAGAAAGATGAAGCTGGAGTCAACCCACTGATCAAAGTATGGAATTTGGACAAGGTTTGTAATATGTCAATTCCAGTACTATTTTTACGATGAGAGGAAAGATCGAGGGTTGAAAGACGAAATACGAGAATTCTTAGTTTTGCAATGCCTGAGTTAAACTTTCCATTTCATTAATTAGACCGACAAGATGGGCAATCCACCTTGCATGAGGATAACTCGAGCCATTCCTGGAAACAATCCAGTTGAGGTGAGATCATTTGGATTTTGAGTGATTTTAGAATGTAAGGTCAAAGTAAAAATGAGTGATTTTGGAAGGTCATGCATTTCATTTTATTGAATATACTAAACTGTCGTAGGTTTCATGTTTGGCTGTTCTTGAAAACCTGACGCAAATGGCAGTTGGTTTTGAAGATGGAAGTGTTGTTGTTTATAAAGGAGATGTTACTAGGGATAGGTAGGTACTATAGGTAAACAATTAACTGAAGTGCCAGATTTCTCCACCATCTTTAAATTCAGTAAATTACAGTTTCATGAAGCCATCATTCATTCATTCATTCTTGTTACAGACATAGTAAGCATCGTCTCATTCACCATGACAACTATCCAGTTACGGGTGAGTTTGAGAGCTCAGTGGTTTGACAGTGAAAAAAATATTTAGAGATTGCTGATCATCCATCTCTTTTTCATCCAATGTTTCTTCAAGAGGAAACCTCTAAACTGAACTAACCTTGTTTATACTGGATAGCTCTATCAGTTCTAAACTGTTCTTCCTAGAGGTCCAGTAAGGATCATCTCTTATTGATCCAGTGTTACTACAGGAGGAAATTTAAATTAAACTAACTTTATTTTTACTGGATTGCTCTATCAGTTCTAAACTGTTCTTCCTAGAGGTCCAGTAAGGATCATCTCTTATTGATCCAGTGTTACTACAGGAGGAAACCTAAACTAAACTAACTTTATTTATACTGGGTAACTTTATCAGTTTTAAACTGTTCTTCCTAGAGGTCCAGTATAACATCGCGTATTTATGGTACTTTACACCACCTTAGGTTTGGCATATAAACAAGTCAAAAACCAAGTCATTTTGTTCGTAACAACAACTCAATCAATACTTTCCTACAATACGTCTTCAAAGGATCGAAAGGTAAGAAAATACATGTGTTCTTGAATGATCAAGGAAGCTTTTAGACTGTCTTTTATATGATACCTTCGTGCTTTGCAAAACAGACAAAGATGGAAGGTAAAACCAAATAAGTCTCAAAATGGAAGGTAAGACCGAATAAAATTACAATGATATAACATTTTAATGTCTTATGTAGGAAGTCTTGGACATGCATGGCTGCAATCCCAAATGCTCGGTTCTTAGCGATATCTCTCAAGAAAGTCAGTTTATTTATGTCGTTGGCAGAAATGAGGTGAATAATTTTAAAACGAGTTCACACAATTTTGAACTATGAAATATGTATATATATATATATATATGTATGTATAAATATGTATATATATGATTATAATATGAATATATTTGAATTACGAGAGGTGATAGTTGACAATCAAGTGATTGCATGAAATCTTTGAATCTTTTACTGGCAGGCTTTGTACTTTTATCAACCGGATTGCCGTGGCGCTGTGTTGCCATTTGAGGGTGAGTTTGTGCATATATATCGATGTAGTTAAGTCGACATGTTGTTCATAATTTTCCATTAACGAGTATGACCGTCTATCGAACGTTGTTTTAGGAGAGAAACAATTGATTTCATGGCACAGAGGGTATCTGGTTGTTGTTGGAAACGATATGAAAGGAATCCCGGGGTATTTATAAGACTTTAAAGATTTTGCTTCTTGTAAACTTTGTGTCTTCACAAGTCGTCCAATTTCCGTTTTTTAAAAACTCTGTTTTTTCCCCAGACAAAGCTCCTCAAGACAAATGAACTTGGTGACAATTTACGACATACAGAATAAGTTTATCGGTATGTTTGTCGATTTCATTTTTGTTCTACGCTCAAAATAACCGGTTTATACTTTAAGACCACACGGATTTTATATAATATAATTCAGTAGTTTGTGTGTATGATAAAGTATTTTATGTTCAAAAGCCTTTTCTGGTCCTATTCCTGGCGTGGCGGATGTTCTAAGCGAGTGGGGATCCTTGTACATCTTGACTTCGGAAAATACAGTAAGTTTATGGATTGCTTTGCCTGTATTCTTGTCCTATTGAACATTTAAAACATGCTATAGAATATATCATCTGTTGGGCAGGTTCAATTCTTGTTCAATTTGCCGTAGACTCGTAGAAATGAAATTTTTCCTGTATTCTGTAATTCATCTCGCGACCTTTTTAATCGGACTGCAATTGTGTTTTTTTCAATTCTAGTTGTATCATTTCCAAGAAAAAGACACGCAGACCAAACTCGAAATCTTGTTCAAGAAAAATCTATATGCTGTCGCCATCGAGTCAGTCATCGTTTGTTGTTCATTTTTTGTCGTTTTCTTTTCACTTTTTGCCAGCAAGTTTTATGGCTATATTTAATCATTCCCTTTCTTAAACGTAGCTTGGCAAGAAGCCAAAACTTCTCAGATGGCCTCATGGACATATTCACGCAATACGGAGATCACTTATACAGGTAAAGACTGTTAAAACTTTAGAAATTCAACTCCCATTTGACAGAATTTAATCACAAACCTTCCGCTGTCCCAACTGTCTTGTAGTTTACCTTTATTTCACGGAGGCAAAAAACACGATGAAACACTCCATTCGCGAATTTGTTTGACAACCTCTTCGCTGAAAGATTATTTCAGCTTTTATCATTAAAAGTGTATCGCTCTATTTAACAGTAAAGGTGATCATGATGGCGCTATGAAGCAATACATAAGGACAATAGGACATCTTGAACCATCGTATGTCATCAGAAAGGTATTGCATCGTTTACCATATTTTATAATATTTTCAAGATTTCTTTAGTGACACGATAGAATTATCTTCAGTTTCTAGATGCTCAAAGAATTCATAATCTTACGGCGTATTTACAAGTAAGTTGTCTGGACAACGTCACTCAAACCTATACCGAGTTTAGAACTGATAGAGCTATCCAGTTTAAATAAAGTTAGTTTAGTTTAGGTTTCCTTCTGTAGTAACGCTGGATCAATAAGAAATGATCCTTACTGGACCTCTAGGAAGAACAGTTTAGAACTGATAGAACTATCCAGTATAAATAAAGTTAGTTTAGTTTAGGTTTCCTCCTGTAGTAACACTGGAACAATAAGAGATGATCCTTACTGGACCTCTAGGAAGAACAGTTTAGAACTGATAGAGCTATCCAGGAATTCGTATATCGCTCTTAATTTTAAAATATCGATGTTTCTAGGCTTTGCACCATATGAATTTAGCAAACACTGATCACACAACACTTTTGCTCAATTGCTATACAAAACTAAAAGATCGCTCGAAACTAGACGAATTCATTATGGTAAGCGAAACCCGGTCATTCATCCAATTTCAGCAAAACGAAAAAAGGTTTATCTTTATATTTTTCCCACCAACAGACCGACAGAGAATTAAATTTTGATGTGGAAACAGCGATAAAGGTTAGTGCAGTGAACTGATCTATAAAGCAACGAATTGCTGGAGCATTTTATTAAACACAAAGGGAATTTCTGAACGTTTTGAGAATGTTTAAACCCAGCGAGATAATCTCCGTTTACTCCTATCGTTGACTGGGAACTGGCAGAACCACTTTAAGCACGTTCACTTTTTAAACCATTCATGGTAGTCCAGTTTGCGTGTTAAGATCAGCGAGATATCTTTCCTTCTTAACTTAGGTCTGCCGACAAGCGTGTTATTTTGATCATGCCTTGTATTTGGCCGAGAAATTTTCTCAAAACGACTGGTATTTGAAAATACAACTGGAGGACAATAAGGACTACCAGAAGGCTCTGGACTATATAGGCAAACTGGAGTTTCCTGCGGTAGGTTTATGTATGCGGTTACGTCATTGGTTGAGGTCGACTGAACCAAGCATACTCGGGTTTTCTCAATAGGCAAAATACAACCTACGAAACTATGGCAAAACTCTGATGCAAGCCGAACCAGATAAAACGACAGAACTTTTGAAACTGCTGTGTACTGATTATCGCTCAAGTGAAAGTAAGGAAATGTAGTAATGACTGAACTAAACTAACTTTATTTATACTGTATAGCTCTATCAGTTCTAAACTGTTCTTCCTAGAGGTCCAGTAAGGATCATATCTTATTGATCCAGTGTTACTACAGGAGGAAACATAAACTAAACTAACTTTATAAACTGGATAGCTATCAGTTCTAAACTGTTTTCCTATAGAGGTCCAGTAAGGATCATCTCTTATTGATGCAGTGTTACTACAGGAGGAAACATGAACTAACTTTATTTATACTGGATAGCTCTATCAGTTCTAAACTGTTCTTCCTAGAGGTCCAGTAAGGATCATCTCGTATTGATCCAGTGATACTACAGGAGGAAAACTAAACTAACTTTGTTTATATACCGACTCTATCAATTCATAACTGGTGTTGATTTTCTGATTTTTCGTAGGTCCACTGGTGGACGATATTGATATGTCAGGTATGGTTGGAAATTGTAAATCAAGACCCACTTCAAATAAAAATGCATCTAAAATGTTTCCTCGCCTATTTTAATGACAGGCAAGCCACGCAAGATCCTACGTGCCGAACCAGAAACTTTCATCCACATTTTTGTCCACCAGAAAAACCAATTGATCGAGTTCCTTGAACACATGACCAAGGTAGCTCATGCCAAATGACATGTCTTTCCCTATCTCATTTCTATCCCTTATGATATTTCAGAATTCTCACCTAAATCCAGACCCATTCAATTGTCATTCTTTCTTATCAAATGTCCCAATGTTGTGGAATACCATTCAAGCTACCCCGCTATACTTATTTTGTTTTAATTTTGATCAAAGGTGCGAGAGAAATCTTCCACAATGGTTTGCAGCACACTCTTGGAACTTTATCTCAACAAAGCGAAGCACTGTAAAGACAAATTGGTACCACATTCAAACAATATTTCCTACGCATTCCGTTAAAACATGTGTAAAAGCGTTCGAGAATTTATCCCTAACAAAACGTCAAATTTAGTCCGCCATCTTTTCTTGCAGGATGAAGTCGAACCTTTGACCAAAGCCCTCGCGCTGTTACAAAATGTCGAGGTGAAACTCTGAGTTCTACATTTGCCACTTTGACTGTAATTACTGTAAATCCACAACATATAACTCACAGTTTTTATCTGAACACAGGGAAAATACGACATCGACAACGATCACGCTATGGTTCTTACACAAATGCATAACTTTAAAGCTGGTATCTTACTGCTTTACGAGAAATCCAAACTGTAAGTGGCCGGAATATCTCGCTTCATGAAACTCCAAATTGATGATTTTTTATCGCTTTTTCTCTGCTATGACTTCGCATCATGTGAAAACTTCACATTGAAACGCGGGAAAATGACCTTACAGCAAAGAAAAAGGGATGAAAAATGCTTCTTGGTTACATGACCCAGTTTGAACAAGTTACATAAGCAAGAATACCCATAGCATTCTTTAGAATTCGTGCAGATAATATTATGAATTCGACTCGAGTTTTACTGTGAAAAGCTTGGCGAATAACAATGAACCATCCGCTGTTTGGGTTGACTTTTTATTTTGAAGGTTTCCTCAAATACTTCGCTATCACATGGAACACGACGAACATGCGAACGTGATGGATACGTGCAGGAACTACGGGTAAATTACAATGCATTGCGGGCGGCAAACTGTCGTTAAACCCTCACCTGCTTTTCAGGTGTTCGGTCATGGACAGACTTCGCAGGCGTGGGTGGGCGTAAGGAATCATGGTATTCATAGTGTTCAAATATGGTGTTTCCATTTTATTAGTTTTCAAGATCCCAACCTGTGGGTTCAGGCGTTGTCCTATTTTGCAGGCAAGGAGGAAGATTGCAAGGATTACATTATGGAGGTCCTGACGCGTATCTTTTTCCCGTGAACATTTTTAACGCCCAATTGATGGTTTTCACTGTAGACTAAGTTCCGATATAATCTAGTCGCCTTGGTTATTTTCAAAAATGGTTATTTTAATCGAAGCAAAGTCATGATATTTTTCGAGAATATTCCTTGATAAACCAATTGCAGACATCGACAAACATAATTTACTTCCACCGCTTCTTGTACTACAAACTCTTGCTCACAACTCCACCGCAACTCTGTCTGTCGTCAAGGTACTCAATAGAACTTCCAATATTAGTTTATCGATTGAAAAAGTTAAAGATATATAGAGCTATTAATGTTTAAATTGATATTTCATTATTCCAATATTATTTTCTCAGGATTACATCGTCAAACGTTTGCAACAAGAGGATGAACAGATAGCCCAAGTACATATAATTTCAATCCCTCGAGACTTCGAGTTATGGTTGAACAAAAAAATTGCATTTTTGACTTGTTTTATATCTTGGCCAAAAAGTGCTTTCCCAAGATGAATTGCAAAAGATTGCCAAATTTGATTGAAATATTGTGAAATAAGCGAGCAAAGCTTTCGATGTAACCTCTTCTTGTCTAGACAGAGAACTAGTTTACAATGTCAAATGTCAATCAATTAGCTTCAGATGCTTGTTAAAGTGTTCAAATATCTTCCAGGATGAACGCCTCATACGGCAGTACAGGGAGGAAACGGAAAAAATGCGAAATCAAATCAAAGATCTTAAGACGAGGTACCAATTAATGCATTCATCTCTTCAGTATTCTCGTTCTAGTATCATTATGAAGTAACCTTTGCCATCAATATATCTTTCAGCGCAATCGTATTCCAGTCGGCCAAGTGTAACCTTTGTTCCAGACCTCTTGAGCTGCCGGTTTTACACTTTTTCTGCCAACACTCATTCCACACAGTGTGAGTTTTCTAATCTGTGCTCACTGCTCAGAAAGGCTGTCGAAATAGAAATTCATTCTGCAATGTTTAATCGATTATATCTTTTGTTATTCTTTATGAAACTAGGCGAAATTTTATGATTATGTTTAGTGATAAGAACTACACCACTGACATTAATTTGAAACAGAAATGAAGTATATTTCAAGAGATATTGTTTCAGCCGAGGAAGGGCATATAGGAAAAAATATCGCACATAATAATACATTCGCCTGTCTTGTTTTGATAATGGTTTTGATTCATATCTTGAAATGAATTCAAGATGGCGTCTTCTTCATTATTTCTTAAAACTGCATGTCGGCAGGAATCTGTGGTGTTTTGTTGAAATATATTTCAAGAAATTGTCGCCAGGCATTGAATTTTTTATTGTTTCGTTGTTTTTTTAGTTGTTTCGAAGGATACGCGGACAAGGACGAAGAATGTCCGATTTGTGCTCCTGAAAATAAGTACGTTTAAATTGTCAGTTAAGCTAAATTTCTCTGTTGAAGAAGCTTCGACAAATCTTCTCCCGTTTTAACTTAGAAAAGTTCAGGACATAATTCGTTCTCAAGAAGAAATGAAAGATCTTCATGATCAATTTCACAATCAGGTGATGATCACAGCTACTTTTTTTCCGTATGTACTAAGACCACTTTTGGCTGTAGCTCAGATGAAATGACACCAGTGCTTCAATTGGAAACATCCCTGAATTGATTGAAAGGAAAAGGTAATACGTTTTGGTATATTTTATAGCTTGAAAGAGCAAATGATGGATTCTCTGTTGTGGCAGATTACTTTGGTCGTGGGGTATTTAACAAAGTAAGAAGTGTGAACTGTATCTTTCCATCTTGAAATCCTTGCTAAACTTTCATGGTACCATTTTAAAATGCGTCATTTCATTTAGGTAACCATAGTTACCGACCAGACCGGTAAAAAAGCGAAGGGGCTACCAGAATACGACGAACAAACGCAAAGAAATTTGTTGATGTCAAACTCACCTGGTAATCCTTTCTTGTAACGTAATATAACTGATGTGAACCGGCAAACAAGGATTAATCTCTCGTTCAAGTTCCGGTGCCTCGTTGGCACAGAGCTTGCCCAAGCGCTAATGATGGCTTTTAATAAAATTGAAAAAGACAGCTGATGAAATCAAAATCTAGATATGAAAACAATTAGTTTCTAACGAAAACAAAAAAGTGTAATTAATGAATTAATATGATTTTCATTCAATACAATGAATACAAGGATGGTGTTTTAACTATAATATTACAATACAAAAATAACATGCGCGCGAGGACGATTTACAAGGATTTACAACCCGACAAGGAATGGACGTTGCAACTTAATATGTAACTTAGGTTAGGAAACAGCGAGGTCAAGGAAGAAAGAGTTTCTTCGCGTATTAATTATGTTAATAGGTCGAGTGACCCATCGTTCGAAAGCCCTTGAGAAACTCTACAACATGAACATACTAGAATATGACGTAATTCGAATGAAACCCGGGGGAGAAAATGATGATGAAGGTGGGGGGCATACCCCGGAAGAGTCGGTGAAGCGCAATCTTAAGTCGCGCGCTGAGATTTATTCAACCCAAACCACGCATGCGTGCATTGCTAATTAAAAATTCCAACGCACAAAATGGCCTCGAAATTCGACCATTTTAGCGTATAAAAACTGGATTTTGACAGCTTTTAAAACGTTTTCATGTGTTGAAAGTACATTAGCTATATGGCAAAAGGTAGTTTGCTTCATTGGGGTCCGTTAACGGCGCTAACAATCATCTTTACGTTATTCACCGCCAGTGTCTACTCGTCGTTAGTGTGGTGGCCCCCTGTTAATTTTAGTGGAGTCATAAATCTGTGTCTTCTGGCGTTTTTTCTCACGTGTATACTGTATAATTTTATCAAAGCGGCATGGGTTGGACCTGGTTATGTTCCTCCTAAATGGAAACCGGTTAGTTAGCGACCAATTGACACAGCAAACTTTGTTTATATATGTAATATGGTACTCAATCTACTAAAACAAGATTTCGGTTTTAGTCCACGTCACTTGCGAGAATTGTGTGTCACCCCACCAAGTAGATTGCAACAATTTTTCCTCAGAATTCTGATCTCGTTTCCTTGATTTGTATTTTTGGGTTTTAGTATTCAGTAGCCATTAACCGCTTTCTAATCTGGGTTTGGTTTGGTTTATTTTTGCATGCATTTGAATCGTGAGACTGTTTAGCATTTTGTTTCCTTGACAAATGAGAAACTAATGCCTTGTATTATAGGATAATGCTGAACATGAGAAATTGATGCAGTTTTGTCAAATATGCGAGGGATATAAGGCACCAAGGTCGCACCACTGTAGACAATGCAACAGGTTTGTTTGTTCATACACTTGTGACAAATTAAGGACCACAAGAACAAAATTATGGACAATTTTTTGTTCATGTTTCACTAGATGTGTCATGAAAATGGATCACCATTGTCCTTGGATAAATCATTGTGTTGGCCATAAAAATCACAAACGTTTCACATTGTTCTTATTCTTCGTCGTGATTGGTTGTTCGTATGCTGCAGTCACTCTGATTGGCTGCACTGTTCACATATTCTCAATAGTAAGTAATACCAATTCTACCTTTGACTGGACTCAGGCATATGTAGTTTAAAAGATTTAAATATTTAAAATTATTGTAAATATTTACTTTGATAGTAAATGAGAAAGTACCGTTGACCTAATTTAACCATACTGCGTAAATTGCAGCTTGATGTTAATTAACCATTATTTCCTAATTTAATTGGTAATCAGACTAATTTCATAACATTTAAACCTCGTAAATAGTTAATGCTTTGACGATGAACAATTGAACGCTGCTCATATATAATATTTTAGAGTATAAACGTGCTTAAGGAATCCTTGACACAAGCACTTCGTTCTTCGAAAAATTTCAGGCAGACGCTTTCTGAAATTGCTGAGGTAGTAACAAAACTGTACTAAATTATGCCGACCCTAATCACAATGTAACAATGTACAAGTTCTTAATATGTTGGTTCTTTTAACAATTTGATAAACTATCATATAAGAAATTTTCATGGTAATTTGTATTCTAAATTGAATCACAATTTCCAGATCAATCTCATTTGTTTCTTTGTTCTCATTTTCTTAGGTTAATCCTATTGTATACAGGAGGATAATGGAACATCAATTGGTACCATTTGGATTTTATCATCTTCTTGGTATAGTATTCTGTATTGGGTTAGATATTGGTGTGACTGTTGCTGTTGGTATATTGCTTTATTATCAGGTTGGTTTCTATAAAATAAACACCTTTTCGAATGTCTGTAATGCAAAATAAACAACTCTCTAATTCAGACGTCTACCTATTCTCTAATTCAGACACCTCCTTGTTCTGTAATTCAGACATCTACCTATTCTCTAATTGGGACACCTTGTTCTCTAATTCAGACACCTACCTATTCTCTAATTTAGACACCTTGTTCTCTAATTCAGACACCTCCTTGTTCTCTAATTCAGACACCTACCTATTCTCGAATTCAGACACCTTGTTCTCTAACTCAGACATTTCCTTGCTCTCTAATTCAGACACCTCCTAGTTCTCTAATTCAGACACCTCCTTGTTCTCTAATTCAGACACCTTGTCCTCAGACACATCCCTATTCTAAAATGTGCACTTTCCATTGCAGGCTCGTGACATTGTAAGAAATGAGTCCTCTATCGAAGCTTGGATTGTTGAAAAGGTACCTTTCAATTCTCCATTTTTCATCATCGAAATTCATGGTATATTACAATTCCCACATCGATGTTAAATAGGCAACATATAGACGAAAGAAAAATGTATTTATTTATCCATACAATCTTGGTCGATGGGAGAATATTAAGCAGGTAAACTAAAGCATAAAAAAATCTGAAGTTATTAAGCTGATATTTAATGTGTTTACAACTGGTACAATTCAAGCCTCTTGCTTCTTTTTTTTCATGTAAAGGTAATTCATTTTAGAGGCGATTTTATTGGGGATGGAATCACTTGGCCTGTTGTCGACAGTTGTGATCAGTTCACCTTGACAGTATGTGTTCAACTGTTTATGTCAAATCCTAATTTCCCAATTTTATGTATTACAATTTATATGTTAACTTGTTGTTTTTTGTTCAGGTTGAACAGCTGAGGCAAAAACAAATTAAGAAAAATTATGCTGTAAGTATACTAATTGGGATTTTGAATAGATTCCATTGTTTTTGACTGCACTTGAAGTTTTCTCTCCATATGCCCTGGCCTAGTTTGAAAACTATGTTGGTTGATGTTGGACTAAATTTAGACCAAAGTTTTTATTCAACATTGCTTTATTTGAACACACTTTGTCTCTTTATCTCAGGCTGAATATAAAGCTGTAGAAGATTACAATGGAAATTTTTTTGGTCTGTTTCATGGCTGCAGGACTTGCCTGTCCTTTCCTTGGTCATTAGAAAAAAGACTGAGGTTTAAAAAAGACCAGGATCTACTTGTCACACGTTGGCGAAAGTAGGTTTAGTCGTTATATGTTTTATTGTGAATGACACTAATACAGAGTACTATTAGTGACGAACAGGCAACTGTCCCAAACTCTAAATTTTATCGAAGCAAGTCTTAGCAAGATCCTCTTGTTGATCAAGAAATGATCAAATTAGATTCCAGACAATGAAAAAACTTTTTATTTTCATTAGGTATTGGTTGTATGGTATGAAAGTACACAATGAAGAGTCAGGTATAGTTTGTGACCATTTATTTTTTACATTTTAAGTATACTTTGCAAAATGAATGGTTCCTCTGATGGTGGTATTCTGTTTTACATTTTACAGTAAAAGATCCAGAAAAAGGCTGGTTTCCAAGAAACTGTGCTGTCTGTGTTGACGAGGATGGTGGACTGGAATCTAGTCAAGAAAAGCCTAAAAATGAATAGACCAAACATGATTAGGCTAGGAATATAGTATTGATTGATTTCATTTTTAAATTCTAACTTAATTTAGGACCAAACAAATTGAAGTACTCCTACTGCAAATGTCAGGTCAGGGTTGAGGACAATTCTATATTGCAACAGAAAGTTCTGCTAAAATAGGGAACAAGTTAGGAATAATTTTTGCAATAGGTAAAGCCTGAAAAAGTGGGTTGATTTTTTACAAAATAAGTATGCAAGCAAATAGTTTGTTTTGTGCTAGAGACTCTGCACCAGTTGCATTAAGATCAGCTACAAATGAAGACATGAGGTTTGTTTTGATAACTGTTAACCCAAATCTTAATCTTACCCTAATCCTCACCTAATCTTAAGGATTAAATTCGTGTATATAGGATTTACTTGGCAATGGAATTATTATGCATATGATTATTATACCTGCGACAAATATTTCGCCGCCTTTTTCAATTTCGTCGAAAAATATGTCACGAGGTTTCGAAATTCGAATAATGCGCTTGTGTTTACATCATTCCGAGTGTGTGCCTTATTTGTGGTCAAAATAAATAAAAAATCTCATATTTTATGTATTGATCAAGCAAGCTGTGCGATCGGCGGTCAAAAGGTAGGCTTTCCTTTCTGTTTGTATGTTCTGATGACCTTTTATTAGCCTTCACTTGTTTATTTTGTTTAAGTGTGAATGAAAAATGACTGCTCAAAGTTCCCTGATATATTTCGACAGAAACACGTTATTCTGCAAAAGGCAAATAGATAATTAAGCGATCTTGATGCATAAATAGAAAGTGTTCAAGTGTAATGTTTGCAACATAGACCTCGGGGCTTAAATATTTGCCGCGATCGCCTTATCCGTGTGTCCGTGGGAATCTTGAGTCCTTCAAAGCCCATGTTGGGCCTAGTTTTTGTTTCCTTCGTAAACAGCGCTGTGCTTGAAATTGCAAATTAAAAACGTATATTTTGGTTTCCCACGTAGATTCAAACGTTCTGTTTTGTGAAAAATATAAACAAAGTTTAACGGGACAAAGGCACAAAGTATATACCTTGTGCGAGTCCTGAGGAAACGCTATCGGAAAATATAATATTCACCTTGTTTCATTTTGAACTTTTACTATAAAAATCTTCGTCCTTTGCAATGTAAGTCATGCAATTTGTCAGCTATTGTTTCAACATATAATTTGGATTGTTTCGTATTCCCGATAAGGGAAAGATTATGACCAAAAATCGCGCTGAAAAACAATATATCTTGGCGTATTATTGTAATATATCATCATTTAACCTTGTGCCAAGTTGGGATCCTTTTCCATCGTCGATTTGAATTTATTCAAAAGTTTTGTTTATTGTGTACTTAAAGTTTCTTCGCTGTCGGCAAACTGATCTTTTAGACCGCAAATGTTTAAGAAATACTATGATAGGGCTGGAAAGCTACAACCAGAATTAGCAGATGCTTCTTAGTGAATTCATAACAGACGTGACTGACATATCATGACAGATGATTGTAGATGTTGTGACTTAAATTGCATGTTTTGCATTCTAAGTATGGCCATATCTGGAAATTTAATACAACAATGTCCTTGACATGATTGAAAATGATATCCTGTGTGTATTAGGTTCGTAGATGCTGCTGTCATTTCAACAAAACGGGAAATGTAAACATACTTACTCCACATTGTCGTTCATAAGAGCATTAAATTCACTGTCAATTGTTCAGCAAACTATGCTTTGGTAAGGTTTGAAATTGACACAGTTTGACACTTGTGGCATTTGTGGTTTGCATGTCTAACCACACAAGGTCTTTTTGAGATGAAACTAGGATGAAGCATGTATGTCATTTGTTTTTTTGTTATGCTCAACCATTTGAGTTTGATGCATATAGCCCAGTTGATACATGCTTATGCAAAAGCTTTGAAAGGTTTTGTTCGGTTTCATAGTTCGGAAATCATGGATATGAATGGTGCTGGCCATGAGCAACATGACGGCCCAAGGGAACTCGAGATATTCTCAGATGAACAAGTGGAAGAAGTCATGGAATCGCTGGAGTATTTCAAGGGTAAAATTGAGCAACTGCAAACGTACTGCGAGCAGGTGAACCAACGAAAGATGCAGGTTGACGAAGCAATGCTTGAACAGAAACGAAAACATCACGAGGAGTTGGCAAAATATCAAAAGGAAATAAGTCTGTTGAGAAACACTAACATTCAGCTGATGGCAAGCAAAGTAGCTTCTCCAGGTGAAAGATGCTGTCCGTTATTATGTGAAATTTTTGTCAGTTCTAAATTGTACATCCAGCTGATTGGTTTATTCGTTTCTTTACGGCAAATTACAATAATTCTTTTTGTGTTACAGAAAAGAGAGGTAATTTTTCTGTGTCTGCACTCAGCTGTGCTATCGATGCCGAAACAGCAGAGGCAAGAATTCAGGATGTCACATCCAAGGTAGTCAAAACAAGATAGTATTATCAAGGCTACTTTATCCATTCAAATATCTATCTCCTGAGCAATTGTCAGAGCATTCAAAGTGCATATCCCCTACTAGTAAAATATTCTGTCTTTCTCCAAGAAAATTTTAGCACTCCCTGTAGGAATTTAGAATTGGCAAATTCATGCTGAGCCGCGAGGGGTAAAGTATGCACCCCACCCCAGTCAGAAGCCAGGGTCCCCACTGATCTCTTTGTGACCAGAATGGCAACAAACAGAAGGGATTTCTTATGTCGATCTTACGTTGATACTTTGGCAAACCTGTGTTTATTTAGTTGCGAAGTGTGGAGCTGAACCTTGCTGAAAGAGACAAGCACATATCGGTCATGGAATGGCAAATCATGGATCTTGAAGCGACAATTGCAACATTGCAGGCAGAGCGAGATCAAATGATCCTGGACATAGAACTTCGGCACACCCACGAAAACACAATCACACCTGACCCCATGGGTGAAGTGATGGGGGAGGAAAGAGACTTTGGTGATGAAAATTCTGCCAACGCTCATAGGAGGCAAAACCCCATGGAACCCATGCAGAACCATAGAGATTTATGGGGAGATGGTAACGAGAGTCTCTCTCTGAGGCAAATGATGAGTCTGTCGGCAGAGTGGACGGCGAAAGACGGCCCGGGGGGGAACATGAGAAATCCCCCTCAAAGACACTTCAGCGATTGTATGAAGAGGGAGGTCCGGGTTCGGAGTGCCGACCTCTCCCGACCCAACACGACGCACAGTCTGGAGGACTTTGACAATTTGAGTGAAGTCGACAGCGGCTTAGGCCTGGGTAAGCTGACGCGAACCACGAACTTTTGCGACATTCTCGATGCTGACGAGTACAGCAACTTTCATGTCCCCGACAACAGGCTGAGTTTTAACACGGACTTGATTTTGGAGGAACGTGGGGAGGAAGGGGGCTCCCCCTTGCAACCGCTGTCCAAGAAATGGGCCACCTTCGAGAACGGCTTAGGAAACGGGAGCTCGCTTGAGGGGGAGATTCTAGGATCTGAGGAAAAAATGCAGAATTCTGAGAACTTCGAGATGCCCGATATTGAGGGTGGTTTCCCCCATCACCCCCCTGGGGAGAATGGCTCCCTTGGGAGCTCTACCAGCGACTTCAGTTCGGCGTTTCACTCCAGTCAAGATATTCTGCACAGTTCAGCGGACGAACCCTGGGTGGCGTCAAGAGAGGTCGTGTCTGAAAGCTCACCACCCACGAATGGGGAGAAAAAGAAAATTCTCTCAAGAAAGCAGATTTCTAAAAGTGATTCTTGCATTCTTTCGTCCAGGGCAAAGTCCCCACCTTCTGATAAAGAGGACATGTGGAATTTCACCCCTGACAGCGTTGTTAATGTCTCTACAGGTTGGTCAGCCTGATATTCTTATGTCCTGATTAAGCTCATTTAGTTTAGGTTTCCTCCTGTAGTAACACTGGATCAATAAGAGATGATCCTTACTTGACCTCTAGGAAGAACAGCTTAGAACTGATAGAGCTATCCAGTAGCTATAAAGTTAGTTCAGTTCAGGTTTCCTCCTGTAGTAACACTGGATAAATAAAAGATGATCCTTACTGGACCTCTAGGAAGAACAGTTTAGAACTGATAGAGCTATCCGGTATAAATAAAGTTAGTTTAGAAAGAATAGTTACAAAATGGTAGAGTTACCATCAAAATATATATTCATTTCATAAGGCAAAGTATATCTTCATATAGCCATTTCTATTTCAACCAACTCGTTTTTCTTTTCAGGTGAAATCTTAATCCCTTCGTTGGTTGAAACTCCACCATCGCCCTCTCTTAAAAAATCACGCTCGTTTACATCAAGTATTGAGATTTTTTTGAAAGGCCAACAGTCACCCGTTCCGTCCCGTCACTCACCGAGTGGGGAGGATTCGTCATCGAAGGATAATATTGAACAGATTGAGGATATTGTGGACAAAAGTGAGGAGGGACCCCAAGCGACCCCTGAGGAACCCCACACTTGTGAGAACGTTGTATTACGTAATAAGCCCGGGAGGAGATTGTCCCCCCGGGGAAAATTTCACGGGAAGTCAAAGTCCGCGTGCGAGGAATCAACCTCGGGGAAAAACAAGGAGGATGTTGATAATAAACACAAGAAAAGCCTCAGTGATCCGATTAAGAAAAGCGACGAAAAACGAGGTCGAAAAAAGTTAATGGAGTATCAGAAATGGCAGAAATATGGAAGAAGAGGAAAGCCGCCTGCTGATCTGAAAATTTCAGAGTAAGTGATAACTTTGTTACCAATAATCAGAACCTATAATTATAACTCGGATTGCCAGGTTACTGAAGCCACGATTTTATCCTTGATACCAGATTAGGATTAGGTGTAAGATTAGATTTATCGTTGATTAGGGTTAAACCTAATCCTGAATCTTAATTCTCTTTTTCTAGTTGTTGAAATTCGGTTTGGTCCTCTTCCGAGGAAAGATGACTTTCAGAAAGCCTGGGACCTACGTATCCCGTGATACTTTCAATGCAATTTCAACCGGAAGTTTTGTAAAATTGCCCGCCATTGGGTCATAGTTTTATGCTAAGTCTAAGTTGTCGTTGGTTGTAGATAAATGACAGTTCAAAACTGTTCTAAACTGTAAAATGTAATATAGATTAAAGCGTTGTAGTTTTAAAATGTGTTCACGTCAGTCATACCGTACTAGACTAGTATTAGTAGTAACAACCAACAGTCAAACTAGCAGTACTGCAATGATCAACTGACATTGAGGAAGGTTGGAAGTGAAACACTGAATAAAGCATTGCAAAGCAGCAAGTACTAGACTAGTCAGGCTAGTATTAGTAGCAACAGTCAACACTCAGTCAGACTAGCAGTACTGCAATGATCAACTGACATTGAGGAAGGTTGGAAGTGAAACACTGAATAAAGCATTGCAAAGCAGTAAGTACTAGACTAGTCAGGCTAGTATTAGTAGCAACAGTCAACACTCAGTCAGACTAGCAGTACTGCAATGATCAACTGACATTGAGGAAGGTTGGAAGTGAAACACTGAATAAAGCATTGCAAAGCAGTAAGTACTAGACTAGTCAGGCTAGTATTAGTAGAAACAGTCAACACTCAGTCAGACTGGCAGTACTGCAATGATCAACTGACAGTGAGGAAGGTTGAAAGTGAAACATTGAATAAAACATTGCAAAGAATTTAACACTAAACTAGTCAGGCAAGAGTGGCACCAATCACGATGGTGTACTACCGCAATCCTATACCATGAGCCTGCGACTATGATAGAAAAATTTAATCAAAACAATAACTTGAATTTACTGTATTTTCAAAACAGCTACGATACGTGTCTTTATGCTACAACATGATCTAAACTAATCCTCGGATCCCTCGTCGGAATTTCCCGCCTCCTGCTCGGGTTCATGCTCGGGTTCAGGCTCGGGCTCTGGTTCCGACTCGGACTCAGGTTCAGGCTCTTTCCGGGGCGTCGGTCGATTCTCAGAATGTTCTTCCAACTGCTCGTCAGCCATGTTTTCGATCTGTGCTACCTGTAATGGCAAAGACAACAACAACGGTTTAATCCTGCGCAGAATTTTACCATGACAGCTTTTTGTAGAATACTACCTACACTAGACCACCACGTTTGAGATATCTTTCTCAGATAGTTCAGACACAAACCACGACAGCTTTTTGTAGAATACTACCTACACTAGAACACCACGTTTGAGATATCTTTCTCAGATAGTTCAGACACAAACCACGCCAGCTTATTGTAGAATACTACCTACACTGGATCACCACGTTTGAGATTCTTTCTCAGGTAGTTCAGACAAACCACGCCAGCTTATTGTAGAATACTACCTACACTAGACCACCACGTTTGAGATATCTTTTTCAGGTAATTTAGACACAAACCACGACAGCTTATTGCAGAATACTACCTACACTGAACCACCACGTTTGAGATTCTTTCTGAGGTAGTTCAGACACAAACCACAACAGCTTATTGTAAAATACTACCTACACTGGACCACCACGTTTGAGATATCTTTCTCAGGTAGTTCAGACACAAACCACGACAGATTATTGTAGAATACTACCTACACTAGACCACCACGTTTAAGATATCTTTCTCAGGTAGTTCAGACAATCTCAGGTAGTTCAGACAACTCGGGTAGTTCAGACATAGGCTACAGTAAACATTATATATTGAGGGAAGAAAACTACCTCATCTCTCACACCCTGTATCTTCTTTTTCCAACTGTTAATTTCATTTACATAGTCTTTCGCGATGTTCTCCATCTTTACAACATCACGTTCCCCCATGTCAGCCCTTTCGTCTGTTTCTCGAACTTGGTCTTCCAAGAACTGCAATGTTTTAAACAATTTGATAACATTGTGCCAGCCAGAGACGCTCAAACGAAACTCATTGCACGTTACAAAATAATTTTATCAAAGCAGATCTCGAAAGATATTTTTCTCGCAGCCAGGAAAGACGCACAAAAACTAGTAAATACTTCGAGGTTTCCTAACGGTCGCGTTGAATAAATACTTCAAATGGCTGTATTTTCAAAATTACACCAAATTTCGCAACGTAACTTGTTCAGTTTACTAATTTTGCCATGCTCTTTCAAGAAATAGTAAAATCACTGTCCAGATTTGCCTGGATGAAATTGTTGTTTAATCTGCAATGGTTCTGTTGTAAAAACTTGTTTTCATCAGAATTTTTACCCATGTGTGTCTGTCGCTATGGACAAATTCAATAAATTCCTCCAGGAACCTAACAACCAATCATTCTACCTGCTCACCTTTAGTTTCTCCTCCGTGAGTTCCTCGCGTTCCGCAGCATCGTTATCCCGATCTTCGAGGGTGCGAATTTCCGTGCCCACGTTGTTGATCTTTTCTTCAAGCGCGCTCACGCGGTCCGTACCCGCGCGAAGACGTTCGTCCGTGCGCTGTGTCTCCTCTTCAAGAACGGCAAGTTTACGTTCGCTGTCGACAAGCACGTTGTGAGCTTCGTTGCTGACTTTCTTTGCTGCGACACACTCCTGTTTTGTATACGAGAAATGAATTACGATCTTTACAGGAGAAAGTTGAACAAAATTAACTTTATATTATATAGAACTGGATAGCTCTATCAGTTCTAAACTGTTCTTCCTAGAGGTCCAGTAAGGATCATCTCTTATTGATCTATTATTAAATAAACGTACATCTTCCAGGGTCGCCAGCTGTTCATCTCGCTCCATTTCAGTGATCTCAAACTCCTGTCTCATTCCATCATCATCCCCAAATCTTCCTTCGGCGTGATTTAACTTTTTCTGCGCAGCCTCCAGCCGATCGTTTACCTGTGCATTGTGATACATTGCTGAGTGACAAATCATGAGAGATTACACTTATCAAAAAGCAACGAAGGTGTCTTTCTGATGGGCATTCTGTGTTGCGACAAAGGATTGTATGTACTTGCTATCTTTAACTTAGGTTTTAAGTGTTGTGTGGTGTCTAAATGCTCTCAAAACTTGATTATTTAAGACAAAACCATGAAAAACAGTTAAAAGACTTTAGGATTGGTTTCGAAATAAAGGGGAAAGTCCAACGGCTCAAATTAACGGATTTTGAAAGCAAGAACGATACAAGTTCATGAGAGTTGATGCTAGTTAATGCAAGTTGGTTTACTAGTTGGTTTAATGAATATAACGCGAGTGACAAATCACGTTTGTTGCATAATTGTGTCCACTGCCAACCGTCTCATGCAAGTTTGTGCAAACGCTTGTTCGTCAACTCGCATCAACTCGTATAGTAAGCGTATGGAAAATAAACCTTGTCCAAATCCTTTTGTATCAAAACCAATCTTCTTTTCATTCCTTCCACTTCATTCACGGTGTTTTCGTACCTCGCTTCCGCTTCGAGAAGATCGTTTTTCGCCTTGATTTCCCGCTCCTCAGCGATGTCGATGTCTTCCTTGTACTTCGACACACGTTCCTTGACTCGCTGAAGTTGTACACTCATGATGATTGACTGTTTTGAACGATGTTTTAGCCAGCAAAAAAACTATTCAAAACCGAAAATAAGAATACAAAAATCTACTGATGAAGTGCTTGAAGAAATAACCAACTTCAGCTGGAGAAACGCCGCAGAAAAAATATTTTGTGCAAGACATATTTCGTTGAGTATTTATAAATCTTTTTCTCACCAAGTTTGATGTCTAAGTAGTGAGAATTGTGGCTAAGTCTTACCAATTTCCGCGGTGTCTGCCTGACACTTGCTTCAGAGCATAAGGGAACTAGTAACGCAACGCCAGGTTTATATACAGCCAATTTAAAAGCCAGGGGCCGGTTGTTCGAAAGGCGTTTAGCTTATAAACGGTGGATAAGCCAAAGTTTAAAAATACTCTCATAGTTCTTGTGAATGACTGAACCTGCATCTTGTGCATTAAATATGTACTTCCATTGAAAATTAAACTATTTACATCGAAATATTTCAGCTCAGTTGTTCAATAAATAGATAATTTTGTTTTCCATTTTGAACTTATCCACCGTTTAAGCTAAACGCCTTTCGAACAACCAGCCCCATGCAGGGGCCTGTTGTATCAAGCCCGTTTAGCTTAAACGGTGGTTATATTAAGTTCAAAATAGATTCAAGCAAGTCTGCCGTTTTATTCAAGAAGCAAACTAAATGCTTTTAACCTTAATACAAGGATACTGTTTACAACTACATATTCAGTGCACAATATTCAAGTTGACTTCTTCAAGAGGAATATAAGAGTGTTATCTAATTTTGACTTATCCGCCGTTTAAGGTAAACGGGCTTGATACAACCGGCACCAGTTGTCCCCACAAGTGAGCTGGGAGTGGCCAATATGGAACTCAACCTCTGTTTAAAATACAACTTGTTCCTTTAACAGCTCCTTTGCACAAACTTATTGATGTGTTTTGGCAAATTCTCAGATCAAACTTCCCTGCTGTCTTTACATGCAATATCATTTTATTCTACTAAACTTTCCTAGATGATAGAAGTTCTAATCTCCAATGAATGCTCATGCTGAAATACGTCAACAAAACATAGTGTTAAGATTTCTCCTGTGGAATGTACCGCTAAGAGAATCTAGGCAACTCAATGTTCACTGCCGTTTACTGTTAGCTGCTATATATACGTCCTTTTATCGGACATCAGCGCTTGAGCGCTACACACTCGAGAAATTCGACAGAAATCTATCGTTATCGGCAAATTGCTTTTGAAATCGTCAGACGTCAGGCGGTGACATTCGTAAAAGTTACAGTATAATATATTTTCAGAACAGATTCAAAAAGCTTTCTTGTCATCTGCAAAGGCCCTTACACTTACGAAATGTATATAACAGTTTCGAATGCAGGATTTTACCAGAAATTATACGTTGAAACTTAACTTCACTTACCAAAATAAGATTGAAGCTTTGCGAATTGCACACAGCGAATTGGAAATTTCGAACCGAACAGCACAAAAGCACAGCAGCAAATGACACCTATAGCAATGTTATTCTACCGAAGGAATATCAAACAAATTAATCTGCACTGCATACGGACCACAAGCTGGGAAAATGGTCTGTGCGTCCCCATGTAATGTTTGCTAAAACTAGAGTAATTTTACCCGCAAAGACGCCACAAAAGTTGAATGTTTCTTGCGCGTTTTGTGTTCAAAGAAACCATAGTTCCGCCGGGTTTTTTACTGATTGTATCGCTCTTTTTAAAAGAACATGAAATCAGAGAAAACTATTCTCTTCATCGATGTAAAATCAACGAGGTTCATTTGACACCGACGCTGTTGATAAAGCGCTATCGTGCTTTTAAACCGCGCGCATCTGTCGCAAGATATGCAAATTCCCGAGGGTATTTGTATCGAAAATATGACCTAATACACCATATTTCTGTCACCGAAACGAGGGAATTGACTTCATTGGCAAACTGTTCAGCCTTTTTACTTTATAAGGCAGCAGATACTCAAAATTAGGAGGTGCGACACGATTATTTCAAACGTCATTCAACACGTGAAGTCACTTTTCAAAAATAGTATGCGGTGTTTGCGGTTTCTTATTTCTAACTCGGGTCCAGTCCAGCGTTCCGGTCGCGCGTGCACCATCCAGTGAACTCTAATAAATAACTGGAACGATATCTCCTCATTGTTTTTGTGAAGCTAAAATTTGCAGGCCTTTTGGGCCGGTTGTATGAAAGCCGGATAGCACTACCCACCGGATAGGGTTTTTTCAATCGCTATAAAATCGCCTGTTGTTAGAAATAACTTTAATAAAATCTTAGTATTCCTGAATTGAGGATTCTCTTTAACAATTGTTAGTTCCAAAGCAGAAATTTGAATGCTTTCCAACCATTTTTAGAACGGTTGAAAACATCACTATCCGGCGGATAAGCAAGCCGGATATCCAGCTTTCGTACTTCGTACAACTGCCCCCAAAATTTTATACAAAATGCAAATTGTGTTATAAAATAATGATCTTCAGTGGCCCCTCAAACAATAAGCTGAGAGTTTCATGGTATTTCATAAGTTTCCAGATTGACTCGGGAAGAAAGGAAAGAACCTCATTAGTGCCGTCTAAAAACAAAGCTTCGTGCTAAGTTGTGTTTGACTCATGTTTCATTTAAACCGGTGACCATATTGTAAAGCCTATGGGTGGATCAAGGAAGTTCGTTTGGTTCAATTGGACCAATAAAAGCCCTCGTCACTCGTGCGTGCTCCAAGCGGGGAAATTCGAACTGGTTATAAAGCTGAGATTCTGTTAAAACTCGTCGTTGTAAAGAAGACGTCTTGCATGGACGAAGACTGAATAGTTCGTGAGCAGAAACCTGAATAGATTCAAAGAGTTTTGAGAAGATAGAAGCTAAACGAACTGTCTGTGTGAATTTTGCTTCATGTTTATGTGGAAAGGTAGTTCATGGATTTAGTTTCGCTTCACTTAACAATAGTTTATTGTTATGTTGAAATCAATCATTGAATACCGATGGTTGTTTCGCCTGCGTTTTAGTCGAAATCTAGGCGCTGAATTTTGTGATTTTGCTAATGCAAAGGTTTCACGTTACTTATTTTGATATTCTGCTCCATTTTACAGTGAAAATCGTCGAGGAAAAGCGACGAAATTGGAACAACTCGTGTCTCTTTGTCCAGCCTTAATTGCAATGAATTTGAACAAAGGTATTTGAACCACTTGCCTTCATTTTTGCTCGCGTTAATTTCGAAGTATAGGTCATTAGGTCCTTCGTTAAACAATCTGCCCTGTTGAAACTCGATGCTGTAAATGCTCTAATAAGTCCCAATAACTCAAATAAACCTATAATTCAAATATCAAGAATGTCTCATGATCTTAATTTTTCCTTTTAACAGATGAAGAAAGCGTTGTACAAGTCAAGTCATTCACTAAATCCGCGCAAATGCAAAATATACTAAAAATTTACGGTCAAGGTATATTAGACGTAGTTTAATCTCGTAAATCCTGCTATATTTCGCTTAGAATAAGAAAATTATTTGGCTTAAAATATGAAAATTAGTTCGCTTTAAAATAAGAAAATTATTTGGCTTAAAATATAAAAATTATTTGGCTTAAAATATGAAAATTATTTATACAATCATGCATGGACGTGTCGACCGCTATACACTCTTTTGTTCAGTCCTTATTTTTCCATTTTCGGTTCGTATTTGATTTGTGGCAGACCTTGAATTTGAACTGGTGGTTTGAGCACGGAAAATACAAATGATTGGGGCCCCTCGTTTGTATTTTCTAACGCTCAATTCAACCGGCGGAAAATAGGCGAAATTATGTCGCTTTTAGCGGCTGTTAAAGTGGCTCAGAATTTATTTCGTGATGCATGATAGAAACCAGAGGGAACGAACATTTGAGTGTTGTTGTTGTTGACACGAATGTTTGAAATGAACCTGGCAAAGCCTTGTAACTAAAACATAGCAAATTTGGCTGCATGCATTGGCAAAAATTATACAATTTGCGATAAATTGATTGTTGATCCATAAAAAATATTTAGTCTAAGAGGGTTGTATATATAGAGTCAATATATATGAGCTTTATAAAGACAAAAGGAAAAATGCATGTTGTTTTCGAAGCGGTTTTTTCGAAGTGATTATAATTCATTTGTTTATTTACTTGTTTGTTTGTTTACTTATTCAGTTTGGCAACACGAGAGATTAGAAAGAATGAGTTGAGGTGTTTTATTTCTGCATGTCTGCATGTTTTCCAATGAACAAAATGATACAAGAAAGTGCATGGAGCAATGCTTTTAAACATTGATCATTTGAGCTGCATGGCAACAATTCATGAAAAAAGTTGCGATTATGAATTTATGCTCACGCTTTTCGATGGGAAATTTTCGCCTAAAAGGCCAGCATAGGAACATTTTGCATTTGCGTGCGATGTGAGAATGACTTCGCGAGCTCTACAACCACCACGCCGCTGCCAGCCGGAGATAACTTACACGAGGAATGGATGATTTGGACATTGGTGGCTCATGGCGAGAGATGTATCAACCTGGACTTTACTCGGAGACACACGACAGCTTGAATCATGGAGTATATCTACGCCTATGTGGGCACTGCCTTGGATTGTAAAGATGCGATTAGAAAGATTCGTCGATAATCAAGTGGCCTCGCGTCAAACGAAGAGGAAGCTCATACAGGTTTATATTATAGGTACTATAGGTATTACAGATAGCATGAATCGACTTCAGAACTTTCATAGAAGTAGCTAAATGCATGAATGCATGATATATAGTTATAGTAGTTCTGGAGTCGAGATCGCCTGGTGGTCTAACTCGACCGTAGTTGCATGTTCTCGTGTATAGAATGAATGATACTCAACTAGTCAAGCAGAATGCTAGCGATAACGCGATGCGCGCGCATGATAGATCGGATCTAATCTAGTATCCGATGCAAGTTGCAAACTAAGGTGGTTATATATGTTATATATAAGCGCCCTAGGAAAAAAAATGGCGAAAATTTTGAAGGACATACTTTTATAGCATTGATTTTTTCATTCCCTGCCCATAACTATTATATATTACACTGAATCACATTTCTAGCATATTTTTAGCATATTTGTAGCATATTTATAGCATATGACATATTTATAGCATTGATTTTTTGATTCCCTGCTCATAACTATTATATTACACCGAATCACATTTCTGCTTGTTAGCACATAATTTTATAACACAATTAATACAAGAATACATATTTCAAATATAATTTCGATAAATTTTAAAGAACATTTCTGAATTCTAATCCTTTCAATGAACCAAAAATATTCCTGAATTGTTTGACGCAAAGGCTCGATACATTCTGTCTCTAATCTCCTCATCTTCGATATTCGTTAACGTTTTACTCCGATTTCCGTCAGTTGTTCCACCCTGTCATTTCAACTGATTGCTTCGAACATTGAGTAAACACAGGTATAATTTGGGCCCTCCATTTGTGGGTGTGGATACGGGTTTGGGAGGAAGGGGGGTGCATGTGAAAGACAATATGACTGGATATAAACAAAGACTAAGACACAACAATAACAACAACAACGTCTGACTGAGAACATGATACAGAACAACACAAAAAACTGATTACTTGGAACAAAAACTGCGGAAAAGTCAATTTAAACATACTAATTTTCTTTTGAGTCTTCAAAGGTTTTCAAGGTCAGGATGATGATGTTTGTGAATACAATTCAACTGGATTGTCAATTCAGTTAGTCGACAAGTTAATGGTCCTTACACAGCTTATGCACAAAATGACTGGCTCTCGCCTTTATCCATGGTATTTCATCAGACGAAAATCAAAAACTGTCAGTTGGCGAGTGGTCTAGAAATATGAAGAACGTTGGTTCAAGTGCTGCAGTTAAGTACTGAGGAGATTCCTCGTCCTCTTTTGTAACCAGAACACGAGTATTTTAAATGTATTTTAATTTTAAAGCCCTGCATGTCTATATTGGGTATTCACTTTCTGTGTTTCTTCAATGTTCAAAGCAGCTTATATACGTAAAATTGGCGGTCGCTTTTACAAGGTGGTGACAATTAAATTTGGCCGGAAATAGCTTTACGAGGAGTCTAAGTGATCTTGTCTAGGGCGTCTGTTTCAAATGAAAAAAAAAACGCAAACTAATTCATGATATCAAAACTACTTGTTGAGTAGAACCATGTTTATCTTTAGCTGCAAATTCTCGCTAGTTATCAGTGATTTGAGAATACACAATAAGTTTTCTTTCCAGTAGTATTATCCTCCCAGAAATCATTAGTTTTCGCTTGACAACAATTCACAATACAAGTTGCGATATTGAACAATCATGCATGTTCAGGTTCGATCAAAACTGTCTTCATTTGCTCAAAATTGCAACAGTTAAAAGTAATTGATTGCACATAAAACACAAATTATGAACTTTGTGAGTGATATGTAGATGCATAATATGCGTACCAGCATTTTAAATTAATTTCATCACAAGTTATCATAATTGCAACAGTTAAGAGTAATTGATTGCACATAAAACACAAAATACAAGTTATCATGAACTATATGAGTGATATGTAGATACATAATATGCATACAAGCATTTTAAATTAATTTCATCAACAAGAATCAAGTCGTGTTTCATTTAATCAGTCGCATACCTGTGATGATCTGATAAAAAAAAGTCCGTAGCATCAAAAGTCCTTCACAGCAGCAGCGCGCACGCAGTTTGAAATCAAAAGATATTCAGAGTAAAGTACAATTATATTAACCAAAAATCCAAACTAAAGACTCCACATTAGACCACCAGGATCGTCTGACAAGACCCAAGAATTGCCAAGAATTGCTACCCTCTCTGAATTTGCGAATTTGTTTGATTGCATGATTCCATACGAGAAAATGGCATATTGAGGGATTTGTCAGACGAATATTATTGAATAACCAAACATAAAATATATAAATAAACACCGGAATTCGATGAAAATATAAACCAGTTGAAAACCTGCATGAAGACGTGCGTTGAAACAAAATGGCGACTCAATATGGCGAATCAATAAAGCGACTCGAACGATGCATTAACAGCCGGCCAAAAATGAAGCGTTAAGCAATAAACCAGGAAAAAAAACACTGTCTCATTCCTTCTCACGATTGCGGAATTTCAAAATCAAAAATATCAAATTCGGACCGCCGTACGGTAGTCTGCGAGTTCGCAGACCACCAGGAGGGTTTTTCTCCGGGCACTCCGGTTTCCCTCCATTTCGTTTGGCTTTAAAAAACAGTGTCCATGTCTGGGGCCAAACAAAGATATCAAAATTCTATCCGTTAACTGCGAATAAAAGTTTGAATGCATGGTTTGGCTTCTGGGTTAAAATCCCGGAACACTGCTCCGTGCCAGAAACTTGAAAATCATCTTTGCAAATTGTTGACGCATCTTTGTTTTGAGTGCGGTTTAGACATTTCAACTATGGCTTGGACATATGTTCTGATTTTTATCCTTCCTGGGTTACCCTTTACGCACTTAGTTTTTAACTGTTTTGCTGTGATATTCTGCAGGCTCTCGCACCTTACAGCCACGAACTCCGTGGGTCGGGGCGTCCGGTCCGTCTGCTGCTGGTAAAAGCCTAGATCTGCTGCTGATCCGGGTGGTACTGCCTCGGATTCCCCTTCTGCTACTCTTTCATATCCTGCCCCGTCTCCTGCTACTCCTCCATGTCCTCCTCCATCTCCTGCTACTCCTCCATGTCCTGATCTGCCACCTGCTACTCCTCCAGATCCCTGCTCCATCTCCTGCTACTCCTCCATGTCCTGATCTGCCACCTGCTACTCCTCCAGATCCTGCTCCGTCTCCTGCTACTCCTCCAGATTCTGCTCCATCTCCTGCTACACCTCCAGATCAAGCTCCATCTCCTGCTACTCCTCCAGATCCTGCTTCGTCTGCTGGTACTCCTCCAGATCCTGCTCCATCTTCAACTACTCCTCCAGATTCTGTTCCGTCTCTTGCTACTCCTCCAGATCCTGCTTCGTCTGCTGGTACTCCTCCAGATCCTGCTCCATCTTCAACTACTCCTCCAGATCCTGTTCCGTCTCTTGCTACTCCTAGTGCTGCTCGCCTGCTCCTGTTCCTATCCTAGCCTCCATCGCACATTGGAAAGGAGCCAAACCATTGCATCTTGCGATGACCCTTGCGACCTTTTTCCTTTCATTTCACATTCCTAGCTCCGGCTCTGAGTTTCGCAATCCGCGTCTGATTATTTTCAGCCTGACATGCGGGTTTCCTCACGATTCAAGAATCGATATTCTGCCTAAACAATCTTCTGCCTCGTACTTCAAAGAGATTGGCTGCCGTTGTTTCTAACATCAATTAACTGAGGTGGGTAAAATGAATTTCTTTTAAAACGAATAAAAGGGAAGCAATGAACTAGCGATTTGTAAGACTTCAAATACATAGTGATAAAATCTATAGTGTACGAGTGTTTGGCAGTACTAAAGTTTGCGGGTAAATCGTTATAATCGAATGATAAATTCTTGTTTGAATTTAAGTTCTTTTTAAGGCATGATGAAGCCTTCGTCTTAGCGTTGTTTGGTAGAATATTATGTTAAGATATAAAAGATAATTCTTATTGTGTTTGTGTAGAACTTAAATGTAACCCTGGGAGAGGTAACTTAAATATATCGCAAAATAACAAACGAAGTGTACTTCGTATCACTATCAGTCTTTATTGCGTTAAATATAGTAACATTTGCATATAATGCGTATATTCTCTCTGTATATAAAAGCAATGCATCTTCAAGGCAAATTCTTTAGTTTTAAACTTGGGGAGAATAACTGCCGTGTTTGAATGCTGTGTTGGTATTTTATATCGAAAGAATTTTATGTTTATGTACGCCCGACTGTGGAATTTTAAGGTGCGAGGTATTTTGACCGCGTAACGAAGCGCATTATTACGTACGATTTCCTTGGATACCAAACGCATCTAGTTTATATAAACGCAGAGTATAAACGAAACGCATAAGAACCATCAATGCTGTCATGGTATTATTAGGAGGCGGCCGTATAGCGCTGTTGGAGTCGCTTGCCGCTGAGGGAAACGAATTTAAATAAAATAATTTAGTTGGAAATTTGAAACTAAACACGAATCATAGTCCACGCTTTCATAATGAAATCGTGTTCACATAAGAATGTAATATGACCGCAGGAGCGAAGCTATCAGCTTGAATATGCCGTTTTCAAATCGTATGAACTTGGAATATAAATCTTTGCACGCTTTCCCTCCTTTATATGGTAAAAACGACCAGACCGGTCTTGTTGTATTTCGGTACGGACAGATTACTGGTATTTTAGAGTGTTTTAAGAACTCTGCTTTTGAGTATATCGTTATTTACATCTGCCTAGCACAAGAAATGCAGTTTCACTGCGATATTCTTTAGACAGAATGAAATGGGAATGGAATGAAGTGGGAGATTTCCAGCTTTGACCTTGCGTCTTTTTTTAATCATTCGTTGCGTTCAAAAGATATCTTGCTTATTCGGAATTGCTTTTACTAAACTGTCGGCTGGGCATGGTTCCGTGCAAAGATTTATCTCACAACATTGACAACGCTTTTTGCTCTAAATCATAGAACAAAACATGCTTTTTTTGGACGGTCGTGGTGGTATATCCCAAACTAAAACCAAATGACATAAAACAACTCTATACTGTATATATAGTCTACGAAGTTATACTTAGTTACTCATCCATGGATCATTTCTTGTTAAACCAACTAGAAACTACCACAAAAAACCGTCAAATCAGCCCGAAAACTATTCTCAAACGAGAGAGAAACTTCCCAGGCGATGTCAAATTCCCGCAAAAACTTGTCCACACACGGAAAGTTTTTGGAGCCAACTCATTAATAATGTACATTTGTCTTTTATGCATACTAACCTCCCCCCACTCTTGAAACCCGTATTTCATTGGCGCTTACCACCAGAGCATGTTATTATATGCAAAATACAACATACTTTGAATAAATTCTTTAGTAAATAATTCTGCTAAAAGAACGCTCTCTTTAAGTATATATTTTATCGAATCGCGTCGTAAAACTGTGGCCTAAAATTGTTATATTTTCGCGTGTTTTTCGTTTGTAGCGACGGTGCAAACGCTTCGAAGGGTCGTAGCGAAGCAGTTAAAACAGACGACGGTTTAAGCTATCGTAGTGAACGCGATATACCTGTCACATATCAGCTATGATGAATCGAAGACGGACACAAGAAAGCGAAGGAATATCGCTTAGGATTCTCTTCATTTGTAGCATAATCGTGGGTCTTTTGATGATGGTTTTAGGAGTCGTCTTTCGTGTCTACGTGTGCCATTGGGTCGCGAGGATCTTGTTCGCTATATGGATCGGCATTTTCGTAAGTATCACGCCGTGTCGTGTGAATTATGTGTATGTGTGTAGGTATAGTTGTCTAGGCTTAAACGTTTGAATCCACAAAACCGGACAACTGGTTTGGGGTGTCTTTTAATAGTAAGTTTATCTGAAGTTGATCTGTGGTAAAGTTCTGATAGTGACGATGAAACACAACAAAATAATTCAAATCAATATTCTACCTCAAGCGATAAAGATTTCCTAACAATTTATCACCTTAGGATATGGCTCTTTCGGGTGACCTAGTTTAATAGTCACTTCACTTTACACCGCAAAGAAATATGCTTTTTGAAATTAACTTTTACCGTAAGTTTTAAGATAGTTTGGAAGTCTCTACACAAGAGTCTAAAGGTTTTCAAGGCAGTTTCAGTATGACTTAGACAAACTATGATCGATGTTTAGCAAGGAAATGTTTAAAAAACGCAATGTGCCTTTTAAGAGAAGCAATTTATACTAAGTGTCGCAATCATTTTAAATTCTGCGGTCATTTTCTTTTCTCGTATTCCTTTCGTTTTTCATTTGTGATATTTTCGTGAACATCGTTGTATAATCTTTCGTTTCAAATGCGTTGATATATAGCGAGGTATATACTTACAGTGAAACGCGTAATGATGAATGAATACTGCAAATATTTTCCGCGTAAAATAAATGTTAGCTTACTGCGAATGTCGTTAAATGGTGCGAATCCCTATTCATTGTACTTTATGAATTAACTTAGACTGCAGTTATTTTAATATTATTCAATTGGCTTACATATATCTGAAGCTGAGAGTTTGAATATATATTTCATTATATATAAGAGCGATTGCTCGTCAAGAAGACGACTTCTCGAATATGGTCAAAGATCCTTTAATCTCACATCATCTCAATACATCGTAATAGTCAAAAGAAAAACTACATATATAGATACAGCTATTCCGAATTCCTACGAGAGTACTTCATGGTGACTTATTCAAAATTACGTTTTGAGTTCGCGGAAACACAATGAAAACACCCGCTGTCAACAATATTTCGTATTTTCCAATCTCTTTTATTCCCGCTTTGTATATGTACACGACAAAAACGCTAAAATGAAGACGTTATTATGACATAGATCCTAGAATCGTAAACGAAACAATTCCTCTGTTAAAACACTCGGTTATATCCGTGATTCGCCTCGTATTCTGTGCTCTTATTAAAGTTTTTCTGTATTTTTATAATGCAGGTGATGGTAGCCGCTGGTGTTGGACTGTGCACTCGTGTTTCTCGTGATTATGGACCAAGATACGGAACTGTATGTTGGATGCATTTGTCAAAACCTATCTCGGGGGGACTTTGTTTTTGATTGAAACAGGGCTTTTCCTGATAAAATGATTTAATCATTCTTTTCCTGATGATGATGACTAAAGCTTAGTCGAAACGTCGAAAATCATATTTTTCAAAATGTTAACTCTACGGAGTTTCTATTGTTTTATATTTGATATACTTGTTTGGGGTTTTTAAAGACTTCCTTTTTAGCCGGTAGCCACGTCCAGTTAAACTAAGTTTGGTCTTCGACTTCGTTCAACTGGCATCTCCTCCTAGAAATTTACTTGCATTACCTTCTAATCTTTATTACTTATATATTTGTTATAGCCCTGCACATTCTCATTCGGACTTATAAGTTTTTTGCTCTGTCTTACGATGGTCATATGTTTGTGTTTCTCGATGAGAGATTTCGACGACGACAGGTGGTTTAGACCGGCCAAACCATATCTCGTGGTTGATCCTGACCACTGCGTCGTGGAACGTCACGTTAACGAGTATGTAATCCGTATTTACCATTTTTATTTATGCATTTTCAAACTGTCTTCAGTATAAAGATCATCCCTTATTGATCCAGTGTTACTACAGGAGGAAACCTAAACTAAACTAACTTTATTTATACTGGATAGCTCTATCAGTTCCAAACTGTTCTTCCTAGAGGTCTAGTAAGGATCATCTCTTATTGATCCAGTGTTACTACAGGAGGAAACCTAAACTAAACTAACTTTATACTGGATAGCTCTATCAGTTCTAAACTGTCTGTTATTTGCAGCTTGGGTATAAAGTATTACTAATATTTGGACGCATATTTTCTTGATAGATACTATTACTACGATCGAATCAAGAAACATGGACGAGATGGTCTGAAATTTGGCTCGGTCCTGATTGGTCTAAGTTGTTTGGAAATGGTTCTAATTCTTCTAAGAAGCCTCATCATTGGTCAAATGAAAGGGTATTTTGGTGCAACGGACAAACAGCAGAGACAAGTTAAAATGCGAGGAGAGAGACAGCGCAACGTTCAAAGCATTTAGAAGTTTTTGTTTACGACGGATTTAGAATAAGGTGTTTATATTTTGTGCTCTTTTTTATACAATGCGCATGACAAGAAACTAGATAATGCAAGGCATTATGTAAAGTAATCTGCATAATCGTAGACGTACTCGGCTTGAACGAGTCTACGCACTGACTACATATTTTGCTTAAATTGTACGTAATATATAAGTCTGAACTAAGGACTAACGGTTGTTAATAATATTAAACTAAGAGGAAGGAGAAATTATGTCCTTTTTGCTTTTTCAAACACTTGTTTTTGCTTTGTTTGCAAGCTTAGGTATCTGCTATCGTTCTTACCGACGAAAATGTCACTCATTTACATAGATTTGACTAAACTTAATGTAAACTTTGTCCATTACATCAACAACTATAGATCTGTAGTATTAAAAGGCAGGCAATCTGTTTGGGATTCTTCACTAAATTTATTTACCGAATCGTGTTAGTTTTTATAGAAGTGCATGTATAAGTTTGTAAAAGTGTTTGCTATATTTAAAACTCGTTCAATTGCCTCAATGATTATATTTAGACATGAACCATCATATATGCAATCCTAAGCTGGGAATCTTACTAATTTACTATTTACCCAATATCCAAAGAAAGGTTTGTTAAAGTTCCCCTCAGTTCTCAAAATACGGATTCATGAACGTTGCTCACTTTCGTCTCGTAAGATTAAGAGTTTAGAAAAATCATTTCAATGCCCGCAGTAAACATCCTGGACAATGTATATTTTCAAAAACCTGTAATAATTGTCGACTTCTTCCTAAATATAGTGTGCATTCATGTGAAATTTTGCAGATGTAATTGACATAAATATATATTTTACAAAATTAAATGAAAAAACAACGCAGAACTTACTAATCGTGTTTTTCACCCATCATGAAAAAATAGGTACGTAGAGCGTACGACCAAGCCATTTACTATGGTTTAGCAGGTAGCTGGTCTAAAGGGGTCTATCCCACCCTCTTCTCTCTTGCTCCCCACCTATTGCCAGAGGTCTGACTACCCCTTTGTTCAATCCCCTCAAAACGACAACGAAATTAAAAGATGTAACAAAATATTTTCATATAATTTAAAAGAAAACACACACCAATTTTGAATGTTAAAATATTGCCATTAATTACAAACTAGAGTCTATGGTGTTCCCTATACTGAAATCAAACGCATAATCATTTTAAAGTTGCCTTGTGAATTTCTCTACCCCCCCTCTTCTCTAAGCGATGCAATTCAGTCATTTCTTATCCAGATTTCTTTTCCTCGGCTGCAGCAGCTTGTTCTCGTCTTTGGAACATGGTCGCTGCCGTTTCTTCCTCGATTGATATGCGAAAAAAGTGAAACAGCAGTTTCATTGCATTCACCGGCATGAGCCTAAGAAGAATGAAGAAAAAAGTTGAAAAAGTTTTTGCTATAACATTAATTGGCAGCCCTTTAAATGTTTCACGAACGGCGATACAACTCTGATAATTCCGTAAACACACACGAACCTATTTCAAAATCTGTGGTTTAGTAAAATGCAAAAAAGTTTTGTTCATTTGTGGGGATTTTAAAGCTTTATTCCACCCAAGAAATCGGCAGTCCGAATAGTCAAATTATTGTTGTTTGTTCTGGTGTTGTTTTTGCACTATAACAACCGATTGTTCTGCAATATTTTTGTTGGCTTACATTTGGGATAACAAATGGGCGCTGAGCGATCTCGGCAAGACGATCATAAATTTGTCTCGCAGCATTCCGTCCACCATTTCTTTCGCGACATATTCGGGCTCCAATAGTGGGAACATCGATGGGAACCTGGATGGAATAGAAGAAAATAAGATAACGGCTACGTTACGCTTTCATAAAACTCTGGGAAGCGCCGGAAAAATGGTAAACCACATGGCCATCATAACTTGTTTGAACTTTGAAGTTGATCAAGCCGTTATAATATTGTTTACAAACATGTTTGTGTGATGGCTGCAGCATTAGGTTGTTTTTATCAAGCAGAAACAGTCTTGGAGAACAGCTGACTAGTTGCCACCAGCAGAATCACAAGTAATGCATAAAAACTGGTCTTTTCTCATCCACGTAAGTCGATGGCCTCGTAAAGTCAAGAATATCATTACCTTGCGGAAGATTTTCCAAGCAAAGGAGTTCTCACCATGTAAGGACAGAGACACGACGTCTTCACGCCGGTTTTTCCATTGGCCAGTAGTTCCAGGCTCAACGCTTTGTGAAATCCGACAGCTGCAAATTTCGAGGTGCAGTATCCGACAACATTGTGCAACCCAAATAAGCCTGCAACGGACGCAACAGTCACGATATGACCATGGTTAATTTCCAACATGTGAGGCAGGAAAGCTTTGCAGGTCTAAATATAACATTGTTCAGGTCACTGTTAACCTTACAAGACTACAAGTTGTGTTCAATTTTACATGAAATCTTTTCAAAAACAAATACTTGCCCAGAAATGTGAAACTGTGTTCACTTGCATCTGTTTGGCCAGCTCATCATCAGAGCATTTGAGCAAGTTTCTGGTAATCATAATACCAGCATTGTTAATCAGTATGGTGACATGGCCAACTTCTTCCTCGACTGTTTTTGCAACGCTGTAGACTTCGTCTTTGCTTGTCAGATCGCAGCGGTATGTGTGGACCTTACCACCTTGTTTTCGGAGATTACCAGCAACCCTGTCCATCGCCTCTGAAGATATCAATAGGGACATCAAGATAGCACTGACCAGCATACATCAAGGTGCACACAGGTTCTCATTGGGGATTTTTGGGATAAAATTTGACACACAAATTTTCTTCATGGGTATAAAGTATACCATGACTATATTGGTACCATTCCAACACTATGACTATATTGGTACCATTAATCACCACAAACTATAGTCACAAGCTATATTATGTTTAATTACACAGATTACTAAACTTACTTTCACTGACATCCCACAGAACAATTGTTACATCTTCCTTAATAAGTTCCGATGCAATGCATTCGCCAATTTTTCCACCACCACCTGGTCAAGTAATAAAAACATTATTACTTGTGGTGATTGCACATATCACTCACATGATGAATTTATGTGATGGTGCTAATGCTGAGTAGCACCATTTCTATTGGACTACCAAACCAAAGGTTTGATCTCAACCAAGTCAAGCTAGTTTTTCAACTTGTCAAGTTGGTAACTCAGATCTGAGATGTTAATGTTTAATACATTGGCTTGCACCACACCCTGATGCATTCTACTTCAGCATTTGTATTTTGTCTAATGCCAGATGATTTCAACAATATCCATTAGCCAGTTAACAAAACTATTTGCAATCATCTCTTGCTAGTTAGCTAGTTAGCTTACAATGACTAATGGCTGGGGACTTTACTTCACTTTAATGATCAAGTGTGCAACTTGCAAGTGAAAGTAGGCAATTAAACCATAAACGTTTTAAAGTTACGTTTTTATAGGTTAATGACCATATAATCTACCTGTGATTAATACGATCTCCCCATTTATCTTCTTACGTGGTACAGGAATGATCAACCTGTAAGCGCTCTCAAGGTAAGTCCAGAAAATCCGCAGAAGCAATTCGAAAATTTCGAAAGCAAGACCCATTGTTGTGATACTCTGCTTCAACACCACCACAATACCGATCGACAAGCCGATGTTGCAAAACGCGCGCGTGGAATCGCGTGAGTCACGCGAACGCGAATTTTGCAACATTTTGGCAAATTTCCTCTCGCTGTGCTTCCATTTCACAAAGAAAAACAATATTTCCCAAGTGGATGTTCCGTTCTCTTCTTGCAATGCATCATGGTACTTTCATCTCCGAAATCCTTCAAAATGGCGGAGGCAAAAGAGCTGCAATCCAACTTAGTCAACTATAAAGCACAACTTCAGCAGGTAAACGACGTTTAAGGAATCTAAAATCGTGTTGACCTTAAACTAGGGTTATTGTAGTTTTCTGTAACCTTGTTTAACTTAACCTCTGAGCGTGTTTTAGTGGTATAATATGCAATTTAAAAATGTCTGTATTTAGGATTTCTAATTCATTTTTTTTTAGGTGGAAGCGGCATTGACGACGGAGCCAGATAATGAAGAGCTTATAAAACTAAAGACTGATCTTGAGGTAATTATTAATAAAAAAAAAGCAGCTTATGTTTGTCTTAAAAAACACCAAGCTCAGTACTAAAGTTAGTAGTGACTGAGAACTGAACTGAGTCACTGAGATACATCATACAAAAGTTGTAAATTATAACACTGTATCGTTCGTACAGTACATGCCGTCATAAACAATGAAACAGGGGGAAAGAAGCCAAGCCCAGCCAAACTCACCCCCTCACTTTTTCTTGAACAAAGAAATTTTCTGATTAAATTCCGTCTTAACTGTTGAGTTAAAATTGGCATTCTGATTCTCAGATTCTGCCCCCACTTTTATTAAACAGGCTCTGCGGATCCTCTGCTATACAATGTAAAAATTCATATTTTCTTTGCAGGAAGTGATTGCTCTCACATCAGATCTAGTGCAACTAAATGAGGTTAGTTTGTCATTGTCAGGTAATTAGGTAATAAATTTTATTGCCTAAGAACTAAATGTGTGAATCATGGTTTGAGAAAATTACTTTGAGAGTTTAAGTGTTAACCAGTACTTGGTCATTTAAAGGGTAGCAGCAGCAGTACTGGGAAGGAATCCAAGGAACCGCCTGGAAAGGCGACATCATCTAAGCTATCATCAGGTTGGAAAGAAGGTGACTCATGCCAAGCCATTTGGAGCGAAGATGGACGGTAAGAAAATAACAAAATTTCTTTTTCCATGCAGACGGTTATCTACTCAACCTTCTTCATACAACTGGCCTTGGCATAATACCAGCCTTAATGTCGATTTCTATTAATCAACATCCCTATTCTATTGCACGTGTATAAGTCCTCTTTCTTTTTAGTTATTATGATGCAACGGTAGACAGAATATCTGATGATGGCGTGACATGTACTGTGACATTAGAACCATTTGGAAATACAGAAATAACAAAGGTATCTAAATATAAGCCCATTCTGATGTAGTTTTCATGCCAGAAATTTCAGTTCTCATCTTATTTTTCCTGTAGGTTGCAACGTTAAAGAAACCAGGTGAACTAGGGGTAAAACGAGCCGCGGCTGTGGAGTACGATACGAAAGGAGAAGGCAAACAAAATAAAGAATTAACAAAGTAGGAATATGAAAAAAAAAATAAAAGAAATTTCATAATTATGTGACTGAATATCTTAATCTTATTGTGCAATTTTTTTACAGAGGTGAACGTGAAAAACTTAGAGAAGTTAAAAAGAAAAAAGCATTAAAGAAGAAACAAAAGCGAAAGGTGCAAAGATATACAAGCTATAATAAATCAGGGTGATTGCCATTGACCTGAAGAAAATTTGTGCAATTAGCTTTTTTCGCAATGACAAATGTGCCACCATGTTTGAACTTTTTTGTATTTTTTTGTCTGCAAATTTTTTCCATTTTTTGTTTCGAGCCATAATGAATATTTAAATCTACATGTTTATTTCTTTCTTTGCTGTTAGGAACTTAACGAGGCAAGGGAAAAGGACAAAAGCAAGTGGCTGGATTTTTTCAATGGGCCAAAAGTGAGTACCTTATTAAACCCATGTCTATAAATCCTTGACTTATTCACAAAGCGGTTGTATATATTTGCAGTCTGGTGGAAAAAAGAAGGGAATTTCAAAGAAGAGTATTTTTGCATCCCCAGAAACTGTTGAGGGCAAGGTAAGGCAAGATCGGTTGAGAAAATATTAATAGTTTAATTTACTTTAGAGAATGCCATGTGGATTGTCCCAATTTGGGAAAGCTACAGACAAATTGTTGAAAAAATTGCAAAACATTACCAGTTTTGCAAAGCAGTATTTTTGGATTTTTTTGAAATTCTTTCATTGATTTGAGACAAGTGAAATTTGCAGCCAGGTTTGTAATTCAATGGTGGTTTGATTTTAGCATTTTTAATTCGGACAGTTGTTCATCGGAGAGATCAGAGATACAAGTCAATTTTTTAAAAATATTTTTTATGAATGTTATGTGTTCCCCTTCATCAAGGTTGGTATTGGTACATGTGGTATTGGTGGTCAACCTATGACGACTTTCACACAACCAGATAAACTGGTTTACAGAAGGTGATATCAAATGGACATGTATTATGGACCCCAGCATTCCAACCCCCCACAAAACATTTGCATTTTCTTGTCATGATAAGGCTGTAACCAATAACTGATCAGATAGCATTTGTTTATGCCAGTACTTTTAGCCGAACCAAAATGAAAGGACCGTTCATGAATGCCTCTCATGTAGTATGATTTGTTATATAGAAACAATGCAAAGCAATAAGTGTTTTCAGGGAGGGAGATTGATATAGCAGCCAAACATTGGGGGGGAGAAGACTGACATAGACACATATTACCTTGTTAAGTTATAATGCAAATAGGAATTGCCTTTAAAACTGTCAGCATTTTTTCTTTAGCTTGTTTTGGTTTGGGCTATTTTCATGCCCTTAATATGTACAATATTTAAATTGAAATGTATTGTGAAAGAAACAATTGAATTTACTATATTGAAGAATGTGCAAGTTAACTTCATTTTTTATTTTATTTATTCAATGCAAAATTTCTTTTTAATTTTTTTTTACAAAAATATCACTCTAATTTTCAGATCAATTTATGTACTTTATTATTTTGGGCTTTACTAAGTTTGTGCATAATTGTTGTGCCTTGCTAGGGTGCAAATCTGTGCTCTATATTGTAAATTATATTTGCTTACCAATATTTGTTGGGCTTAATTTTATGAAATGAACAAGCTTACCACAGCTAAATTAATCTACAATAAGTTATGTTCTGATAATATCTGTTAAATATATGATATATTTTCATTTACTTTATCCATCTGCATCCTTCAAAAGTGGTTTTGATTTTGGAAAGTGACATGCACAACAGTTTTGTTCAGGCAGTTGTTGATTGGGAAGTTCCAGACTGTTGGCGTGCCTGGTTGAGAGCGATTCTTCGTTTTCTAAAATCTATAAGAAACAATGTTCAAAAAATCATACCAGATATCCAGATCAAGCAATTAATACAAGTGTGACAATTGACTATAATTTTAATGTTTCTTAACCCACCTTAGTTACTATGAAACTGATTGCTTCGTCAATGCCAATATTTTCTTTTGCTGATGTGTCAAAACTGCACAGAAACCCAAGGTCGTCTCTCAGTTTGTCAATTCTTTCTTTTTTAATTATATATTCTTGATCACACTATATGAATTAAACAAATATTTTACACATAAGGGCTGTACATGTCATCAGTGCTATGTATCATTACCAACAATGTTTCACTTACTTTATTTGCCAATAAGACTGCTGGAATTGGTTGCCCATTAGCTAGGAACAGTTTGCTATCCAAGTCACTTTTCCACTGCTCTACAGCATCAAATGTTGCTGCCCTTGTCACGTCAAATGCAACAAATGCTGCAACAGCATCCCGGTAATACACCTTTACAAAATTGTTTTTGGTATTTATATATTTAAGTATTTTTTTTAGCAATATTTCTAAAATATATGTTAGAGAATTCAATTGATATTATTTACTTTATTACCCTGGTCATTGATGTGAATCGCTCTTGACCTAAAAGAAAATGTTAATGATATTATAGATCGATAGGTCTGTAACCTTAATAGGATTTTTATGAAATAGTTACTCAGTATATATACCTGCAATATCCCATAGTTGCAGTTTTATCTGACAATTTTCGTCCCAATCTATAACTTTCACTGCAAAATCACTGCCAATCTTATTTATGTTAAAGAGGAAATCAACTTGTACTTGAACATGTAAAAAACATAAACAACATAATTCAGTTATCAAAACTAAAAGATCAATTGGTATTCTATAGTTGTTAATAAGGTATCACTTTTGATCTCAAACTGCAAGGATACTGTAGCCTTATAGTTGATAAAGAATTTTTGACTAACATATCTCCGTATGAAACTAGTTTTCCCTGTGCCAACATCACCAAGGACCAAAACTTTAAATATCTTTTCCTTCTTCTTGTTTACTGCTGTGTTTTGCTGAAAGGTGAAATGCTTAATGTACATGTAAATCTATTTCCTTTATTAATATTGACATCACAATTGATTTAATTTAGAATTGTGCATACTGTATGATACATTATGACTCATCTGAATTCTATATAATTTCTACCCAAGTGATTTTATTATAGTATTTTGCAACCACAATTTTTTTTAACCGCACGACAAAGGCCTTTGCATTGAAGATTATTTCTTTGTATTTTTTTTGGTATTTATTTGAGGTTGCATAAAAAACAGGCTAGCCTGGTTGACTAGACTGCTACATTTTTTAGAAGAAAACAGACCACAAGCCATTAATAATGAAAGCAGACAACTACACTAAGTTTAAACTGAATGCAACACTAGAAACTGATCACCAATGAATTGAAGCATTCAGCCTCAGTCAAGCAGTTCCTGATCAAACATAATTCAATAATGATTATTCACATAATTGATAGTAACATTCAATAAATTTTAAAGTATGCATAATGAGATATCAAACGAACAGCTTACTTACCATATTTCTTTAATTTTAAAAAAGACAATATATGATCTCCTAAATAAACTTTCTGGGGAATATCAAACGGTTGACAAGTTGAAAGTCCACGCTGTTGCAGTTTCGCACTTTCGATGTTGAATCTAGATCAACTAGCGAAATACGAAATACGACGAAATACAACAGCGAAACACGACGTTATTTCAATTTTAGCAAATACTGTATTACAGAATACAAACGTGTTTTAGATGATTTATTTCAGCGCACGTTTGTAGGAGATTCTTCATTCTCCAACTATGATATTTACGAAAGTATGTTTATTTTTTAGTATTATGTCATTCATGATAGATACCCAACATGTACAATATGCTTTTGAGAGGTCGTGACACCCCTGTTTAGGTCAAGAGCAAAGAAAAAACGTTTTCAAACTCAATGAATTTCTCCGCTGTTAGGATATTTTTGTTTGCTACTAAAGGCTTCAGAGTTTAGTCTGCAGCAAAGTAATTCTAAAAAGAAATAGGCATAACAATGAAGGAAATTCTTCGAGAAAGATAACGTTAACCACCTTTACAGCATAGGAAAAACCGGGGTGCCTTAAAGAGTTAACGTTCCTAATCGTTTTAATTGTTTTTGCCTGGCATTAGCATGTGACTGTTCAAATATTGGCATGTGACTTTTAAAACTAAACATGATCGCCATTGAGAGTGATTGACCCCTTTGCCACCGGATGTTTAGTCGACGTTCAAAGCGGGAAAAAAATAGCTTGTGTTTTGGAAGTGATTTTAATCCTTATATGATATCTCTTATCTTTCTTTGCCAATAGGGCTTGATTTGGGGCAGTGAAAGTGAACGGGGGGGGGGCACATTTCGCCCTCCCCCCACACCAAATAATGAATGTGGACATTTACCATATAATAGAGAAATAAAGCGTAACTTTGTAGGCAGAATTTGACATAGACATGGCATGCACGTGGACATTGGTGCCTGATTGGTGTAGACTAGGGTCTGTTATACGGTTGTATTGTGACGGTGAGCACCTTGTATGGGACTGTGTGTCTCGTTCGTGCTTTGATTTAGCCGTTTCAGTTTCTACAAATTCCTACAAATGTGCTTATGTTGTTATCACGTAGTTGAGGTTCTGTTTGTCAGTGTTGTAATTGTTCTTACCAGTGTGTGTCTAATCATGTTCAGACTTTTAATAATAGATTTTGTAGAATACTCAATAAAAGGCCTTTGGAGAGCTACGGAGGCCTGTGGAGGCTCATGGAATGTTATGGAGGCTTATGGAGTGTTATGGATGCTTATGAAGGGCTATGGAGGCCTGTGGAGGAATATGGAGGCTTGTGGTCACATTGGTTATGCTTGATCTTAGTTCTGCATTTAACACCGTCGATAATGACATCTTGCTTGGTAGATTGAATCAAGAATTTGGAATAAAGGGACGAATTTTAGAGTGGTTTACTTCTTATGTAAATAAATTTTCTCAGTTTTAATATTTCTGTCAATGGTGGACGATCTAGACTTTTTAATTTATCATGTGGTGTCCCGCAGGGATCATGTTTGGGCCCTCTATTGTTTGTACTATATGTTAGTAGACTGTTCAGGATTGTGGAGAAACATCTACCTGATGCTCATATGCTTTTGCGGACCGCGGACGATTCACAACTCTATGTATCGTTCAAGCCAGATTCGGCCTGTGATCAATTAGCTGCGATTATTGCCTTGGAACAGACAGGAACACTGTATTGATGAGATAAAAGACTGGAATCACTGGATGCTTTCCGATAAACTAAAGGTTAATGCCCCCCAACGCATTTTAAACATTCAATTCAAGATTAAAACAAAAATGCAAAAAAAAGAATTTATATTATACATGAATCAGTAGCGAAGACAGCACGACTATTTGGTCCTGTTATGCAAATTGATAATTATTATCATTATTAAAGGCTAATTTCCACTCCGGAAAACAAGCAGCGGATCGGATCGGATTTTTTTCCGAGCTCGTCCGATCCATGAAGTGATTTCGGATCGGATCAAAAAAAGTTAAAACTATTTGAACTTTTTTTTATCCGGTCTCGGACGCTTTCGGATCAATATAATCCAAAAATTTCAACAGACGGCGCACGCGCGGATTATCTTTCGTTCCGATCCGATCCGATCCGCTGCTCGTTTTCCGGAGTGGAAATTAGCCTTAAAGCGTTGGGGCCCCGATTTGCGGGGCCTCGCTTTTTACATTTTGGGGTCTCGCATTTTCGGGGAGATTTGTACTCTTTGGGGCCGCGAGCTGAAACAGTGAAGTCAAGTCAAATTTTTTTAATAAGAGTAAGCGCAGGGCCCCAACATATCAAACTCTCGCTATACAAATAGTCTATATCGCGTTACAAGCGAGGATACCCCCAGCAGTGCGCAATACAAACTCGTCCAAAATAAGCGCTTTTTCTGTTCGTGTGCCTTAGAAACTGAAGCTATCTTTCACTTACACACGGATTACTAAATTTAAACCTATGCCGCACATTCTTTATTGTTTTTGGTAAAGATTCGTCGTATCCCGGAGTCGGACTTTGGGGGTTGAATGTTGCGGGCTATATAAGAATATTGGTCAAAAATCGCCGTTTAGAGCGGAAGTTGCGGGAAAACTCCTCGTACTGCTTCCACTATACAATATTTCTTTTCCTTACATTCGGAATTGAAATCTACATGTTTTGGCGCGTATTTTGATATGAATTTCGTACATATTCAACGTGAATTAGCTTCGGACCGATGGCCATGAACTGTAGGTATTTTGCGACATTGGTCGGCATTTGCATATGTTGTTCACACATTAATGCAGTCTCTGCTGTTGGTGATGTGAACACAATCAGAATGGAGGCCCGCCGTTTACTTACGAGATAAGCAGGCAAGAGAATTTTATATTTTCACCTTGTATGCTTTAATATAGTACTGTTTAATACCACAGTTGTGTATATTTTGCGTCGGCAATAAATAGCGTCGGCAATAGCCTGCGCTGCTGCAGTACACATTAATGATTTTCTTATTGATATATTGTGTATATATAATATATTATACATATAATATGCTGGAATAAGGGACATTAATATCGTTCACATCGGCTACCTGCGCGTGTAAGGGCGAATTTTAATCAAAAGGTTTTATTGTAATTGTTATTATCGGCTCTATCGTCTATATTGACGCGGCGGCCAAAACACAAGGCTTTTCATGCTGAAGAAACGGGAAATATATTATCTTTGCCATAGCCCATAGGGTCGCCATTCATCAAAACGCGAATCGTATCCTTCAAAATGCCTACGAACACGTTTATTTTCTTGATCAATCTCTTTAATCTCAACCTCGTAAAGGTTATTGTCTTTCGCCTCCCGTTTAAATGATTTTTTCCACATCGAACCGCAAATTCGTGGACAAAACGTTGAGGTTTGCATAATGTGCGCTTTGGTCTAGACACCATATTGTTTTACAAGGCGCGCATTTTGTAACAGAAAAAAACTGGACACTAGTTTGAGCAAATGTTCATCTCAATAGGGAAAGAGTTTGATATGAAAGCGCAGGGCCCGTGGCATATATATGCTGCTTCTGCCATATGCATGGCCGGCCCTGATATTCATTATAAACGTTGATTAAATGGTAAAGATAGTGTTCTTGATTGTTGAATGATTAGGTTATTGATTTTTACGTGGGTAATACTGCCAGTAATCCTTTTGGTAAGAAAGAAGTCAAAACCGTATAGTGTAAAACGAATCAAAACTAGTCATACATATAAACCACTTGGAGGTACCGATTGACTCTTTCCTCGTTTGTTAATTCTAGGTCTAACAAGACCATGTATGTTGATGCAGTGAGCGTGATAAATCTTTAGATAACTACAGGGATTGCGAAGGGTTCTCTTCATTCGGTGTTTTAACAGCCATAGCAATGCATTTTCCGCTCCATAGACATTCATCTCGTAATTCAACTCTGACAGAATAGAATCCTTTATTCGTTGTTTAAAAACAAATACATAGGCATCGTGTGAACCAATATACCTACGAGTTTCACAGTATCCAAGTCTTCCTGTCATATTACACTTTCGTTCCTGTCGCCCACTACGTGTTAAAACGTACGACAGGTTCCTTTCGACAAGATAAGTTTTATTCAATTTGTCAAATCCTTCCCCAAGGTAAATGTCCATATTCATCATTACCACAAGTTTTCCTTGAAGTTGGTCGTTCACGTATTCAAAAAAATCACGGTATTTAGGCATTTTTGCCTTGATGCGATGGGTATAAATTTTGTGCCGGTTTTGGAAGTTGAGTCTGTGCAATCTTTCCTTAGCTGCTGGCTGATTAACGAGCAGATGAACGCTTGAAATTAAAGGATGGTCAAGGTTTTTCTGCAATATTTCTTCTAATTCTTCCTGTCTTTGCGATAATCTAGTTTGGTTTGTCTCTGTTTGCCCCTCGTTCCAAGGTTTTTCGGTCATTATTGCATAGTTTGTAATCACATGAATTTCAGGTTGAGTATACAGATGTTCTTTAGTCAAGCGTCCTAACATAAATTTGAGACAAAAAATCGCAAATGATGCTGTAATGAAGAAGGACATGCATCTTTTCTTCGAATTTACGACGAGCATTTTTAGACGTGGACTGGCTGTCACAAGGGTTGAGGCTTGATTGAAGTGCAAGACTTTCACCGTTAAAGACTCAGGTGCGGTTAAGATATGGCGGAGTAATTAATTCTTGCCACGTAAATTTCACCCGTCGCCACTAGAGGGGGCATCAAAAACAATCTCGTTCCCCGAGCGCGAGATTTTTCTGGCAAGAAAACAAAGACTTTGGGATAATCAAAACCGGAAGCCAGAAACCGGCGATCGAAAAATCCCGCCTAGTGCCTAGTGGACAACCGGCTTTAACTCGGTTATAAGTAATTTAGCTTGTAGGTACACCACGTAAGTATTTAATACTGCAAAGCTTTCGGTCCGTTAACCCCCAGCCTTCATCAGTGCAATATCATGAAAGATATTATTAATATTATTGACACAGAGAAAACAATATTACAGAGCTGGGCCAGCCGGCATCACTGACTGAAATTCGAGGAGCACTGAGCACTCCCTCGAGGAATTATAATAATAGGGAGTTTGACCGACGTGGTTAGCTCGACGTCGCCAGTCAATTATTTTGCTTGAAATGAGCTACAGGAAATTGATTATGCTGCTAGGCTGAAATAATCATACAAACGTTTTAATTGTGCAAAGAACCTTCTGGGACTAGAAAGTTTACGATTCACGACGCAGGCAGCTCAACGACGCGCTTGCAAAACAAAGAAACTCCACACGTGAGACAATAGCTATGCATAATTTGTGGTCCCATGGCAGGGTTGTCATGCTTACGACGCCTCAAACGAAGCATTTTCACGGCCTCTCGATGAGATGAAAGCAGCGGCAACGCGATAGCTTAAATGAAACTGTAATATCAGCTAGATAAAGGAAGTTCTTTGCACAATTAAAACGTTCGTGTTATTATTTCAGAGTCCTAGCAACATATGAATTTCCTGTAGCTCATTCATTAGCGACGTCGAGCTAACCGCGCAGTAGATCGTAAACTTCCTCTTCAGCGCCCTTGGCGGATGCGGAAGAGAGACCCAACATTTTCTCTCCTTCCTGGGTGCGAAGCTGGCTGACCGAGAAAAATCAGTCTTCATCTATGGTGGTTAGCTGGTTACGTCGAAAGATCGCCTTTGCTTTGCTTAGTGCTCGCGTGGTGTGTGTTCGTGGCAGTCGAAGTTGGAGGACTGCGTCCATCACATCAACTAATGACATTACGTTGTCTGAATGAAACTCGAACATTATGGAGTCTAGTTAAGTTGTTTTTGTAAATAGTCTGTAGAACTGTTATACTTAGTTTTAATGCATCATCGATTATTGTAAATTTCCCTAGTACCATTTAAGGTGCTTGAACCGTTGAACGAACTATTCTGACCAGTTCCTAAAATATTCCTCAGAAAATCGATCTCCTTCTCCAAGCCAGCGATTCCTTCGGCGAGAAAGCAGGCTCTAACCCTATGGTCTAAAGGCTAGTTTCCACTCAGGAGAAATCTCCTTTGGATTGGAACGGACAGGAAAATTTCCTTTGTCGGTGAGTTCTCAGGCGGCATTTATACAAAGGAAACTTTCCTGTCCTGTCCGATCCAAGGAGAATTTTCCTGAGTGGAAACTAGCCTTAACGAACACTTGATAACACTTGGAAGAGGTGGAATTTTGTCTGGTATGCGCCAACAATAAGTGCGTGTACTATGTGGCTTGCGCGTGACACCAGTCCAGATGAAACTTTAACAATGCAAGTTCGCTGGTCTGAACTTCAAAATAAAATTGCCTGTTGAAAACAAATCTCAGCAAAATCTCGTTGACTTGCCACATTGAAATCAGCAAAAACCCACTTCCAAGTCAAAAAGAAGCTTTACACCTGCAATTTTTTGGCCAGCGCAGACAAAATTCCCTCCCGTCTTACACTTGGTTCCTTTTTAGTTACCACTAGGGCGTACCGCGATACAAAGTCAAAAACTGCGTTCGTCTCCCTCCTGGTTTCAACTGACCTCTATACAACAGCTGAATGCAACGTTATATATTTTACTATTAAAGTGCCTGGGCACGAGGCTGTACTTGTGGTATATATATTCGTTTTTATTGTTTTTGCTTTTTGCCTGGCATTAGCATGTGACTGTTCAAATATTGGCATGTGACTTTTAAAACTAAACATGATCGCCATTGAGAGTGATTGACCCCTTTGCCACCGGATGTTTAGTCGACGTTCAAAGCGGGAAAAAATTAACTTGTGTTTTGGAAGTGATTTTAATCCTCATATCTGTTATTTTTCTTTGCTGTAAGGGCCAGTGGGGCTTGATTTGGGCATAGTGATTTGGGGCAGTGAAAGTGAGCATTTCCCCCTGACAGACCCCCTCCCTCAATGCCATATATATTGATAATATTCCACACAAATACACAATTCCCAGTATAGTATCAGTAAAGATTTACAGGAATTCAAACATCCTGTTTTATCAATCACAATGTGAGCTTTATTTTAATTATTCATTAGTCACGTACAGACCTGCTTCAAACACCTTAATACAGTCATATGCTATGGTACACACATACTGATTAACCCATTAATGCTCTAACGACTTGTACCAATTATCAGCTAGTTTCAAAACCCATTGCTAAAACAATAAATAAGTTGCATACAGTAGCCCAGTCGCTTCATTTTGACAAAAAATTTACAAGAACCTTTGATTGTGAAATAAAAACCCTTCAAAATTTAGACTTATCATCGTTCAATTGCAAGTGACTGAACAATTAGGTAATATTACACCAAAATTGTTACAATAAAATGACAAGTTTTGCCAACTAGTTCATAAACTCAGAACTACTAAGAAATACCAGTGATTTTAACCAAATCATCTTATAGCCATATTGCAAGTCACAGTAAATTTTCCAGTGGGAACAACACATATGGTGTGATGATAAAATTGATGTCCAAAGTCATGCTAGCATGTATTTTGTATGTATGTCTTCAATAAAATACAACCAATTAAAGGTTCATGTGTAGAAAAAATTAAGATGAATGCAATAGATTCATGTGCAACAGCTATTGTTATCTGGCCTGCGCTGTCCATAAGTTGGTTTTCCTAGACCAGGTCTAATTATTCCATTATTCCCCGATTGTTCTCCTGATTGAGCAAGTTGATTTGTTGATTCATTTTCTAAAATCTAAAATAAAAACAAACAAACATTTCATTGAAATGAAATTGATTGACTGTTGTGTTTGACACACTGGAAAATGAAAGTTTTAAATTCTATAGGACACTTTAAATACACTTAAACAAGAGAAAAGTAATTTTAACTATGAAGCAAGCAAAACTTACCTTATTTACTAAGAATGAAGCTGCCTCATCGATTCCAATATTCTCTTTGGCGGAGGTCTCAAACCAACCAGCAAAACCTTTTTCAGCGCAGAACTCATTCATTTGAGATGTGTTACTATATAACCCTTCAGTAACTTGATCACACTATCACAGAATGATAAATAATTGTTAAGTTAGATGATAGGGTTTTTGAAATTCACAGAACTTTGTTTAAACATTAGGATTGAGTCAGTCAGCTTGGTGCCTGTCAGACCTTTGTTAAAAAGCTAACTAGACTTTTTATGGGCACTTACTTTGTTTGCTAGAAGTACAGCTGGAATTGGTGAACCATTTGGCAAAAACACTTTGCTATCTAAATCGCTTTTCCACTTCTCAACAGCCTCATACGTTGTGGCTCGGGTGACGTCAAACACAACAAATGCGCCGACAGCTTCTTTGTAATAAACCTAGCAAATAACAAAAATGAAAACGCTTTACTTAACTGATGTTATCCTGCAATATTATATGGGCTAAGAAAGCTTAGCATACCCTGGTCATATTTCCAAATCTTTCCTGCCCTATAAAGCAAAATTCAGTATGATTAAAGCTTTCCAAAAAGTTAGTAAAGTTCACATTACTTTTACTGGACCTCTAGGAATAACAGTTTAGAACTAATAGAGCTTATATCCAGTATAAATAAAGTTAGTTTAGTTTAGGTTTCCTTCTGTAGTAACACTGGATCAATAAGAGATGATCCTTACTGGACCTCTAGGAAGAACAATTGAGAACTGATAGAGCTATCCAGTATAAATAAAGTTAGTTTAGTTTAGGCTTCCTCCTGAGGTTATAAGAATATGATAAAGAAATCCACTATGAATAGAGTTAATCTAGGTTTCCTCCTATATATATATAGTATTTGCTCGATCCTTACAGCACCTCTGGAAAAACAGTTTGCAACTTAATTATAGTTGGCAAAACTTGATACTCCACACAAAACAAACATACCTGCAATATCCCACAACTGTAATCTGATCAAGGTATCATCATTCCAATTCAGCACTTTCAATGCAAAGTCAACACCAATCTTAGCTTTGTTAAGGAAACCAAGGGTGCAGTCAATCAAAAGTTATTAATTATAATTAAATTCATTCATGCAAGTGCTATAGTGTTTCTTAAAAGTCTCATTGATCCATAAGCAGTAGGGGATCAACCAGTTTAGTTGTTAAAGACCTTAAATATAATCCAGCAATGGCCTTGAACCAATAATGCATGTCAGTCTAATGTGTATATTTTAGACTTATTAATGTTGAAGATATTACAATTTATACAGCTCGTTTATTCGAGTAAATTGCAACAAATAGAGAATTTAAGATAGTTCAGATGATATTGCATTGGAATGCATACGTATCAAACTGTAATTAGTCTGTGTATATATTTTTGATTAGTTAGGTTTGATTTGAAATTCAATATACGTAATATACCTAACACTGTGGACCGCGTTTATTTACTTCACCTAAATCGTGTAATATGAAGAATTAATTCAGTCAAATGTCCAAGTATAATGCTTTACAAGTCAATTTTACATATTAACCTGTGTATATATTTATAAACAAATCATTAGTATAACAATTTTTCCAGCTGTAAATATTGCAAACATTCCCAAAGCCTGACCGTATTTAATTTACATAGTAATTTGCAAAGGATACCGTCGCTCTATAATGAATCGAAAAGAATTGATGAACATATCGCTTTATAATACTCGTTTTGCCCGTCCCTAGATCTCCGATGACTAATACTTTGAAAAGAAACTCTGTCTTTTCCTTCATCGACTAAAAAGAGCATCAAATCGAAATCAATCACTTTTTATAAAGTCCTCAGCGAAGGTCATTCATGTATGAAATCTGTGTAGATCTTACCATTGTAAAAATAAAGCTCCTGCGATGTTCAACCAGACATTAAGATTTTCTGTACTAGACCAAAGCGATGTTTATTTCTCTCGATTAAAACCGAACAGCAAGTTTATTTAGACCGAATGTGTTTGGTGTTGTAAAACGACAATTATTAAAGCACGTGACAGTCGTCTATGGTAGGTTCAAAATTCATTCAGGAAACCACGGGCGACTAATTTTATTTAAACGAATTCCGTAATGGTAAATTTACACAAATTTACATATTTATTCTTTTACTTCGCTACAGGGTTTGTATCGTCGATATAAACAAAAAACATACACAAAAAATAAGGTAGAACGAAACTATTTTTTAATTTTCGCAATATTACATCATGGAATATTTTAGTGATTACGAAAGTTGCAACTTTCCTGGAACACTTTTGCAACTTTTTGGAATGCTTTTGAAACTTTTCGGAATCTTTTTGCGACTTTCTGGAACTATTTGGAACATATTTGCAACTTTTTGCAACCCTTTTGCAACTTTTTGTAATCACTTCGGAACTTTTTGGAATGTTTCTGAAACATTGATATTCGAAACTTTTACGAACGTCTAGACCAACATGTTCAAATTGCCGTTTATAATCGTTTATAAGCGTTTATTATCGTAGGTATCACGATTTTCCAGCGACGCAAATTGCCACGCCGGTGGTCACAAATACCATACCAATATACGTTTCTGTGATAAAGAGAAAGAATGGTCTTTTTAATAATGTCAATTTACGAAACGTGAAAGATAGGGCAAGCTAAGAAACTCAATTACGTCTATAAAAAGATTAAGAACAGCCTTACCTTTGTTTTCTATACTTTCACCCAACAGTGTTCCAGCCAATATGGTGAACACAAATGTTAAAGAATTTGTGATAGGTACAGCTAAAGATAACTCTATGTGGTAAAAAAGATCACAATATATTTATACAACGGACCATTCCACTTGATGGTCAGGGAAGAATTGTAAATTGTTGCTCAAAGACAGTTGAATTGTTTCAAAGAAACAGGGCATCAAAAGGCTGTTCAATACCTGCGGAAGATAACGTTATGTAAAATACCACAGATCCAAGCTGATTGATGAAAAATGGTAGAAGATACTAAAATGTATCAAAATGGTTAGAAGAAACACATGGAAAGTATGGAAGTTAACAATCACATATAAAATGTACTTTATTTGTCTAAGGTTTTCTTACCTTCCAGTTTGTGAAAAGAAACTTCAATTCTGCAAAAAATTGGCTCACATGGTTTCCTTTCTTGATCGATTCAATGCCAGTTCCTGCTTGCTTTATGAAAGGGTTTGTGAAGCCCCAAAGGAAGGCAACTAGACACAGCCACATTGCATTTACTGGAATATTACAAGGGTGATATAATCTTAAGAGTATTGGTCTATTGGGGTGGTTGTCGGATTATGTGAGTGTCTGCATTAGAGAGACATATGTATTATGGGAGATAATTATATTTAAAGGGATGAAAATTGGACAAAAACATATTTCTAGAGATTTCTATTTCAGAGAGATGTTTGTAGTAGCATAAATAAATCATATATACAATGTCATAACTAATTATAAAGGTGATTTACCAAATTGTTCTGGCAGATGGGAGACCATGATTTGGTGGTGACGTCAAAAAATTACAGTGTCAACATCTAAGTTATAAAATGCATTATTTGTCAAAAAACATCAGTCATGCAAACAGTCCATTTTGTAACATTGTAATAAATAGCAACATTTATACTTCACCAATGCAACCAACAATGTTGCAAATTATAAAGATATCGTTCCAGGCTCCTCGATACATCCGGCCGTGGTGATTCCAATTTCCAAAACAATGCGAAAGTCTTGACTTGCAACATTTCTGTACAATTTTTGAAAAAATTTTGCTTTTGTTATGAAGCTTTTTAATGCTTATTTTGCGTATTTTGTGATGCAAATATGTCAATTGGCATCTGGTAAGTTATTTTGACTTTCTGATTCAAAGATCGACATTAGATATTCAGTATATTTTTCACTCTAATGTTTGGAATTTTAAACTCTGCTATATGTAATGAAGTTAGTTTATTATAAACCAATTCATCTGCCTTTATTTACATTTACTGACAGTTAAGTCTTCCCAAGGCACTCGAAAAGCTATATTTTTATTTATATTATTAAATGTATTGTATATAAAACATCGTGAATTGTATATAAAACTATTGTAGTGAAACTATGAGAGGTCAAATGGTCAATAAATAATATTTATAGAAAAAGATACGTCGTTTATAAATACTTATCAACAGTGAGTGTAGCAGAAATTCTTGACTTTTAATCAAGCAGTGATTCTGGTTAAGAACAGTTAAAATCATAGATTGCCATGTCACTTGGAGTTTAATATAGTCATTTTTTTACCAAGATTTTATAGTGTTGCTTGCTGTTTGTATAAAATTTATCGATTTCATGATTGTAGGTAATGTGAACAAAAAGTTGAAGTATTTTGAAGTCATTTATTCAGAAGATGTGAAACATGAAATTCAAAAACGAAGTCTAAACAAAGATGAAAACAAAGAGATGAAATTATCCATCCTTGGAAGGTAATAAATATTGCTTCAAATACAGCTTAAGCAATAGTTCTATATTTACAAAGTTAATAAAGCTTTCTTATAATCTTACAACTTCTTTTTTCTTTACAATAATGCTTTTAGATCACTTGTTTTGCTATATTTATTTACATGTTTGTGATCCCAGCTTAATTTGTTTTCATTAAACAGGACATTTCATCTGTCATTGGTTCCCAAGCCAGAGTTATTTTCAGATCGTTTTCAAGCTGTTGTCGTTGACGAAAAAGGCGTCCAAACGGAATTTGCTGTTAACAAAAAAGACTTCTATCGAGGGTTTGTCAAAGGTGAAGAAACAAACTCCTCTGTGACGATGGGAATTGATGAAGACATGATCACAGCAGCCATCCACTCTAAGGGTGATACATACCATGTAGAGGTAATGCATGCATATATTTAACCATTTTAATTGAAGTACAATTTAACTAGCTTTTTCATTCAAACTATTCTGTATTTTTTTAGCCTGCATCTGGGCAAATCAGTGGAAACACCAAAAACAAAATGATAGCGTATCGGGACTCTGATGTGATATGGAATGCTACCTTTGCAGGGTATTAAAATCAATGTTGTTTTTCAACATTTTATAGTATTTAAACCAATGGTTAGCTGGTTGTAAAAAACTACATTTTTGTGTAGTTATATCACAGTTGACCACAACAGGCAAGACTTAATGAATGTTTACAGTTAGAGTAACCGCTTCAACTTCAAATCTTTTCAGAAATCATACACAGAAAGATCGTTATTGTGGTTTAGCTGATGCCGGGAACAGAACAGATCATTCTCCTCCAAGTAATGAGAGCATTTATTAAACATACATTAAACTTTTATTTCCCTTGGAATTTCCCCTGTCACTTAGAAACAAAAGTAAGCAAGCACGTTTTCCTTGTCAGGTGAAGAGCGGGAACGAAGATCAACAAGATCACGTCGTGCTACAACAAAGAAACGTGATTGTAGTTTGGTGTTGGTTGCTGATTATACATATTATGAAACTATAGGACAGAAAAGCCGACAAAAAACATTATATGCTATGGTACGCAGCTTGCCTGCAATCGGAAAAGAGCTGCTCGTAATTGATAGAGCTATTCAGTATGAATGAAGTTCATTTAGTTTAGGTTTCCTTCTGTAGTAACACTGGATCAATAAGAGATGATCCTTACTGGAGCTCTAGGAAGAACAGTTTAGAACTGATAGAGCTATCCAATATAAATAAAGTTCGTTTAGTTTAGGTTTCCTCCTGTAGTAACACTTGATCAATAAGAGATGATCCTTACTGGTCCTCTAGGAAGAACAGTTTAGAACTGATAGAGCTATCCAGTATAAATAAAGTTAGTTTAGTTTAGGTTTCCTCCTGTAGTAACACAGGATCAATAAGAGATATTCCTTACTGGATCTCTAGGAAGAACAGTTTAGAGCTGGTGTTTTGCTGAATAAAAGCTCTGTTAGCTGATAAAGATCCTTAGCGAACTGTTTTTTAAATCAAGATATAATTTGTGGATGAATTTTATTATGAAATGTTGATCTTCTAGGTCAGTGTTATCAATCGTGTCGATGACATTTTCAGAGGAACGTATTGGTCAGACGAATCATCTGGGGCTTACAGAAACTTTGGTTTCGTCATCAAAAAGGTTGAACCTTAAGGCCCTGTTACACGGTGCAATTTTTCTTGCAACTTGCAATACAATTTTACTCTTGAGAGATTTGGTCACCACGATTAATAGACCCTGAAACAGCTCCCGTATTTCAATCCATACATACTCTAAACTTATAGATAAGAATCCACGATAAACCTTCAACCACGGGCGACTACAATACAGTTTATAAACCTGCTTGGAGAATTACGCCACTTCTTGAGGTACGATCCTAAATTATCCTCTATCTAAACAGAACAGTTTAGAACTGATAGAGCTATTCAGTATAAATAAAGTTAGTTTAGTTTAGGTTTCCTCTTGTAGTAACAATGGATTAATAAGAGATGATCCTTACTGGACCTCTATGAAGAACAGTTTAGAACTGATAGAACTATCCCGTATAAATAAAGTTAGTTTAGTTTAGGTTTCCTCCTGTAGTAACACTGGATCAATAAGAGATGATCCTTACTGGACCTCTAGGAAGAACAGTTTAGAACTGATAGTTATCCAGTATAAATAAAGTTAGTTTAGTTTAGGTTTCCTCCTGTAGTAACGCTGGTTAAATAAGAGATGATCCTTACTGGAACTCTAGAAAGAACAGTTTAGAACTGATAGAGCTATCCCGTATAAATAAAGTTAATTTAGTTTAGGTTTCCTCCTGTATAACACTGGATCAATAAGAGATGATCCTTACTGGACCTCTAGGAGGAACGTTTGTTTAAAACTGATAGAGCTATCCAGTATAAATAAATTCTTCATTACTTCAGGCATTCAGCCGGGTTGACTGGTCCGAATACTGCTTGGCTCATTTATTCACGTATCAAGATTTCCAAGATGGAGTGATTGGTCTGGCTTACGTGGCCCACCCGCAAGAAAACTCCAGAGGAGGCATATGTAGTGAAGGTATTGCAAGCATCCCAGCCACAATCCTGGCGCGCCAAAATGGTCAGACCGGTCATATTTTGAATGGAAATAGATAATTTCGTTAAGAATGTAGCGGTGAAACTGCATTTTCCGTGCTAGGAAGATTAAATAACAATATACTTGAATGCAGAGTTCTTAAAACACCCTAAAATACCAGTATTCTGTCTGTACTGAAATACAACAGGACCTGTCTGGCCGTTTTTACCGTATAAAGGAACCTAGTGTTCGTACGTCTTGATAAAATAAAAAACAAACTTTACAAATTCTTTGCCAGGTGATCGTGGAATGTGGCACAATACAGGGCTGAGTAGCTCTATCAATTGGGGAAGCAGATTATTGACGACAGAAGCTGATATTGTAACGGCACACGGTCAGTAAACTCTTCTCTTTACTCTGTAAACTGTTAAACTCGAGATAATTTACTTCAAGTCATGTAGATAATCGTCATTCAAGGATAGAGGCGAGAGTTAAGTTATTTTGGCCTGTCTTCATTGCTTTCACTACCATTACGGCTCGCTGATCTATTGCGTCCGTGATTGGTTCATCTGATAGAGTTCTCGTATTTGATTGGCTCATTTTTTCCCTCTCACTAATCTATTCCTCTCGTGATTGGTTCATCTGATAGAGTTCTCGTATTTGATTGGCTCATTTTTTCCCTCTCACTAATCTATTCCTCTCGTGATTGGTTCATCTGATAGAGTTCTCGTATTTGATTGGTTCATGTTCTTCCCTCGTAATTTCGTAAATGTAGAACTTGGACACAATTTTGGTAGCGAACACGACGTTCAGGACCACCCAAGATGCTCTCCCAACAGCGGAGGAAAGTATATCATGTACCCAGCGTCCGTTTCTGGCGAAAAACCCAACAATAATGTAAGCTCTTTGCCTTAATCTAATCCAACCTCTAAGCCAACTAATCTAAGCTAACTAATCTAATCTAAGCCAACCTCGTTCCGTATTGAGTTCATATTGAGTATACCTTGTTTTCAACGACAAAATAATATGGCAAGTTTTATGAGCCAACTTTATGAGTTAGAGTTTATGTTCAGAGAAGTGCAAAAGATGCGAAATTAGGGCAATTTCTACATCAGAGGGCCCTCGCGTTGTTATAAGCAGAACTAATAAATGCACAGAACGGAGTTGACTTTCACTTCAAGTTTTCTTTTCTTTCAGCATTTTTCCAAATGCAGTCGTAAAGCTATCAAAGCTGTTCTCGACTCAAAATCATATCTTTGTTTCAGTGGTAGGTTTCAGAGTCACAAATCAATTTGCTTTGTCAAAAATGTTACACAAATGATGAATGATACTCTAGCTACGCGCACGCCTGACGGGCCTATTTTTACATATCAGCAATCGACTACTACCGCTGACTACCACCGACTGTATTTTTAACCGCCTAGAGTTGAACAAAGGGGCATTCTGTGGAAACTACCGCGTGGATAAGGGGGAGATGTGTGATCCTGGGGATGATGAAAATGATCCATGTTGCGACAAAAATTGTAAACTTAAATCACACGCCAAATGCAGGTTAGGACTGACACATTAATGAGTGAAGCCTTTCTTGTAGGTATGATCCAGACCTCTAGCGCGTAAATTTCAAAGGTCAAATCATAATTGCCGCCATTTTACCTACGAAATTTCCGCGTGGAGGCCTGGATCATACCTACAAGAAAGGCTTCATATTCCGCCATCTTGGCTTCAAATTTTTCGCAGAGCTAGCGTTTCGATCCAGTCTTATTTCAGTTCACAGTTGTGCTATGACAGAGCCACTGTCCTGTATTTATTAGTATATTACTAATATATACACGCTGATCTCGTAATAAGACTGGACTGAATGTACCATTGCGCTGTGATGGAGCCACTGACCTTTATATATAGATATTTTCACTGATATAGTAATATATACAGGCGAGTAAATAAAAGTCCACGGGCGTTATGCAAAGCATAAATCATTAGTAACTGATTTCTCCCAATTTCAGTGACCGTAACGTCGACACTCAGTGCTGCACCAACTGTCAGTATTCTAGTAACGGCACTTTGTGCTCGCAGGCTCAACCTCTCTTGTGTAAGAAAGCTTCATACTGCAACGGGACTTCCAGCACTTGTCCGGAAGAGGAAAATGCCGATGAAGGCACAGCTTGTATCGAAAGGTATTGATCTAGAAACTGTACTCAATTACTGTACTTCATCATTGCAGTATTGCACAGTCTTTGCCCATTTTAATTTCAGAGGAAAGTGCAACAAAAAGGGAGAATGCGAGCCGTTCTGTAAGGGACTGGGACCTGGTATTGTTCCTTGTCTTTGTAAGAACGATGCGGATGCGTGTTACGTGTGTTGTGAAGACACAAGGTTGGATGAATCCTGCAAAGTCCATCGCAATGCTACGTCCGGTAGAATGGCCATGAGTGATGGACGCTTGTGTTACGATGGAGTGTGCAGCAATGTAAGTCGAACTTGTCCGAATTTCATTTCATCTTATTTAAACATTTTTAGGAGCGCCATGCATGTATATTTATTTGTTGTTTGCAAAGCTTTCAGTCCATCAACCCATAGCTTTCTCAATGCAAAAGAACCCGAACAATCCTAGCTTATCCACTTGTTAACATCAATATATCTGCATTACTCCTCAGTGAACAATCATATTTTATCCACTTGATCGCATTAATGTATTATCCATACTACTCCAGAACTATCCCATCTTATCCACTTGATCCACATCAATATATCTGCATCAATCCTAAACAATTCTATCATATCTACTCTCAAATCATTACTCAATTCGATCGTACCTAAAATTGCAGCGCAATTAACAATTTGCAAGTGTTAAAGAAATTAACAATTTGCAAGTGTTAACTGGCTTGCATCACTGGCTTGCATACAACGCTTTTATTGCAACTCCTTTTACTCTTACAGAAAGAGTGTAAGAAAGCAGCCCAAGATATCATAACCCGTCTTCAGGACTTTTTCGACACTCTTGGTGACGCGAGTAAATTTGGCGAGTTTTTGAAGGACAACATTGTTGGCACTTTGATATTCTTTTCTCTCGTTATTTGGATACCAGCTAGTATCGTCGTTAACAGAATAGTAAGTCTGTCTGTTCTCAGCCTTACATTGGGGCAAAAAAACTAGAACATTTGTAAAAAAGCATGGTTATATTGTTTAATGTTTGTATATGAGCAGGAAACATGGGAGCAGAATACATAGGACAAGCATTTGACCATTTAACCAGCGTGGTTATCCATATCAAAATATTTGACATCATAACCAAAGCATTGTTATATTGTTTAATGTTTGTATATGAGCGCCAAACATGCTGGAAACTTTACATAGGACAAGCATTTGACCATTAAAATAGCGTGGTTATCCATTTCAAAATATTTGACATCATAACCAAAGCATGGTTCTTATATTTAATGTTTGTATATGAGCACGAAACATGCTGGAAACTTTACATAGGACAAGCATTTGACCATTAAAACAGCGTGGTTATCCATATCAAAATATTTGACATCATAACTAAAGCATGGTTATTATATTTAATGTTTGTATATGAGCACGAAACATGCTGGAAACTTTACATAGGAGTATGGGACAAGCATTTGACCATTAAAACAGCGTGGTTATCCATGTCAAAATATTTGACATCATAACCAAAGCATGGTTATATTGTTTAATGTTTGTATATGAGCACGAAACATGCCTGCAACTTTACATAGGACAAACATTTGACCATTAAAACAGCGTGGTTATCCATATCAAAATATTTGACATCATAACCAAGCAAGGTTATATTGTTTAATGTTTGTATATGAGCGCCAAACATGCTGAAAACTTTACATAGGACAAGCATTTGACCATTAAAACAGCGTGGTTATCCATATCAAAATATTTGACATCATAACCAAAGCATGGTTATATTGTTTAATGTTTGTATATGAGCGCCAAACATGCTGGAAACTTTACATAGGACAAGCATTTGACCATTTAATGTTTGTATTTGAATATTTTTAGGAAAGGCACTGTTACACCATGCAATTTTCTTTGTGTGACAATGGTGTAACACCGCCTTCACACGAGAGCAAAAAAACTACGCTTTATAGGCTGCACGAGGCTTGTTCAAAGATTATGTAACTCAGCTTTGCCTTTGGTCACCGTTCCACCATAAATGAAATTGGTTAGAATTGAATTGGTTATTTTTTCAGGATAAAAGACGAGATAATCACGCCCGAGAATTAGCCAGATGGCAAGACAGAGGGGTAAGACAGTAATGCATGTTGATCGTTTTTATAACCTGAACTATTTCTCGGTCAACCAAAAAAGGCAAAAGGCAAAAACCAACAAGCGTTCCTTTTTCTCAACGAAGGTGTCCGTTAAATGTTTTAATTTTTCTTGTGAACTAAATTAAACTACTTCCAGTTTAATTTCCAAGACATTATTAAGTCATATTCTGGCTTGTGAAACAAAGTCAAAAAGTGTCGCTTTAATACATACCTTCTGGGTTTTTTAACTAAAACTTTGCCTTGGGAAAAACACAAATTCTCTGATCCATTCAAGCTTGAATTTGATTGTTTACAATTTCATTTACGTAATCTACCGTCTGTAATTGCAGAACCCAGATTTGATTCGCCGTCCGAGCAGACCACGAGATAACTTTGACGTCGTTTTCAAAAAAGATGCAGTTTTCTTACGAGATAGTCGAAAGGCAAAGCCCAGAGGCTCGGCGAGTCCTGCAAGTCATCGTGGACCGATGATGATCGAATAATGGCACCATAATTGGTTTTAGCATGCAAGGACCAGTTTTGTAAAACCCGAATTCTATTTATTAAGCGGCTCGGACTTTTCGCTAGAAATTGCCATTCGTCAGTTTAAGCAATTGGAATAGTGTTCGTTCCTTATATGTGACAAGTCATTGCTTTCTGGGACTAGAAAGTTCTACAATGTAAGTGGGTCCAGGGGCAGGGGGGGGGGTGCACACCGGCGTACACTCTATCCGATTTGGGGTCTTATATAAGTTGAGGGCTATTCCCTTAGATTAGAATACAACTCAATTGTCTGATAATTTGGTAGTTTGATAATTGTATTGCTTTGAAAAAATTAGTCTTTGGCACTTAACAGAAACGGTCACACAGCCATTTTAGATTTAGTTTTAACTTGTAACAATTTATATGTACATGTCTATATATTGTTTTAGTAACGTACTATATATCTAGTATTATTTAAGATAATAATTACGATGAAGAAAACGTATCTTGATCATTGTTTTATACTGTCATAAATTCTGATCTATTATCGGGTTTGTTTATATGTGTAATGACAGGTGGTTGCGGTTTTTTTTTGAGACACCCTGTAGACGTCTTCATTTCCATGCAAATGCATGAATAACGTTTGTTTTTGAAAGGTCAGCATTATACGACTATATTCGACTCTATAGCATATAATTAAACATCGTGCCTATTCTTTTAGCCGCTTGATCATTTCGCACAATATGTATCCTAAAATAAATAGGATATATCTGGTGTATGGCAACATGTGCACTCTTCTGATCGAGAGGCTCCAATACAGCATCATCGCATGGCTTTGACAATGAAACGTTGTTTATTAAAGTTACAAAATTAGTTTCCTGTCAGATTCATCGGACAGCAGAACATTAGAGGCCCAGGATAAAACATTCGCCATAATCACATACAGGCAAGCTTTAGGGCTGCTTATCATTGTAGCGTTTTTTGTGCGTACGTACGTATGCGTGCAGAGGATGATTTGCTGTGTTTTTCTGGCATAAAATTAATTATACAACAACTTTAACGTGTGTGTAGGTATTTTTTCGCGTGAAGCGACTTCATTCTTTTGTATTTGAGCAATTTGTTCCAGATGGTTGCAGTTGAGAGCTCTGAAACAAAAGTAAAATTCTTTTCTCTCCGAACATGTGCGTAGCTTAGCTTATAATTGCTATTTAATTAAAAGTTAAAAATCTTGAAAATATAAGATTGAACGGAAATTGGTCTGTTTCATATTTGTAGTTCCGCGCCTTTGTCAAAACCAATGCAAACATCATTGAGTAATTCCTGTTCTCACATATTGAAGAATGCAAAGGGAAAGTCCAGCATTGGTATTAGCATATTTAGGAGAAAGATTACTTCGCCACCGCAATCACAAATGATGCCTGGAGAGGCTGCTTTCCACTTACGCGTTTTATACGCACGGACAGGTACGGAAAATTTTAAATGCTTTTAAATTTTTATTATTTAAGGTCAACTAATGCATACGAAAAGATGCAGAAAACTAATGTATAAGGTTTAGACTTTTACGAGCGTATACGTGCGCCATGAAAAACGCGTAAGTGGAAATTAATATACCGGCTTGAAAGGGGAAAGCTAAAGCGGTTGGCATATTCAGTATATAAAAAAAAACACTTGAAAAGTAGTTTTGGTTAAAAGTATCATTATCGAAGGCTTGGTCTGTATTACATGTATTCGTTTAGGTTTTTAGAATCAAGATATCATTTTCTCAGAATTTTGTTTTAATTAAGCATCGCATACATGAAGAAATAGACGCGACATCAACATCAACATCAAACCAGCTTGTATATGCAGACAAAGGAAACAGCATGAGGATTCACTTCAAAATAAAGGATTCCGCATGTCTACGAGGTTGGACCTAAACCATGACACAACAAATTATTAGCAAACGTCATGTAACTAAGTCTGATCATGAAAATAGACTACTAAGCAAATTTTAAATTTAGAGTATCTAAAAGCCACGCTATTGGTTGTTGTAAAAAGTAAAGAATACTTTAGCATTTATATCTACCAATGGAATTACTTTAAAGCATTAAAAAATGTTAATATATTCAGTTGTGTTAGGTTCAACTGCGTGGCATATTTTATATATAGTTTATTTTTACTTCACCTCATCTATACATCACGACAGTTTCACAGCTCATGAAATTTTCTGTTGAATAAACATGTCGACGACAAACGTGTACTCTGAAGAAGAGTTGGGATACTTTAGATTGGCCAAAGGTGTCATCAACCATGCTACAACCGCACTAAGGAAATTATTTAGAAAGGAATGGAACAATGTTCACCGTCACAAGTCAGTTTGGCAAGATGATTACAGGAGTGGAACACAGTTGCTAGCCATGGAACAACCGTGTTCGCGTTTGCTTGACCCGAATTTCGCCAGCGATTATCAATCAATAAAAGATAAATTGCAACGAGGTGACACAGAAGATTGGGATGTTACAACGCTAGTTTTTGCTTTGCTTTACTCGGGTGCTTTGAGCGGCATACGGAATAATAGGGACCCTCACTGGAGAAGAATAAAAAGCGCAATATATGAAATAAAGGACATCAGAAACAAGGTTCTTTCCCATGTTGCTAAGGCGTCCGTCCCTCCGAGCGATTACAAGAGAATCTTTTTCAGGCTAGAAGACGCTGTGGAGGACTTACTCTCTCGTTCCGATCCTTTGGTTGAAAAATTGAAAACATTACGGTTAGAGACTGAATTCGTAACAGTCGATCTCATCAAGTACAAGAAGTTACTTCAAGACGACAACAAATCTTTGCTCAGACTGGAAAAAGATCTCGAAAGTTTGGAATACAAAATGAACATTTCTTCGGCGCCGGAGAAAAGGGAAACGAAACGCACGCTTGCTTCATTCGATAACGGCACAATTATTAAAAAAATCAGGCGTCGAGTTGATAGGATAGAGCGGGACTTGTCATCTGGTCCTGACGACTTAACGCCAGAGCGATTCAAACCATCCATTTTTCACAGCGCGAAATATATTCGTCTAATGGATAAGTCAAATTGCTTGGCAAGCAATTTTCGCTGGGAGGAGCTTGGTAATTTCCTGAAAGGTTTCAACGATGGTGAAGACATGGAAGCATTCGCAGGTATTCAAACAGCAGCGGCACTTAGTTACCGCTCAAGAAAAGGTGAATCCCTTAAGGTCCTCAACGATTTGATCCCAAAAGTCATATTTTGCAAACAGTACGGGTAAGTGTAGACTGTTATTTTGACTATATATTATTTGAAGGCCTGTTTCCCCTAAAACTTCCTGCGTAAGTAAGAAAACGATTTTGTTAAAAGCTGAGTAAAATAATTACCAAGACAATTCGACAATAGACAACGATAAACCAAGAATAAGTGCTGAAAACAAAGTAATTCCTGATAGAGTTGGCGATTTTTTTCGCGCCTTTTATATGCTTTCCTAAATAAACTCTATTGAATCTTCAGACGTATTTCTAATCTCCTTTCATTTAGCATGATAATGTTTTGTCAACCTACACGTTGATATAACAACCTATTGTCAATATTGATTTATCTACGCTTGTTCTCCCCGTTATGATTATATTAGGTGATTCATTAATCATTGATTGTTAAAATCATATGAAATTTGTTTGTAGAGTCGTATTGTTTGCCAGGATAAAGATATTCAAAGCGTATTACTTTCACGATTGTCTGGACGACGAATCGGCCATGAGGGAGGCAGACGAGGCTGAGATGATGCTTAGCCTTGGCGAATGTCATGAGGACATGGCTGAAATCCATTGCGCAAAAGCCAATATCATCTTATCGTCAAGGAAAAACAGTGAAGACGACCGGGAACGTATTCTGTATCATTTGGATAAATGCATTCATTTCTGTGAAAAAGCACCCGTTGATAAAAGCTCTGCATCCACTCAAGCCAAACTGCGCAAAGCTCTCTTTCAACTCGGCTATTATCAGCACGGGATTTTGGAAGAAGCGCCGAAACGCTCAGACGTAGACACTGCGAAGACCATTTTGGATCGTGTTGCCCAGCAGCCGGATATTCCAAAAAGAAGCGAGGTTTACTTGAAGTTTGGTCAAAGCCTACTTGCGTATCGTCAGGGGAACAAAGACAAGGCAACTAATATAGAAAAAACGCTAAGGCAAGAATGCAAGCACCTTGAGATCACTTTTGAAATAGAACAACTAGATATGCTAAAAACCTTAATACATGGTCGTACAGGAGGGGTGTCTGATACGGTTCACGGCCTGAAAAAGTGACGTATCATGAATCACAACGTAAAAAATGGCAAAAAATAGCAAAGATTAGGACGAATCAATAAAAACCAGCTATAGATACATATGAAATAAAACTACATATCCCTATCTAATATCAGTATATAAATTATATAACCGAAGATCGTATATTAGTCTATATTAAGACTATTAAAGACTATAAAAGAAATACGTGCTAGACAGACTAACAAAAGAGGATTTGTTCACGTAAAAGAAGTAGTGAAATCACGAATATCGGGGTTTAATTTAAGCTCTTCACGCGTCACGCAAAACGTAGCCGTTACGGATCACGAAAAGTATTTATTTGAAAACACGTTTCTCAGTAAATGAAATGATTAAATCACGTGTCACGAAAATACCCCTGTTAATATAGGAGCTTCGTACTGAAAAAGCTCGTAAACCGCTTCGCCGCATAACATTCGAATTTAGTTGCTAGGTTCAAGTTATTCCTAGTACCAAGGTAAAAAGAGTTTTTTTCGCAGAATTTCATTGACAAAAAGTTTCAACCAGGGCCGTTGCGCGCGTGGGGGGGTGTTGGAATGTGAGGGGTGTTAGCCCCCAGTTTTGGCAAGGTGTTGGGTTAGTAATTAAACCTGGTGTTTCATGTTCGTCGCCCCCCCCCAGCTAGTTAAGATAGCCACGCTACGCCCCCGGTTTCAACTGAGCAGTGAGCCCTGACGTGAAAATATTACAATCGTGTGATTTTTACTCAATGTCATTATCATTCGGCATGTCATCATTACTCATCAACTCGTAATCTTAGGGTGCTTTCCTTTATACGGTAAAAACGGCCAAACCGGTCCTGTTGTATTTTGGTACAGACAAATTACTGGTATTCTAGAGTGTTCCAAGAACTCTGCATTCAAGTATATCGTTATTTACATCTGACTAGCACAGAAAACGCAGTTTCACAATCACCGCTATATTCTTAACGAAATACTCTATTTCAATTCAAAATTGACCATTTTAGCTGTCTAAAGGAAAGCGCCCTTAGAAGGAACTATTGATTAGACATAATAATTGATATACCACCATTTTTCGGTTGAAAAAACTTGTATAATATCTCTAATCTCTTGATAAATTTAATAGTTCAAAAAGACAAAAAATATATATTTGGAAAGCAAGAAATGTAATTAAGAATACCAGGTTTAATTCAGGCTATTAAATCCAGTTTTAATTTCAGTATTTCAGTAATACCTTAATGAAAATTCTATATTACATGTCTATATATTATTCTAGTTACATACTATACATTTGTTATTATATTTATAATAATTAAGACATAAATATATTGCTTATAACTTGATTGACCACATCACTTTACAAAAGTTGTATTGAATCTGTGTTTTATGTAGATTTTTCTATTTCCCCGCAATTAACAATTTCCACTTTGGCTGATGCTCTCCCAGACTGAGAACCATATTCTTCCATTTTCCTGACAACCTATTTGAAGAGAAATGTTGAGTTAAGAGCTCTGCAAGCAGAACTTTTGCAACCACCAAGCATCAAGTCAAGATTCTTCATCTTCGCAACAGAAACTTGCCTTCATTCCTTCAACAACTTTACCAAAGACAACATGTCTACCATCCAGCCAGTGTGTCTTGATGGTGGTTATGAAAAACTGTGAGCAGTTTGTGTCCCCACCTGTGTTAGCCATGGAGAGTATACCTATGTACAAAAAGAGGTAAATTTTACCAATTTTACAGAAGATTGGGGTGGACCAGGTGACAACCATTAAGCAATGTTTCCTTGTTAGAATCCTTCAAACAGCAATGGACATTATACCTGGGCCAGTGTGCTTCAAAGTAAAATTCTCATCTGGAAACATTTTACCATAAATCGATTTGCTTTCACATTCATTTTCAACAATATCACCACCCTAAACAAATTCGCACAAGTTGTGTGTTGGTTACAATACCATACAATACCATGGTTGATGGGTTAAATGAGTGTACCCAGCTCAGGTTAAATTCAGGCTTTCAGCCGCTACCTGGATCATAAATCCTGGAATTATTTTGTGAAATGTTGATCCTTTGTAACCAAAACCCTTTTCTCCTGTGCAAAGAGCTCGGAAATTTTCTAGAAAAACAACACACTTTTATTCATTTGGATTCAAATTTTAGCTGCATTTGCATTCGGATTCTTAGCTCTTAATTCGTCATACACAGTTTGGCCCTAAAAATGTCACAACATGAGAAATGTGCCAGGGGGGCGCGTCCGGATCACGTTACTTCACCGTCCATCCCCCCCCGGAAAAATCCCGCCAAATTTGTCGCGAACTTCAAAACACTTACCAACAGTTTTCGGGACAATATCGGCGTGTAGCTAGAAAGTACAAGGATATTGGATCATTTTACTATTTTTACAGCGATGCCGACGAGTTACATTAAAACAATCGAGATAATGACGATACAATATCAATAAAAACAGTACAATATGGATTACCTCAAAGACGATCCGTCCTAACCGTTTGCCATCGCAATTAACGTCTAAAAAGCACCGTTTTTTAGACATTTCGATTCGAATGTCTCAAAATAAACGCAACTTGTGCTACAAACTGGCGCCCCAAAAGCTCAGAAAAAAATTCTTCTGCTTTTAGACATCAATGCTGAAACCATACGGTGGGATTTTAAGGAAGCCGGGCACTTCAAAATGTAAACAAAACCGCTAAAAACAAAGTTCGAATAAGGCGTGGCTTGTCCAAATTTGGATAGATTCTCTCTAATTTATGATAATTACCATCTCTAATTAATAATTCATTGCAAATTAGAACTTTCCAAGTAATGATGCGAGGAGAAACGCTCGTTTTTTCAAACAACACGAAAATATATCTTTTCTAAAAAGCTAACGTGGTCCACCGGTCGGGCGATGTTAATTCTTGGAAATATTCGGTAAAAATCTCTGAAAAATGTATTGATTATCATAAATTATTGTTTTGATCGCTCATCACTTTCCTACCCCCAGTGGGTAGACCGGGGCGGCCGGGTGTATCCCACAGGGATCGGTCGACCACGTGCTCTGGGAATAGCTTAAAAGGCGGAAACCTGACCCAATCTGTCTCTTGCCACTTGCTTTCATTTTGATGTTTATAAAGTTTCTGCAGTTTGTACGGCAAAATTCAACGATTATGTCTCGACCACGCGTATATTTCGACATGAGTGCTTCCGGGAACCCGTTAGGCCGCATTGTGATGGAGGTATGTACGAATATGTGCAGTATTTGAGTGTTTTTTGGGCGGCCATGTGGTTAAGAAATTATTCCAGCCGTTTCGCTCGCTTTCCGGTTCGTGTTGGTTTTAAAAACTTATTATTTGACTTTCTCTTTTTTAAACAGTTAAGAGCAGATGTGGTTCCCAAAACTGCAGGTATTTTAAAGCTATTTAATCTCGATTCTGTACAATTCTAAGTCAATATGTACTTAAAATTGTACTTTTATGGAATTGTCAATGATCGTCCTGCTAACGGGGGGAGGGGGGGGGGAGTGCATGAATCAAATCTAGGCTTGGTTTGAAAATATTTAGATCTCTTTTTGACAAGCAGAACTTTTAAGAATATCATAAACCTCAGATCTTCAAAATGGTTTACCAATGAACAGTTTTGAAGGGTTTCAAGGATATTACTAAAAAGTCCTTGCAAGATTATTCCTAATGAGTCGGGTTACTCAAGATTGAATGAAGAATTAGATGATTTTGAGGTATTAAAATGAGTCCAAAGACCAGAAAAACAGATACTGTTGTGAGGATGGCAACATGCCTGCCAAAACCATGTTGTATTCTGCTCATTTCAATACCTCAAAATCAGTTTATGCTTCCTTTAGTCTTAAGCTAAACAGGATCATATAAACAGCCCTTATTGGAAAATGTCTAAAATATAAGTAACCTTCTTTTCCCCAATAGAAAACTTCCGTGCTCTGTGCACTGGCGAAAAAGGATTTGGGTACAAGGGTTCTAGCTTCCATCGTGTTATTCCAAGTTTTATGTGTCAGGTATTGTAGAAATTTTTTATATCAGTAATGCCAAAATATTCTAAGAAGTGACTTGCTTTTGTTGAGGTCAATGCTTATTTCTTTCTACTCCTAGCTATTACAACAGATTTTATTTATTATAAGGTTCTTACTGATACAAAGTTCTGTTTCAATCAGCCACAATGTCAAGTAACAGTCATCCAAATTTGTATTTCAATTATTTATTTTAACAATTAAAAATATTCCACAGGGTGGTGATTTCACTCGTGGCAATGGAACTGGGGGCAAGTCTATCTATGGTGAGAAATTTGCGGATGAAAACTTCACATTGAAGCACACTGGACCAGGTATTTAATATTATTGCATTACTTTGAACTTGGTTAAGTTTCTAAGAAATGGGTCCTTGGAAGTGAATGTCGGTGGAACAGGGAAAATATGTCAAAAAAAGATTGTGTCAATATTTTGTAGTAAAAGTAAACTCTTCCAGGGTAAAACTATTCCCGAAATGAATATTTTATGAAATATTCCCGCATCCTGCATATGAATATTTTCAGAGAGTTATGCACCCCCCTGAATTTTGGCCACCCAAAAAATGGTAGAGCATATAAATCATTATTTTTGTTTGTTTGTTTCAATGTGTGATTCCCCTTAAAACCAATTTTATAGGTATTCTGTCGATGGCTAATGCTGGACCAGGTACAAATGGCTCGCAGTTCTTTATTTGCACAGCAAAGACAACTTGGCTGGATGGAAAACATGTTGTCTTTGGGTCTATAGTCGAAGGTATGGACGTGGTCAAGAAAATTGAATCGTACGGCAGCGATTCGGGAAAAACATCAAAGAAAATTGTGATTGATGATTGTGGACAATTGTAGACATTAGGAAATTTCTACCTCTTTTATTATATATGTGCATTAGTCTGTAAGTCTTTGCTTATTATGTTAATAAAACTCATTGTTTGAAAGAATTTGTCTCTGACTATGGAATTCTGGGTGATGGGATCCCATTCAATGTCAAGTATTAAAAACGATGTTGAAACTTTCGTATACTTGTAGGCACAAATTTAATGAAACTATCTAAACATTTCAATGAGATAATGATTAAACACTACCTAGTTCTAATAACTTCTTCGAAATAGTTAATAAGGTTACACAAGCCATAAATGTAATTTTCATCTGGGTCTTTGTGTTTCCCTATGTAAGTGTGAGCAAAGTCTACCAAATGTATGCTGACGTTTGGTTTTTTAAGCTTAATGCCAGTCTTATTACAAGAACTCTGCATGTCTCGACTTTCGTCTGAACCATTCACTTTCAATGGCCAATTCTGCATCAAATCATGTGTTTCTTCACCAATGTCGTTTTTCAGACTTTGGTTCTTTGAACTGTATGAATTTAGCATTTTATTGTCTTTCAAGGAGTTGTCAGGAGAATCTTCAATGCTTTCACCGATGCACCCTTCATCACCTTCATAAATAATTAGAACTGAGCTTGAATATAATCGAAGTATTCTTTGCTCAAAGGCCCAAAATTTAATAGTTTTTAGATGCTCTAGGATTTCCTCAAGATGAGCTGTTCCATATTCATCTGCCTGAAGGAATTCTTTAAGACCTACAAGATAATGTTAGCTTGCAAAGTTTGTCATATTTTATATTTATATTCATATAATTCATATGTTTCAGTGAAAAAAACTACCTGATAACACATCAGTGTGTGTCTTCAAATTCTTTCCAAATGACTTGTCATAGATCTTGTAATGCTTGCAAATTTTATTGAAAATTTTCATGCCAAGAATTCGGAAACCAAACATCTCTTGTTCAGGATATTTGCATATGGCCCGCTCTCGTTTAGCCTGCGTTGCCAAATGGTCTGTAATACATTTACCAATTTTGACATCAAGTATACAGGGCTTGTTAAAATGTCTTGTTAGGTTCTCCAAAACAATATATTTATCTGGTTGGAAATGTTACGGACATTATATTATTATATTTTTGTTGTATTTTCTTTGTCTTTATGGCTTTTAAAGTCAGTGGGATAAAATGGAAAAAAGATTTTAAGTTTTAAAGGATATCTCGGCCTTCCAATGGCATGTCTTGGGGAACTAGATGTTTAATGCCATAATATCTTGGAAGAAATTGTTGAAGTTTTGTTAATGTTGGATCTGGTGTTTATGTTCAAAGACAGTCTGATAGAAAACCACCTCTTGCTTGCCTCTCGGAGGTGCCTGGATTGGTTTGAGTAATTTCCCATCAGAATCGAGCAGCATGCCTGGAATTATATTAATACTTATGCAATCAAATATATTGATAGTGATCATAAATGGTGATTACTGATGAAACTGATCAATAATTAGAAGTAATATTGACAATAATTGATATGCTTAATTGATGATAGGTAACTGTTATCATTATAATCAATATTATGATCAATAATATTGATTGTGATAGAAAATAATTATATTCAATGTTATTAATTATTAATCAACATTAATTTAGAAATGAAAATGTGAAAATCTAGTTATTCTACAATGTTTATACAAATGAAAAAGTGAAAAGATATCCTATCGGATAATTTAATCGGACGTGCTGCTGTTTCAAAACAATAGGGTTAAATATACTTTATTAATATCAACTTAAAAGACTTTAATACCTTGATGTCCAGTCTCAAAACGATGGCCAGCAACCTGATGTCCATAGGCACTATAACCTTCGGGGATTTCTTTGCCATTTAAAAGCATTTTTTCTCTTAAAAACCTTTTAAAACATCTTCAAAATTCTCTTATTTCTTTCATAGACTTGGCTAATTATTTTCCAGCCGACTATCGCCAAAAAATGCCGGATATTTCTGTCTTTTGTCATAAATATCCGGATAAGAAAGACGACGGCTCCAATCAAAGTCTAGGAAATAAACGTGGCCGTAGTCAAGAAAGTATCTCCAGCCGGATTAACAGTGCTGTTGGGGTTTTTTGTACACAAAAACAAGCTAAGAAATAGATTTTAGAAAATAAACAGACTGCACAGACAAACAAACAAACATTTCCACGAAATAATCGCGCGTGCCACGCAAAATTGCCACGCAATTTGGCGCATGCTCACTCGGGAACCTTACGTAAGCAGCGAAGTGTTGGCGAAAATTTCTTAATAAATCCTGTCTCTTGCAAGCACAATTCGCGCAAGAAAATATGAAATTTTTAAGGTTATGGCAGGAAAAGGGCTAGGATCGGGAAAGGTCTATAAACTGCAAGTAAGCTTGAAGCTGTGAGAGGCGCCGATCGCGAAATATGAGCCAGGAACAGCCTCGAAATGGCGTCAACATCGTCCAAGGTGAAATGTCTTTGGTCGTGTCGGCTATGCGAAGAAACGCTCGCTGGGCTTCCCATAGCCATCAGGTATTCCTCTAAAGTTTTTTTTTACGTGTTTAATTCGGGTATCTAGTTTAGGTCTCTGTCGTCTTTGGGAAAATCGGTGAAATTCTAAACACTAAATTTGGTATTTTGTAAACAGCAACATCGAGAGAGCTTTAATTATATTTGCATCTCTTTAAATTAATGTTACTAATATTGTAGCATAAATGTTTTACCGTTAAGTTATTCCTCTATATTTATTTATACTTTTTGAAGCGATTTTTCTTGCATGTGATAGGAAGATTTCACGTTTTTTAAAGTAGATTATTGAATATGATCTAATAAGTGACAGCGTTCAATCATTTGAGCAGCTGTTGTATTTGAAAACTTTTCCAAAAAAAATCGCAGAAAAGGTCATAGGGCTAATGGCACAGAGGGCACTGATCTAGGAATGTCTTTCGAGATAATTCTAAGTATTCCAAGTATTGATCAATGGTCCATCCATGCTTATAGTACTAAGCTCTACTGTTATGATTCAATGCATTTAAAACACTATCTCTTACACTGGTGCATAAATCATTGTCTGCAAGGACATTTATTACATTTAATGGCCTTTAGAATTTGGTGAATTGCCCGCTAAAATAACTTGCTAAAATTTGTGCATGAAATTGTTTTGACTTTTTTTTTCATCTCATTTTCTTATGTTCATTACAATTGTTAAAATAAATTTATACATTATTACGAATGTAAAGTTCTGTTAGTCATTTTAATAGTAAGGTGTCATACACTCCAAGTCTCTTGTTGTTATTAAGTGTTTTGACTGTTATCTAGTCAAGAGGTCTAGTCCTGAAAATTGAGAGCATTTGTGCTTCTAAGCAAAGGCTAGCTCTCGACTGATCTATAAATTGTCTCAATTTAACAAGAGCTAGAACATTTGTTGAACGTAAATTCCCTCAGTGAAAATTGAGTTTTCACTGGGAAATTGAAACAAGCAAAATAATAGAGGTGTATTGTTTAAAACAGGATGAAGAGCAAGACCCATTACTTCACAGCTTCTCACAGCTCAAAGATGTCCTTAGTAGTATCTCAGGTAAACAATTTAATTGCCCTTTTAATGGCATTTATGTCAAACAGATCTGAACTATCTTTCTGTCCATTCAGCCTGACTTTCTTAAGAACAAAACCTGCTCTTGTCTAGATCTCCAAGAGGTTGATGTCATCGCCATTTTGGGGCCATTTCTTGATGTCATAAGATCCGAGGACACAACTGGACCGATCACTGGCTATGCACTCTCCGCTGTTAACAAGTTCCTATGCTATGGACTTATTGGTAAAGTTTGTTTAGAAAACTTCTGAGTACATTACATATGGAAGCATTTCTTAAATGACACTATGACAGTAAGTTCAACTCTACTCCATTCTCAGATCCAGCCTCCACAAGTACCCCATCTGGCATTGAGAGTCTTGCCGACGCTGTGACTCATGCAAGGTTTGTTGGTACTGACCCAAGCAGCGATGAAGTGGTCCTCATGAAAATACTTCAGGTTTTACGCACCCTGCTGTTGACACCTGTGGGCGCCCATCTGACGAACGAATCAGTCTGTGAGATAATGCAGTCTTGTTTTCGAATCTGTTTTGAACTGCGATTGAGTGGTAAGTGTTGGTACATCATTGTATTGGCTTATATTATTATTAAAGGAGCACTTTCCCCTCACATTTTACGATAAAATTTCAATGCGGGCTTCCTTTTGAATTTGTTTTGAACTGCAATTCAGTGGTAGATGGTACATTCCTGAATCTGCTTTAATAAAATATCCTACAGGCAGTGATTTCCTCTGACACTGGAAAATAGATTGTACGGTTTTCGGGATTGCAATTTGCCAAAGCAATTGGTATTGTCAATTACTTTTACGGATATCTAACCAACTGCATTGCTCCTCTTGTAGAATTGTTGCGTAGAACAGCTGAACAGACTTTAATGGACATGGTTCAGCTCCTGTCCTCAAGGTAATTTACAGTTTCCTGAAATATTCCTTGATTACTTAAGTGTTGTTGCAGCAGTTTCTATACCTCGTATACTTTCTAGATTATCTGTTTATGACATCTGTGAATCTTTATTTAGACTTCCTCAGTTGAAAGAAGAAGCTAAATCTGGCAATGTTCTTCCTAATATAAGACGGGTATGTATATTTTTAAAGCAATTTTATGGCAAGTCTCATACAAGTCTTTCTATGTCTGTGTAATACAGTAATGATCTATGATCTAATTTCATCTAGGTTTTTAAACGCTCTGGTGGCATATCGAAGCGGAGCAAAAAATCACCAAGACCCAAACGTGCAAGCTTTGCCGCCGCGGCCCCGGTCGACCCTCCAAACCCACCTACCGCTGAAGCCAGTCCCCCACCTACCACCGAGACTACCTTGTCAGCTTCTCCTCCAGGTGACAGAGTTCCAGCAACTCAACCTGAAGATGACATTGCAAAAGTGGAGGGGGGAGAGTGTCACCCTCCACCACCTGAGGACCCAGAGGGGAAATTGCCTCGTGAGGGATTGGCTCTTGATCTCACTGATCCTGGTGGAACCTCACAGAGGTGAAGAAGGGATATAGAGGGATGATAGGGAAGGGGTAGAAAGAGATGATAGGGAAGGGGTATAGAGGGATGATAGGGAAGGGATATAGAGGGATGATAGGGAGGAGTATAGAGGGATGATAGGCAAGGGGTATACAGGGATGATAGGGAAAGGATATATAGGGATGATAGGGAGGGGTATAGTTCATTGTTTAACGTGTTCCCTTCAAAGCATTCACCTCGAAATATTTCATCTCTAGCGCCGAGAACGATCCTTCAGGCGCAACGGAGACACCCAAGGATCTCTCGAGTCAGACTTGCGATTCCGTTGCGTCGCACTTGATGACAGATCCTCTTGAAGGGGAGCCTGGGACTGAGGATGACGTCATTGATAAGGTACGAAAACCCGGAAGGATTTCATTGGTCGAAGTAGGATGATCGCTAAAAGTCCAAAATGTCCGATCCAGTAGTGATGAATAAAATCATCCATCATGAGACAAAGTTGGGTTTAAAACTAACGAAAGTAGAAATGATTTCGCCTGATTATATTTGTCTATTGTTTTGGACTTCAGGAGGATCGAACTAGCAGCACTGTGACGGATGAAGACAGTGTGTTGGAACATGGTACATCAAGCGAGACAATCGACCAAGAAGAATCTGCGGAAACCAACCATGATGATGTGACTACTTCTGAATCCTTGACTGCGCACGAGGAATATATCAGTACCAAGGGAGTGAGGTTCACGCCAACTGAAGCACATAAGGAAGGTTTGTAATTGAATATCTCCGGCTTTAGTTGATCTACAGACATTGTAGAAAAGCCAAATGATGTCCTAAAACGTCTTATTTCAGGTCAGGGTCCTTTGGTTCCATACGGTTTGCCTTGTGTACGAGAACTGCTGAGATTTCTCATCTCTCTGATCAATCCTCACGACAGGTATAGTTCCTTAATAGTCTATGTTTTAGAAATAAGAATAGCACGAAAATATAAAGGGAAATCTCGGTCAGACATGAAAGTTTTGGAAAGGCGGAAAATCTTGGTGAGGCGGGAAAGCTCGACAAAGCGGGAAAACTTAGCTTGGCGGGAAAACGTCTGCTATAGTCGGGGAATTCCGTCAATCGGAAACATTCGGCTTAGGCGGGAAAGTTTGATTCAAATACTGAATGGGCCCAAATGAAAACCTCACTCCCCGTATTCCGTTTTTTCATTTGTTTTCTTTCCCTGGTAGACATAATTTGGAGCCTATGATTCATATTGGATTGTCATTACTTACTGTGGCGCTCGAGTCAGGAGCAGCTCATATCGGAGCGTTTCCATCACTCATGAATCTTGTCAGCGATGAAATGTGCAAGAACCTCTTCTTGGTAAGAACGGTACCGTTGCGTTTCGTGATTGGCTAATCTCTTTGATATAACGCATCTGATTGGTCCATTTTCCCTTAGCAGTTGTCGAGGTCAAATTTGAATAATACTGAACCAAAACATTTAGTTTTTATTAAAATTTTGAACAGAAGATAACGGATATCAATATAACCTTTTTTTCTCGCCTATAAACGTATTTTTTCGATCAATATCTTGTTTCATTTCCTAGTTACTTCAATGTGACGTTCACTCGTTATTTGCAATGGCTTTGCGGGTCTGTTTCTTGTTGTTCGAAGCGCTTCGAGGACATTTGAAACTACAGCTTGAGGTATGTTAAATTTCTCCGCAGTTCTATCATTTCGAAAGGCGGGAAAACTTGGCAAGGCGGGAAAACCTGCCTGGCGGGAAATTTGACAAAGCGGGAAAATTTGTCCAGGCGGGAAACTTGGCAGGGCGGGAAAAATTTTAATTTAAAATTCTTTTCGTTCTATTTAGTCGTATTTCAAGCGACTCTTGGAAATTTTGTCGTTGGATCATCAAGTTCTGCTCTTTGAAAAACGTGAATTAATCCTGGACAATATAAACCAGTTTTTCCACATTCAAAATTTGGTGTCGGAACTATACGTGAACTACGATTGTGATCTATATTGTGTTAATATATTTGAAGAATTGTGCAAAGCTCTTTCAAAGGTGAGCGGTTTATGATTGTATAAACTTCATGAATAACATTTGCTTGTTGTAAATTTGAGTAAGAGATACCATTCTTCGTTTCAGAATGCATTTCCTGCGGGGAGTTTGACAACTGCAAATGTTCCAGCTCTGGACGCATTACTTCAAGTTGTACATGTTATTGAGGCACATTGTCATCCTACCATACCTGTACCCAGTTCCCCCAAACCGGTTAAAGTGAAGCTGAGTAATAAAACAGGTATGATTGAGTTACTCTGGGATGAATTGTTTACGGATACTTGGGATCTTGTGAGGATAATGGCTGATGATAATGGTTGATTATAGTACATAGTTAATGGTAGCTGATTATAGTGATAAATGTTGATGATGGTGGTGGTTAGTGATAGTGGTGGATAATAGTGGTGGTTAATGATAGTGGTTGATAATGGTGGTGGTTAATGATAGTGGTGGATAATAGTGGTGGTTAATGATAGTGGTTGATAATGGTGGTGGTTAATGATAGTGGTTGATAATGGTGGTGGTTAATGATAGTGGTTGATAATGGTGGTGGTTAATGATAGTTGTTGATAATGGTGGTGGTTAATGGTGGTGGTTACTAGTGGTTGATAACGATGGTTGGTAATTGGTCATAATCCATCTGGGAACTAAAGCATGACCCCTACCCCTGCAGGTGATGATGACTCGGGTACGGATGAAAATGGTGACACTCCACCCTTCTCTCCAACCCCGCCACCCTCCTCCGGGTTTCTGATGGCGAGGAAAATGAAGGTTGGTTGCAGCAATGATTCTCACCCGCCGATCAGTGATGCAACATTTGATCAGGATGACGGTCTCACCCATTCCTCTGCGCTGGCGATAATGTTTGCTTCCTCCGTTCCAACACCCGATGATTTGGCACAGCTTAAACAGAAGAAGAAGGTATGTGGATAGATATGTGTATAGTTTAGTTTAGGTTTTCTCCTGTAGTAACACTGGATCAATAAGACACGATCTTTACTGGACCTCTAGGAAGAACAGTTTAGAACTGATAGAGTTATCCAGTATAAATAAAGTTAGTTTAGTTTAGGTTTCCTCCTGTAGTAACACTGGATCAATAAGAGATGATCCTTACTGGACCTCTAGGAAGAACAGTTTAGAACTGATAGAGCTATCCAGTATAAATAAAGTTAGTTTAGTTTAGGTTTCCTCCTGTAGTAACACTGGATCAATAAGAGATGATCCTTGGAGCTCTGGGAACGGGACCTCCAGGATAAACAGTTTTGATCTTATAGAGCTTCTTTATTTCTTACAGTTGTTACAGGCAGGTTCTGAACAATTTAATACAAAAGCAAAGAAAGGGCTGGAGTTTCTTCAGGAACATGGCTTCCTCAATAAACCAATACACCCAGAGGAACTCGCCAATCATCTTCGAGAGAACATAAGGCTGGATAAGAAAACGATAGGAGATTATATTGGGGACAGGAAGAATAGTAAAGTTCTACAAGCGTTTGTAAAGTGAGTGTATGGTGTTACAGTTTAACGTGGTGGTGTAAATGTTGCTGCAGCATGGTGTGGTGTGGTATGGTATGGTGTGGTATGGTATGGTATGGTATGGTATGGTATGGTATCGTATCGTATCGTATCGTATGGTGTGGTATGGCGTGGTATGGTATGGTATGGTGTGGTGTGGTATGCTATGGTATGCTATGCTATGGTATGGTATGGTATGGTATGGTATGGTATGGTATGGTATGGATTGAGTGGGATGATGGAATATGGTTTCATAGGATATTTTGGTTTGGTAAGTAAAAATGCTACTTGTTCATTTCAGCTCCTTCCACTTCAACGACATGAGAATCGACGAAGCTTTGCGAACATTTCTGGAAACGTTTCGACTTCCAGGAGAGGCACCGGTCATTCAACATATCTTGGAAGAATTCAGCGAAGGATATTTTGTAAGTTGTAATGCTAGACCGCAGCTGAACCTAGATAAAGGCAAATCACTTTACGATGACGAAAAGAACATCTGAGATGGTCTAGTTCAGGTCGTAATATATGTTTGTCTATCAACAGGCGTCTCATTCGGAAGTATTTGCAAATGCCGATGCAGCTTTCACACTGGCTTATGCTATCATCATGCTGAACGTCGACCAACACAACGCGAATATGAAGCAGCAGAAACCTATGACTGCCGAGGTATTTCATTTCAAAACAACTAAGCCTTAAGCAGTGAATGATAGGACGAGATTAATTAGGACTCTTTCGGCGGTCATTGTCAAAAGCTCCTAATATTGTTGTCTTACACTGAAATCCTCTGCAAGGCCGTGCTTCGAAAATACAAAACGTTTATTCTTTTCGAACGATGTGTAGGATTTCAAGCGAAATCTTCGTCGTTGCAATGGCCAGAGTGACTATCCCGCTGAATTGTTGGACGAAATCTATCAAGCTATCAGGTATTAAAATGGAGAATAGCATGTTCACTTGATTGTCACGCTTAATTGTACTATAAATGGGGAAAAAACAACGAGATATTTAAAAACTGTATAAAATATTTCAATTCTCGAATCCCTGACGAATGCCTTTTTCTCAATGCCCTTTGATTGGGAAATTGAGTTTCGTTTTTCGTCGATTTTAGAAATGAAGAGATAGTGATGCCATCGGAGCGCACAGGGCGCATTAAGGAGAATTACGACTGGAAGGTAAGTAAATAGGGACAAGGCTCTTTCTTGATTCGTATCTTTTTAGCATCTGACTGATTCTCGACCATCTCTCTTCACCGATGCGTTTAGGTTTTATTGCGACGTAGCACAAAGCCCGAGGGGAAATACCTGCTCGTGTCTGGCAGCACGTTCGATCAAGATCTCTTTGTTATGATCTGGGGTCCAACCGTCGCCGCTCTCTCCTCCGTCTATGATAACTGCCTGGAGAAAACCGTCGTACAGAAAGCAATCAGTGGCTTCAGGTTGGTTTTCCTGTATACGTGTTAGTTAACCCAGGGATGGGGGACCCCACGCCCCTAGGTGGTGTCCATTAGAGGGGGGGGCGGGGTGAAAGTGTGAACTAAACTTTGTTGGGTTTAAAGAGTCAAGAGTGAGTGTCAACAGTCATGTTTTGCATCGTTAAATAATGTTCAAATGCAGACCAGGAAATTCTTCCTATACAGAAAAAGCGATGCAAAAAGATTCTTCGGTGTAACTTCAGTAGAGACAAATTAAAATGAACAATCATTTCAATAGGATTATCGAGCTTTCGTATGGATGCAAAAACGACATTTGACTTGAATGCTCGATCATCAAAAATGGACGCGAAGTCGATTCAACCGTGCAAGGCATGAGAGTTTACATCTTGTAAAGATATTCAGAGTATTTCGTGATTTCCTTTATCCCGTTGTCCTTTAGAAAATGTGCTCTCATCTCTGCCCACTACGGGCTTAGCGATGTTTTCGATAATCTGGTCATATCGCTGTGCAAATTCACGACGCTTCTCAACGCCCCGGAGACTGGCGAGAACCTACCGCTGTCGTTTGGCGTGAACCTGAAGGCTCAGCTTGCAGCACGAACGATGTTCGCGCTCGCGTATCGCCATGGTGATATATTGCGTGAGGGATGGCAGAATATCCTCGACTGCATGCTGCAACTGTATCGGGCGAAGATGTTACCTACATCTATGGTCGAGGTAAATATCCTCTGGAAAGTTTTCGAAAGTTTCGCTTAGAGCTAGTTTGTTTTATAGGGAATTCTTTATGTTTATTTTGAATATAGTGTAACAAATTCTCTGATAGGGTGTTCACACTGCACAGACAGTCCTTGAGTTTCGTTTTGTAAAATCGAGTAATGAAATATATTCCTCCTATATCGTAAAATTTATCCTCAAAATTCTTGGAAAAAGTTCGAAAACTCATGTTGAAATTAGAAAAAGATCCACCCACAATCGTAGAATTGAACACTTAGTAGAATTCTGTACACTTCAGGATACAGTTTTATTCACAATTAGTACAAAATTCAGGTTGTTCTACCTTTGTTCTGAACACCAACGATTTGTGTCCCTCGTGTTCCGATATGTATCCCCAACATTTACATTTATCCCCTGCAAGGTTGAAGATTTTGTTGATCAAAGCGGGAAGATTTGTCTAATTCGCGAGGAGCTTCCCGTAGCGAGGTAAAAATGTAGACTAGTTATTCAAGGCGCTGGTACACCATGCAACTTCCTTGCAACTTGCAATGCAATTATATTTTGAGGAATGTTAATTTGTAAAGAGTGTTCGAAATGCTATGAAAACGTTAGCGGGTCGTAAGCAATGTACGTATTTGACAACTTTAGATACCTCAGGAGTAGAATTGCATTGCAAGGAAAGTTGCATAGTGTAACACCGACTTTAGACATTTCTGAGTACGTTTACCCGACGGGAATGTTTCACGTTTGACTTCTATATGTTTGTGATGGTTTCACAGACCCGATTCGTCAATTTTCTCGTCGTTCTACCAATATTTCCAAATGAATTCTGAACCGTCAAACGGCCGAAATCAGGGGGGCGAAGATAAAGAAGCCGAAGAAAAGGCGTACACTTGTATCAAGGTTGGTGAAAAAATATTTTTTGAATTTAAAGGGTTCTTCACCCATGCACATCTCTACGAAGTTTTAAGGCTATGTAAAAGGTAGACTCAGTCATTTTGTGGTCATACATGTCTCTTATCTTATTCCTCTGTGTTGCAGGATTGTCGCCCGGAACTGTTGATCATCGAGAGCAAGTTCTTACGTTCTGATTCGCTTCACGAGCTTGTTAAGGTAACTAACTTTATTTATACTAGATAGCTCTATCAGTTCTGTTCTTCCTAGAGGTCCAGTAAAGATCATCTCTTATTCATCCAGTGTTACTACAGGAGGAAACCTAAACTAAACTAACTTTATTTATACTGGATAGCTCTATCAGTTCTAAACTGTTCTTCCTAGAGATCCAGTAAGGATCATCTCTTATTGATCCAGTGTTACTACAGGAGGAAACCTAAACTAAACTAACTTTATTTATACTGGATACCTCTATCAGTTCTAAACTGTTCTTCCTAGAAGTCCAGTAAGGATCATCTCTTATTGATCCAGTGTTACTACAGAAGGAAACCTAAACTAAACTAACTTCATTGACACTGGATAACTCTATCAGTTCTAAACTGTTCTTCCAACGGATCATCACTTTCACAAATAACGATGCATCATTATTCACTTCCTCTAGGCTCTAATATTCGCCTCACAAGGCCCTGACAAACAAGACCACTTGACCAGTGTTTACGACGAAGACTCGGCGGTGTTCTTTCTCGAACAACTCATCAGTTTAACTTTACAGAATCGGTAAGCACCCTTTAGTTGTCCTTTTTTTACTCTTTAGTTGCCTTTGGTTCTACTACAGATGTTACATTATAAAAAGGAATATTCCCACCACGTTCTTTCAGCGACCGGGTTTCTCTGCTTTGGGCAAACGTTCGAGATCATCTGTCAAGCATTATAATCAACAGCACTAAATGCAGGTAAGATGTGGTTAGTATAATTCACTGTAGGAAAAGTAGAACCAACCCTAGCCCCGACCTCGACTAACTTTCCTAAATTACCCGGCAAAGGCCGGTTGTATAAAAGACTAGTTAACGTTTAACTGTAGTTAAAGCCAGAATTGGCTAATCAGGGTCGTGTATTTATGAGTTAACTAGGATTTAACTATGCAAAATGTAGTTAAAGAGTTTTATGTTTTATACAACCATCCCCTGTACTGTAGTTTTGATTTTAATTTTGTTTTTGTCTACTTTTTATAGCTTCCTACTCGAGCGCACCGTCGTTGGTCTTCTCCGTTTGGCCGTTCGTCTTCTCCGCAAGGAAGAAATCTCGGGCCAGGTCCTTGGCGCTTTGCGCGTCCTGCTCATGATGCCGCTGACCATACTCCAAGCATGCGGGCGTCACATCTCGTACGGCCTTCACGAGCTACTCCGGACGAACGCGGCGAGCATCCGAACCGCATGCGATTGGACGACCATTTTCACCCTCCTGGAATGCGTGGGGGCCGGAGTGTGCCCCCCAACTGTCGCCCCTGGTCCGTCTTCTTCGTTCGTGACCCTCAACAAGGACGGTGTTGAAGAGGACTTGGCTGAGCCGGTGACGTCATCGGATAATGACGAAACCAAAACGCTGTCTACGAGCAGCGATAGTCTTACTAATGGGACGAATGGGGATTCATGGCTACTCATAGGGAAAGATGGGGTGGAAGTGTCCTCGAAGAATCAATATAATTTAACTATAAATGAGACGTTGGGCAAACACGATAGCAGGTCTTTCGTGAAGTCGTGCCAGTCTCTCTCGTTCATACTGCGTGACGCGAAACACGTTTCCGCGGAGAACTTTTTGCGTTGCGTGCACGCGGTGCGCGTTTTCGGCGAGGCTCTTGTCGACGGTGGCCAGGGTAAGAGACTTCCCGAGCACCCGACGAAAGTCGTCGATCAACGCCGAGGAAGCTCGTCGAAGCCGGCGAAGCGAACTTCGAGTAAACTCAAAAAGCCGAGCCCTAGCCTGAGAACCCGAAAAGGCGGGAAATCCTTAAATTCGGGCGTCAGCGAAGATGAGGTGGAAATCTGTGAAACTATAAACCAAACCTACGACGCCATGTCTTTGCAATTGATTGAACTCATTTATACGTTACACACGAATGCCTCGTCGTATTTCCCCGAGACGAAAGAGGACGGTGAGGACGAGAACTTATTGGAGGCTTGTTTGCTCTGGACCAAATGCTGGTGTCCGCTGCTCCAAGGTATCGCGCAGCTCTGCTGCGATATCAGGAAGGAAGTGCGCATGTCTGCACTGACGTATCTGCAAAGAGCGTTACTGGTACGAGATCTGCACTCCCTCGGAGCGCTGGAGTGGGAGGCTTGTTTCAATAAGGTAACAGTGAATTGACATTTAAAATTGTGGACTGAGAAAATTGACATGATTCACCACAGTTAGCTTGATTAGACTAAATTATTTTATTCTTGTCCATATATCTATGTCCAGGATGTCCATCTTTAGTTCTTTCTAATTGTGATCTGTGTATAGGTGCTATTTCCAATGTTATCGAAGCTCCTGTGTGTGAGCAACCAGAACGATACGGTTGGTTTGGAAGAAACGAGAATGCGGGCTGCAACGTTGCTAAGCAAGGTAGTATTCAGTTACCCAGCACAAATCATTTAGTTCAGGTTTCCTCCTGTAGTTACACTGGATCAATAAGAGATGATCCTTACTGGACTTCTAAGAAGAACAGTTTAGAACTGATAGAGCTATCCATTATAAATAAAGTTAGTTTAGTTTAGGTTTTCTCCTTTAGTAACACGGAATCATTAAGAGATGATCCTTACTGGACCTCCAGGAAGAACATTTTAGAACTGAAAGAGCTGACACTCAAACTCTATTAACAAACGTTGTTTAATTTTAGGTTTTCCTTCAACATCTGAACGTGCTTTTATCACTGTCAACGTTTACTGCTCTGTGGCTGACCATCTTGGATTTTATGGACAAGTATATGCATTCTGATGAGAGCGATCTTTTGGTGAGATCTTTTGATAGTGTTACAAATAAGACAGATTGATGAGATATATGTATTACATCAGTCAATGTAAATTCAGTCTAGTTATGTCACGTCGGAGAGCTGCATGTTCACAGGAGATGCACTTTACTCAATGTTTTTTGGCTTTTAAATATTTGCCTTCACTAGTCCGAAGCTATTCCTGAGTCGCTCAAGAACATGCTTCTGGTGATGTCAACCGCTGGTATTTTCCACGACGACGATGCCGAGCCAAACGCCTCGACCGCTGACCGACATTATACCGCGCTGTGGCAAGTGACGTGGGAACGAATCGATTGCTTCTTGCCCAATCTAAAAACAGATTTGTTCTTAAACAGGGCGCGGCCATCCTCTCCCTCGCCCCCACCGGCTACTAGGGAAGACAAGGCGAGTGGGGAAGAGGAGGTTAAGAATCCAGTAACTGTTGAGAGTCCAGAGGAAACTGTAGCAACTATCACAGTTACTGCTGATGAGACGCAGGAGACTGAAGGTAGTAAATAATACCTGGAGTGTTGTTTTTTGTGAAAAATTTAGTCTGGGTTTGGTTTATATTTTTGAATTATTCTTTTATATAGCTGTGCCCACCCCTAAATCTCCCCCCACGCCCCGAGCAAGCTCTCCTCTGCTTGCAAATCACGAGGGTATTGGATCACCCTCCCAAGTTTGTGTCGTCCTGCAACCCCCACTGCCCTCCTTGGCTGGCAGTCGGAGTTCCTCCCCTACACAGAAGGGCTCTTTATCCGATGTGGCGCAAACCCCACCGGCATCTATGCCCATCATTCTCGCACCCAGTCCTCTCTCAAGGCTGCCGTTGTCACAGGAGACCGTAATCGGCGTATCCACGAATGAGAGCAGCATTCCTCTCACGGAACCTCTGACGAATTCCACCGAAGATGACAGCTCGGCAACTCTCGAGAAGACGTCGGATATTCGGGATGTTTAGTGAAAAATTCAACAAATTCAATGTTATTTAAATTCCAACAAGGTTTCACGGCTTGCGTTTAAGTCGTCGAACTAAATTCTAAAAATATATAAAAAATTTAAGAAATTTTGTCAAGTTTACCTATCGCTTCGAGATCACGCTAATTTTACAAAATTCTCATATAAATTCATAGAAATTGTACTCTTAAACTAATTTAACATTAATGTATGCACTATTTTCAGGAACTGATACGATACTTATGGTGCGTTTTAACCCAAATCCCGGTAGCATTCTTTCATCTTATGTTAAACTGTTTCCCCATTTGAGTGATTTGACCTGGAATAAGGAAGTTGACGAAACTCCATTGAAAACTCTCGCCTACCAACAAGAGCTTTACAATTTGGCTGCGTCGATTTTAAACCAGCCCAGCAGTAAGGTTAGGTAGAATTTGTGAATTTGAAAATACCTATTTTACTTCTGAGAAATAAACCGTTATTTTAACCACAAATTTGTTAGACTCTTTTTAAGTCGAAAAAACGACGTGTTAGACAGTCTATTTTGTACGATGGATGGTGGGTTTATGCACAGTTAATAGAGACGACATAAAACTACAATACCATTCATTAACTACGTTAAATGTATTTATTATTAAATAATAAAGGAAGTTAATGTTATACGGGTCTTCGTATCGTAGTGTCGCGGGTCCTAGGACGCTTGTCCGGTCGGCTACTTGCCCCCTCCGGTGAGTACAAATATGAGCCCAGTTTGCCTGATCGAGTTGTTAGTTGCTTGCGTGACCCATCCCGCCCCTTTCCCTAACGACTTCACGCGATGTTGTGAACTCTACGGGAGAAGCGTCTTATTAATCTCGCTGGGGTTTTTTTTTGTTAGTTTGTTTTGCAGGATTAAGCACAGTTCTTTTCACACCCGTTTTGGTCGTGGAATGGGTGTTTGGGGTAAAGGTAAATTCATTAATGATCGCCACATTTACAGGGGTTTTTTTTTTGTTTTGTGTGTGTGTGTACTTTGATGTTCGTATCGTTTATTCCACGGTTTCACTTCAGTGACTCACGTGTGACAGTTGATCACGGGATGGAGGAGGTACCGTTAAAATAGCATGGTTCGTTGAGTTATTATCTGCGCCGAAAACAGCAAACTCAAAAGAAACACCGTTTCACCCCTAGCCCGACCGTTTCGCTCGGATACCGTCTCCATCCCTACCGATCGGCAGCGGGCAAAAATATAGTGTAAGAGCTGGTGTGCTATCGTACTGATGTGAGCCTTAGGATCCGTTAGAACGTTAAGGTAGATTTATGCAAAAAATTGTTCCTTTGTCATCACATGCCCATTGTATTTTGCACACAATAAACACGTGACGAGAAAGGAACCATTTTTTGCATAAACCTGGACAACAACATAGTTAATGAGTTGTATTGTGCTTTTATTTAGTTTCCAAACCATGTATATTCTATTAACTGTGGTTTATTGAACAATTTGGTCCCTGCAGATTTGAATGATGATTTGAGAGTTGTGATAGAGAAACAGTTCACTGTAGAGAAGTATGCTCTATGTATGATCTGGGTAGACGTAGTGGTGAACCTAATATTTTTGATGATTTAATAATGCAACGCACGTACCACTGGCACGTACAGGAAGAACGAAATCAATCGAGTCTCGGTTCAACCATCACTGGAATCTACACGTCATACCAAAGCCAAAAATAGAAATAGGAACAAATTTGTTCCTTTATAACGTTCAATTACGTAGTTAGAAGTTCCTTAATCGCTGTTTTTTGCCGACATTTTCGTTCCGTATTTTGAAGAGCTCATTGAACTTCGCGATTAAATCTTCGTATTCAGAAATTGGGGTTCTCTTTTTAGCTTGATATTGAATTGATTTTCCAGCATTCTCGCAACTGTTGAAACTTGAAAGAGTCGCCATCTTTTGGATAGCGCAATCCAGTTTTCGTACAACCGGTTGTTTGACACATTACTTGACCCTGACCCTGACGAGGGTACTTCACTATGGCTGACGTATTGCAAGTTCCAGCACGCCATTTGACGTATAGTGACTTTATCGCCGTAATCAAAAGCCGCGAACAGCTTAATTTTTGCGTAATTTATAAGTTTCCTGGTGGTATATTTGTGGTTCAAAGTCAAACGGTATTACTTCATGTTTAGCATCACGTACAAAATCCGTGGGGTTTCGTACGCATGGTTAAACGCACGTCCGTACCGTATAACGATAGATAACACCTGCGAAATCAACCAATCAGCACATCGAGATCGCTTGGACCAATCAGAAGGCCCTCCAAGTCCAACCTCCTTCCGACCCACGCGATCCCTAACTAACAACACGTACTCACTAGTTCATTCACCGGCTGATAAGAAAAATATATTGAGATTTGATTCTCGCAAAATACTTGGTTTTCTTCGGCGAAATCTTTTGCGGATCGTTTATTTTAAAGGTATGACCGTGTAGTTTATTGCTTTGTGAATAAACTTTGGTAAAATCGAAGAGAAATGTGTTGATTTTATGTGTATATGTTGCGTGCGTGTTTGTGTGTCTATAAAGATTTTAAACCTCCATGCTGATAAACTTTACTATTAGCTACTGGTGATTTAAGTCGCTAAAAATGTCTTACAAAATTAAAATATTTAGCAAACGATGTAATCTTTCTTGTTGCTTTGATTAAACGTTTAGAACCGTTTATATATGCTTTTAGGTCAAATGCTTGCTACTTGAAAATTATTTGTATCATTTTCGTTGTTACATAATTCTAGTATCGGTCATTGGTTTGAATAAAAATAGTTTTATAAACGAAAAGATACGTTTTTCCAACGAGTCTTGGACGATTTAAGCATGAAACTTGCATGTAGATAGCTAAAATCTTTTGAACTTGTGACCAACATTATGGGATTGGATTACAACAATGACAATGATTATGATTATCTAGAGCAAGACAAAGGCCGGCACTGAGCATTTGGAAACTGATAAAAATATTCATGAAAATAAACTATCATGGTTTATTACCGCCGTTGAGTGGCTCTGTAAAATAAATTATCCACACTTTCTAGTTTAAAAATGCTCAATGCAACAGGTTGCCTGCATTGGGGTCATACAGACAGAGGTGTAATTATATCCCAAGTTTGCCCAGAATAATAATCGTGCTCACATACTTTGGAAGGACCCTTTCAAGAGAAATCAGTCATGCATTTATGATTAAACATTCCCACCATAGTTATTACTAAGCACGAAGGAATGACACTAGGGATGCAACAGGCATTATGATGTGAGTTTAGTTTGAAACATGGATAATTCAATCAAATGGTCAGGTTACATGAAATGTTTCAGCTAAGCTCCTGATGTAATCTGAAGCTGGTATAAATTGTCAAGTGGATCAATTTTAGCCAGAACCAGCTACAATAAAATTTGTCATGAGTGCGAAGTTAAACCTGTATCAAAATTTGTTTCGAAATACTGAAAATTTAAAACTTGGTGACCTTTTTAAAACTTTTACATCAAATGCTTTGAATGTCTGTATCAAGTGTTTACCATATTTTGATTGCATTTTTTTATTTTCAGAATTAATATCGACAAAAACATGCCTGAACTCAGCACAGATCTCCAGCAGGCCATAGATTCCATCAGGTCCGCATTAGGGAACACAATCTCTCAAAAGAAACTGTTTCAAAACAACGCCGTTATTGCCAAAAACCAAATCCAAGATGACATCAGCTTCCACTTAGAGCTGCTGAGAAACAGGGAAGTTTGGCTTCTCGAACAGGTGGACATCCATGCTCAGATTAAAGAAGAAGCATTCGAGAGCCACCTTAACAAGCTATGCGTTTTGCTTGCAAAGTTAGAAGCCTACCAGCAGCTTTTGGAAGCACAAGAATTGCGAGAAAACCTGGAGATCATCAGTCAGGCCGAGGAGATCATTTTAAGGTTAAAAAGCGAGGCCTCGTATTTTGATGAGACAACAGGAATTTGCTTTTCCGCCGGTAATTTTTCTCTCTCTGATGCGGTGAAGAAGTTTGGAAAGATATTGGATGCAGAGCCATGCGAGGAGACTGAAAAAACGCCGAAAGGTAACAAGAGGAGGAAAGACACAGCTCGTGAAATCCTTTTCATTCAAGAGCACTTCAAAAGAGTTGCTAATTCTCCGCAAAAGAATTGGCTTATGGCCGGTGCTGTGTGTCACGAGGCTAGAAAAGATTTTGGGACTGTTTGGAAGCACTATGAAGAGCTCAAGAAGTCAGATAAAAAAGAATGGTTGTACAAGAAACGCCAGGTCTGTTTTAATAAGCACCTTCCTTTAGTAATTTTCACCATCTTCGACTGTCCACATTCCTTTTCAACAGAAGCGTACATTCTTTTGAATGCAAAGTGAAAATTGTCCGGCTCAAAAACACTGTTCAGTAAAAACTAACATAGATCTTTTATTATTTTTTAATCTAGCCAATGGATTTGGAAACGGTTGGAAATCGCTTCGAGGCTCATTTTCAAGAAGTGAAATCCACTCCAGCCAATGACTGGCTGCAGAATATCCCGAGCAAAAGCGATGAAAGCGAGATTTCTTCTGGATTTTCCTACCGTAGCAAATTGGATACCTCTGAAAATATCAAAGCCTGGATATTGAGGCCGACGGAAGGTCTGTCGCGTTCGTCAAAAGACGACGACCTTCTCGACGAGGGAATCTCACTTTCCCGCCATTGTAGCGTTGAGCCGAAACTTGTTAGTGAAAAATACCACGGAAAAGCGTCTTGGTTGATGGATGAAAAGCTCTCGAAAAGATCTAAAGAAGATTCGCGGGAAATCTCCACGAGCGACCAGCTCGACGACGATTGGCTGATTGGCGGCTACACGTCATCGATGACGTCATATTCTCCATCCCAAACCGGAAGCTGGCTGCAACGTTTCCGAGACTCGAACGATAGTGGCACGAGCGATTGGCTGATCGTGTCGGAAAGCGAACCCGAGCCGGAGTATTGCGAATGGTTGACTCGGGAGTCCATTGAGCGATGCAAAAGCTGTTCAGCTGACTGCCCAAAGGAGACCTTTGGAGTGTTTCGAAATGTTCTGACCAGCTCGAAAAACGAGTGGTTGGCAACAGCAACAGATTGGTGAAAAAATTTGAACGAAATTTTGAATGAAATCTGCCTGACACGCAGCATATATTTTTCCTTTCTTTCTAGGATTTTGAAAACACGTTTCTCAAATTTACTTTAAAATGATCGGTGCAATTGGGACAAATAATATGTTAACCGGTTGGAAGTTATTTAACATAAAATAGGATTGAAAATACAAATAAAAGAAAAGGAACAAAAATAAAAATGATTACTTGCTTCTTTGGGATAATGTGGGTTAACAAGTTACAAGGTCACTTGTAAACTGGATTGGTAACTCGGTCAAATCGGGTACCAGTCCATTTCCATTGTTTTTGTCGACAAAACAGCCATTTATTTATAATTTCATAATAAAAATGCCATGTTCAGTGAGTCCTGAAATACACGAATTTAATCCTTGGGATTAAGATTAGGATTAGGTTTTAGATTAAGTTAATGGTTAATTAGGGTTAACCCTAATCCTAAATTTAATCCCAACGTAATCTCAAGAGTTAAGTCCGTGCATTTGGGATTTACTGAAAGTGGATTATTAGCAGCTATCGTTCCAGTATTTATAGAGTTCAGTGTTTATACCCTATACACACCCCCTGAACACCCATTTTTGGAGACGGGGTGTATGCAAGTGCTCTACATCAACAGCGGCTCCCCCACGGCCCACGTACTCATAGACTGAGAGTTCTAGGTGGAAGTAAACTAAAGGGTAAACTCGTCATCTACCCCTCGTGGAGAACCCTTCCTCTGTGGTATCGCAATGGTCTGTCCCTAGATCTCTCGATTCTTTTTTGACTTCGAATGATTACAAGACTATATTTACGTCTAATAGCAATATATTCACGTGTAATTGGAATTGCTCCAACCTGTCATTTATCGATTGCCTGGGTTTGGCCACCAAGGCGTTAATAACACACAATTATTGTTGTGTCATTTTGTGATGAAAACAAAATATTAACATTTTTCTTCCTCGAGTAATTGACAGTCATTCACCATCTGTTGACCACAAATCGCTTTGTGAATCGTTGCCAGATCTAAATAAAGAACTTATACCACACATTGATAATTACCGCGCGCCATTTCACAGCATTTGCAAGGTATTTAAACAATTTTCGCTATTTTACAGTCAAATTCATTCAACTATGATAAATTGTTTTATTTCATTTTCAACACGTTTAATGAACATTTTTACCTCTCATTTGTAACACATCAAATATTTGTGTACCATAATTAGCTATTTCGTGGGATGGACGTGTCGGAACGAGCAATCTTATTGGAGGCATTAATTGTTTTCATGTTTGCAACAGTAGGAGGTATATGAACGTAAATATTTCACGATGAAGTGTAGGATTTAGGTCTCTAACAGCATATTGCTTCGTATCATTTGTCAAGTAAATTTTGATCATTGACGGGTAATACATAACACATCCCATATGTGCATTGATTGTGCGTTTCTAATTGATAGAAATATCACTCTGAATAAGTTTAGTTTAGTTTAGGTTTCCTCCTGTAGTAACACTGGATCAATAAGAGATGATCGTTACTGGACCTCTAGGAAGAACAGTTTAGAACTGATAGAGCCATCCAGTATAAATAAAGTTAGTTTATTTCAAGTTTCCTCCTGTAGTAACACTAGATCACTAAGAGATGGTCCTTACTTGATCTCTAGGAAGAACAGTTCAGAACTGATAGAGCTATCCAGTATAAATAAAGTTATTTTAGTTTAGGTTTCCTCCTGTAGTAACACTGGATCAATAAGAGATGATCGTTACTGGATCTCTAGAAAGAATAGTTTAGAACTGACAGAGCTATTCAGTATAAATATTAAATAAAGTTAGTTTAGTTTAGGTTTCCTCATGTAGTAACACTGGATCAATAAGAGATGATCGTTACTGGACCTCTAGGAAGAACAGTTTAGAACTGACAGAGCTATTCAGTATAAATAAAGTTAGTTTAGTTTAGGTTTCCTCCTGTAGTAACACTGGATCAATAAGAGATGACCCCTACTGGCCTCTAGGAAGAACAGTCTGGAACTGGTAGAGCTATCCAATGTAAATAAAGCTAGATTAGTAGACTTCCTTCCTTGTTGACCTTACTGGACTTTTAGGAAGAGAAAATTAGAACTGGCAGAGCAATTCAGTATAATTAAATAAAATCTTGTTAATATTTCCTGTAGTAAAACTGGATCAATAAGAGATGATGCTCACTGCACCTCTGGGACGGAACAGTTTAGAATTGATAGAGGCATAGAGCTATCCAGTATAAATAAAGTTTTTTAACTTTAGTTTCCTGACTTTCCTTCTGTAGTAACACTGGATCAATGAGAGATGTCCTGTTTATAAAAATAGCCTTTAATGATAAATAAAGAGAAGGCGACCTTGATACCCACAGCCTGGTTTTCATATGTCAAAATCCATTAGCGAAATCTATTGTTAGTAGTCGGCACCGCTGATACATCAAATTGTTCTGCTTTGGCAATTTCTTTTTTTACGGATCACATGCAGAGGCTTGGCCGAATAAAATCGCTAAGAAATTGACATATAAAAACCAGGCTTTATATGAAAACAAGCCAAAGTTTACGTAGCCGAAAGGGCTCTCCCCATGCACAACAGGCCTGTCCTTACGGTAAACAAAGTAAGTTCATGTTTCCTCCAATAATTCCATCACTGAATGGCAATGTGATCCAGATGCTGGACCGTCAGTATTTTAGATATATCATTACTCGGCTGTTTTTGATCATGCAGGGGCTCCTAGTGCGTCACATGCAGGCATACGGCATTTGTGTAGACAAATGAACAATTTATGTATTCACCTCCTACATTGGGAAGCAATGAAGTAGCCGTGGACTATTTAGAGTAAACTTTTACACGTTGACAAATAGACGCGACAGGACATATTAAGTAATAGACTATTTGACCGGCATACCGATTATATCCCTTTTTAACCATCGACCTCGTTTGTGTATTCGTTGTGGTCCAAAATAAACTCTAGCGTGTTGCAGATATAGAGATTATATTTCTATGTTTTCGTGAATTAGTTTATTGTTGATCACATGCTTGAAAACAAAGTAATTCGTACACTTACTGAGCTCTCGAAATATGAGCAAGTTTTTGACACGGAAACGAGGCTATTGTCTGGAATGTAACAAATTAGTACCCGCGAAGATATAGCCGTAACGAAATCGTCTGATACCTGGACGATGAAGGTGCGTGTCCGTTGACAAACAGAACCGCACGTTTTGAATGCAATAATCTATTGACCCCCTATCATATCGAACAGGGATATTGCTCGTTTTGATATCGGGCGTTATTATTTGACACTACTGGTTGATGCGTGAAATCTGCGGGGATTTTCGTTCGAGTCGATCACCTCCAGTGGGATAGCGCATTCATACACTACAGCAACACGATAACAATTTAGTTTGACTGTTCAAGGGATGGTTTTCACATCACACTGCCGTCGCCTGTATCATGCGATGTTCAGTGAACGGTTCAGAGATGAAGCAGTCAAGTTATATGCGACAGAAACTCCTCTAGTACAGATATCTCTTTAATGCGGACGTTTTTGAAACACAGATTTTCGCTTATACATATAGATCCATCTCTAATATACAGATGCCTACCTAGTAGTGATCTCTTATACCTTATCAAACCCTCTACTAAAAACACCTCTATTATTCAGGCATCAGCCACAGCACGCTAATACAGATATGCACCTTTCTAATAGAGGAACCTCTATAATATAGGCTACGATACAAACGTCTCTTAATTTAGTGAACTCCCTAAAGGTGTTTACAGACATCACAGGAATACCGACCCCTCTTGAATATAGACTAATAGACATACGTCAAATACTGCTCTAGACAACTTCTTAATAACAAAGAATCCTACTACGGACATCTCTCTAATACAAACACTAAAGACGTCGTTTTGACAGTGAACGGTTCAAGTACCCTATTTGGTCAGCCCCCTTGTACGAAATTGACTTTCCCTTGGCGTGGTATATTCTAAAATTTCTATTCAAAGAAAAACAAAACTGTCAGTCTTGAAAGATTCAACAAGATAGGGACACAAGACCTTTATTGTTCGAAAAATTAGGTAAGGTACGCAACAAACATGTCTGTGTGTCGGGTATGTGACAGTAAGCATGGTCCACTTGAAGTGGCTTATTTATTAGATCAGATTCAGAACTCATGAACTTGACCTCCCGCTTGTGAAATGGTTTTTTTACCAAATATTGTTGCCAAAGAAACCTGTAAACTTATACAAACATTTACAGAGAACATGAGGGAAACTTATCGACGTTTTGCATGCAGAGAATCACGGCGTCCGGTTGAAATTTTCTGCCAAGGACGTAGATGCTGTGACGGAAATCGGATAAGAATGCCATCTGTCGATAACGGCTCATGCCTTTCATCATGGTTTTGAAATTATTCCACCCATCAGATATACGCTATCTGCGCTAGACTGGTAATACGATTAAGAATATGGAAATCAAAATTCATTTCTCTTAGAAGTCCTGAACTAAACTAACTTTATTTATACTGGAAAGCTCTATCAGTTCTAAACTGTTCTTTCTAGAGGTCCAGTAATATATATCAAATTTATTGAACAATGTTCAAACGGAGAAAATGCAACGGGACACGAGATCCCATGCGAGGCATTCTTCCGATCACATATTTACATATACAAAAACAAATAACACACAGAAGAAACATAAGTTATATAGCTACACGCATCGAAGAATAAACATATGCTATGCACAAGCTCGAAAATCCAAAGTTGTTGATTTGTTTTTTGTTTTTTTGTTTTTTTTTTTTTTTTTTGTTTTTTTTTTCATGGGAAATAAAATAAATTTATCAGAAAGAGATAGTTGCCTAAGATAATTTAAAAACCATAGTAATATTTAGAATCAGGCAATAGCATATGTTCTCTTCGCATGTTAATTAAGCTCTATGACATGAACAGGTTCTATGCAATGACCAAGTACAGGGCATGTCGACGTCGTAATAAGACTCGACGTAGTAAGGATCATCTCTTATTGATCCAGTGTTACTACAGGAGGAAACCTAAACTAAACTAACTTTATATATACTGGATAGCTGTATCAGTTCGAAACCGTTCTTCGATTCCTAGAGGTCCAGCAAGGATCATCTCTTATTGATCCAGCATTACCACAAGAGGAAACCTAAACTAACTTC